GTGTATCAATCAAATGCAATCCTAAATCAATTGCGCTTCATTTGTTTATTGGCATATTTCGCCATTGTTCAAATGGTCAATGTCTTGTCCTCAACTTACGCCTTGCTTCCCCTCTTCCTTCCCTTCCCTTCCCTTCCCCTCTCTCTCTCCTCCCCCTTCCCCCCCCCCCAAAAAAAAAAAAAAAGAAAGAAAGAAAGAAAGAAAGAAAAGAAAAGAAAATAAAAAAAAATATAGAGTAAGGGTTGAATGAATTGACTACATTCATTCTTGTATCTCTTGCACTTTATCTCACCTACTTTTAAACCGTTGGTCTTATTCCAACTTTCTTTTTATTGGCACACCTCATTCCTCAACCTCTCATTTGTTCATTACTCTTTTTTATTTTTTTCAAAGCGTCCCATTCTGATTCCATCAGCTTCTCATTCCGTATAGTTGCTGTTCTTAACCTCTATTTATTATTATTATTATTACTATTGTTATTTATACAAGGTAAAAAATAAAAGGAGAGTAGAAAAAAAAAAAAAAAAAAAAGAAAAAAAATTGACCCAAAGACAAATTTAAAGTCCTGCTGTTGTCTCCCCTAACCTGCCCCTCGTGTGCATTAAATGTCTTGGAGTACCATTTTTGTACTTTTTCAGCATTCCTACATTTGCCACATAAACCTTTCAAATGAAAAAAACAGATCCTCCCTGCGTCCATATCGATCAATTATCTATGCACATCTTGGAGCATGCTCTAATTCATGCGTTTGCTCGAATATGAAGTATTCTGAGTACAAGCTTGTTATGACTCAATATATATATATACTCCCCAATTGCAACCTCCCCCAAGATGGTGCTGTGCAACTTTTCTACTCTAGAAAAAAAAAGATGTGTGAATGAAACAACAGGATTCTCCACCCCTGAAGTAAAATGATAAAGTGGGCAATAAAGACCTCTGCGTGGCTACATTATATTAAAAAAAAAGGAGGTGCAATTGCGCATTTATTCATTGCTTGTATTTCATACCGGTTAAATATGAATATCAATCCCCATCTTTCTTTTGATTTCTTCCTCCATCATCCTAACACTCACGAGTCTCTGTTTACATGGAGAAAAAGAAAAAAAAAGGTTCGCGTGTCCTTGTTCCATCCTTGATATTCAGTTTTGGGTAACTTTTTTTTCATTGTCTCCGCGGTGGAGAAATGACCATGAATTAAAGAAAAGAGAGACCATCGCTCCTTTACTGTTAATCTTTCGCTCTTTAATTCTCCGGCACTCTCAACTCTAACTGTCTTAAACTGCAACCGACAAGTATATAATTTTGTGTTTGTGAGGAAGGGTCATTTTATCTCCTTCTTGATCTTCTAGGCCCCTCCCTTCCTGTTCCTGTCCTTGCTCTTTGTTCCTGCTCTTGCTCCTACCCGTCTTGTTCCGGAAAGCTCTTTTCATTTACTAACTCGTTCATATCTTTCTTTTTTTCCTCCAGGAAACTTTTGTATATTTCTCGCTCGCTCTCTCTTTATTAGAGTCTGTTCAAGTCTGGAGCTGAAAAGAATTATATATTATTGCTTTTTAACAGATTAATTGGGCTTTATCTTTTTTAAGATTTTCACCCATCCTTCCAATCCTCATACCCCCCTCTCTCATTGTAAATACATTTGTCATCCTTACTTTCCAATATGCCAGCACCAGCACCCGGCCTCCAGTCCATCTCGGACTTGACAACTACATCTCATATCACCACTGGCGATATTCCCCCGCCAATGGTTGGTGCCACCATGACAATTGTAGACAATCGATTGTTTCTATTTGGTGGCCGGCTGATCCAAACTCGTCAGATGACCAATTCACTCTACATCCTCAACCTTGAAGATTTTCATTGGCAGAATGTCTCCGAGACTGTTAATGTGGCTCCTACACGGGCCATTGGAGATCCTGGCGCTGAAGATGAAAACGAACAAGGTCATCCTCCTACAGAGAGGTACTTCCATACCGCAAATCCTTACAAAAATACAATAGTTTTCTTTGGAGGAATGGGTCCGTCCGGAAAAATTCTGGAGGGTCAGCAACAGGAACAGATTGTATTTGACGATATCCATATCCTGGATTTGGAACTTCTCCAATGGCGTCATGTACGTATTCCATCGTCACAGCACGCTCCAAAACCACGTTATGCACACCTGAGTAGTATCACTGGCAACAAATTAATTATTATTGGTGGTCAAGATATTCAAAACCAGTACATCGAGGAGCTCAATGTGCTCGACCTCGACAGTTTGCAATGGACTGCCTCAATGCCATTTGAGAAGCACTGCGGTTCCTATCGCTCGATTGCTGTCAGTCCCAACGGCCAAGGCACATCTATACCCATCATTGGAAGCGAAGTCAACGACTCAAACTCTGTTAGTAATCTTTCGCTGGCCGCCACAGGTGTCTCTGATGGGTTTCCTACTTCATATCTTCGAAAAGCCTCCTCCAGCACGTCGTTACATTATACTCCTTCACTCCGAAAAAGCTCTTCAAACATGACCATCTCAAGAAAAGGCGGCCCGGCATCGCGACTCTCTGTTGGATCGAGTGCTACTCTCGGTCTCTCCTCGCCTTCGTCTCTAGAGCAACGCTCTTCCATCAACAGACTCTCGCACCTCATGTCGTCAGCACCGGCTAAAGAGGAGCATCCTATCTATGTCTACTCCAACTTCAACTTTTCAGATGTCAAGCGGGAACTGCAAGTACTGACGCCACCAATATTTCATGTTCAAGACCATTCACAGTCCATGTCTGGGAATCTCCTGCCGCCAGGCTTGCGTTTCCCAACGGGCGCAATTGCAGGACAGCACTTGGTGCTCTCGGGAACGTACCTCAGTCAGGCACAACAGTCGTTCAGTATCTGGTCACTCAATCTTGCAAGTCTTGTCTGGACACGGATCGACACTGGCACGGTCTTTAGCACTGGATCCTGGAATCGTGGTATCATGTTAGAGAACACAAACACCTATCTGGTCTTTGGTAACAAGGACCGCAATCTTGCGGATGATTATCAGAACCGCCAGACCAATTTCGAACATGTTTCGGTCGTCGATTTGGAAGCCTTTGGTATCTATCAGCATCCACCAACGACTATGACACAGACAGCTCAGGAGCTCGGTCTCAGTTTGTTGAATGACCCATCTATGGCAGACTTTGATATCCTGACACAGGACCAACAACGTATCCCCATCAACTCGGCCGTGCTAGCTACCCGCTGGCCTTACTTTGCGACTCTGTTGAGGGAGCAGGAGGAGCGGGATGTGGAGCAATGCAAGGCGAACAACTCGGAGTACGACCCAACATTATCGCCAAAGAGGACATTGTCTCTGCCAGAGCCCTATCCGGTTGTCCTGGCATTCCTACAGTATCTTTACACTGATCATTTGGTCACAGCCCAACAACATCATCCTCAAGTCCTATCACAATTACTTCTCTTGGCAGATATGTATGGTTTGGACCGCCTTCGTGATCTAGCAACCCATGCACTCCACCAGATGTTGAATATGTCAACAGCCGCTATGGTCTATGAGACGGCAGCGCTGTCTCAGCAAACGGGACTTCAGATTCGCTCACTCAAGGTGATGATCGCAGCCAAGAAGATGCTCCAGCAACAACAAATGAAGCTCCAGCACCAACAGGCTTTGAACCATAGCACCCACTCCCCAGGCAATAGTTGGGCTACTACCACTGAGATCCTTCACCAGCAGCAACAGCAACAACAACAGCAACAACAATATTCTAGTACTATTATAAACGGAGGCCATGACGGCGTATCGCCTCAGTATGGCAATAGTAATTATGGCAGCAATCCCTCACCTTATCTGCAACAGCAGCAGGAGATACACGCGCACTTTCAGCCTATTTCACGTCCTCCACTCTCACCCGGGTCCATTAATGGGCCGCCATCACCAGACTACAACCGGGTATCCTTCCAGAGTTCAGCTTTACCCCATCCGACGAACCGGAGTCGAGGTTCGGCACTTGGATCCAGTTCAGGACCGAATAGATCAAGCTCTGGGGGTCTTGGAACCATGTCATCATCGCGTTGGAATACAGAGCCATTAACGCCACCGCCTGCGACGCCTTTGCCTTCAGCAGCGGCGGCGGCAGTGGCAGCGGCAGCAGCAGCAGTCCCTCAGACGCCACCAGCGACCAAGACATCATTCTTTTCCTTCCCTGGGTATAAAAACAAGCAGGCATCGCAAGCAGTGAATATACCAAGCTCTGAAACGAGTACATGGACTTCGTCCAAGAAGGGGGGTTCAACAACGATGTCGACTACCACAGGCGCATCTGATGGAGCAAGTGTGAAAAGCAACAGGAGTACTGTGAGCACAGGATCGGATCCTGACAAGAAGAAGACTGATGATGCGATGATGCAAAAGTTGCTCGATTCGAGCTTTGGTAAGTGTAGTAATGTGTGTGTATATGTATGTGAACAAAAGGTATTATGATTACATGAGAGATATGGGATGATTTACTGACTTCAAAAATTATTTTTTATTTTTTTATTTTTTATTTTTTTTTTATTCTCTTAATTTTGCTTAACGTTGAAAGGCATGGCTGTAGGAGGTCCTGGTGGCGTGGGCATGATGAGCTTTCGATAAATGAGGCCAAATGAAGATGGTAAACATTTATAAGAAAAGGAGTAGCACAATGTTCAATGATATCTGTTTTTTATTCTCATTTATTGTCGTTACAGTATATAGTTTTGTTCTTTTTTTCCCTCTTGACTCTTTCTATAGAAAAGAAGAAATAAGTACATATTAAACTTTTTTTTTTTTTTTTCTTTTTTTAAAAAATATATGAATATATATATATATATATTTATATATACCATCAAAGCAGAAGTAGGAGCAGAGAATGTTCAAACCTTTACGCGTGTCTCTTTTTTTTTTTTTTTTTTTCTTTATTTTTATTTTTTTATTGCCAATCAGGAAAGGATAAATAAAAAAAAAAAAAAAGGATCAAGTCACAGGACAAAGCACAAGACCATCGGATAAAAAAAAAAAAAAAAAACGGCAAAAAAAAAAGTCGCGTTTTTCAAATGGCGACGACATGATTCATTCAACTGTTTTAAGGTTTAATGACCCATAATAACGTCTTTTCTTGGGTGATCATGATCATTGCACAACCTGAAAAATAAAAAAAAATAAAAAGTTCAGAAAAAGAGCTCCTTTTTGCGGAGGTCAAATCCTCTTTTATTTTTTCCTCTTTCCCCCTTCTTCTTTGGATAGATGGATGTGTACATTCATGTACATTTTCATGTAATACGCCACTTTCTTTTTAGTTGTATCCGGGTGTACAGATCTATTAGATTATCCATCAAGATACTCCAGTGCGAAGCAGGGTATTTCTACTGTGGGAAGAAATATAAAAAAAAGTATAAACATGTACATGTACATGCATGTACTGTACCCAGCCCAGGGAAGAACAACGTGGATGGGCGAGGCTTTTCTGACGTGTGACAATCGATCTCATCTTTTTTTGAAAAAGAAGAAAAAATCACACGGACTAAACATAGAAAAAATCTCACAATGACCCCTCTTTTTTTTTTTTTTTTTTTTTTTTTTTTCCAACGTGCTTGGGTTGCATGCATTAACAAATAATGTTTATTTGTACATTGTCGAACATTGCGAAGCAAGGTTGCCCTATTTGGCCAGGATGGCACTTTGTTAATGTTGCACAACACAATTAAAATGCGAGGGAAATAAAGAAGAAAAAAGGCGTTGCAATGATTTGGTGTAGAATTCGATGCCCGGGAAGTTTTTTTCTTTTTGCAAGATGTTCACTCTAATATAGATGTATATATATATATATTTTCTCTCAAGGACTGTATATATTTTACCCCGACAACCTTTTTCTTTCTTTTCTGTACATTTCTCTTCTCTTTATTGCGCTGTGTATAAAAGAAAAAGAGTGCTTGGTTGAGCTGAATGGGGGAGATTTGGATGGCAGTAAGTTATGCCGTGAAAAAAAAAAAAAAAAAAAAAAAAAAAAGAGTTTTCGGTATGGCATGCGTTGTCGGAATTGAACGAATTTAAAGGACAGCAAAGACGATGATTCGATTCGTTTGATTTTTAGATTTTTCTTACAAAATGGTCAATCCTCCATATGAATAGCATGGATGAGAAAGGAACTTTGAGGGGCTAGAAGGTTGAATGCTTTACCTAGATGACGAGGAGATGATCCCAAGAAATCAATAAAAATAAAGTATGTAAAATAAAGGAATGGCGCGTAAATCCTCCTAGATCGTAGATGGATGGGTCATAACTAGAAATAGAAATAGGAAAAAAAAAAAAAAAAATTGTTGTGCATAGCATTTCTTTGGAGCCAAAGTCAGGATTAAGTCATATACACATGAATAGATTGTCAGAAAAGTCAATTTCGGTTTCAGGCAAAGGAAAAGAAGAAACATGTAGCAAACAATGCCGAAAAAAAAAAAAAAAAAAAAAAAGTATGGAGAAAAGGAGAGTCAGGAGTTGGGAATAATCATCGGCATTTATCGTAGCGAAAGAAAATAAAAAGTCATTCGCATATTACTCACCCAGTTTTAGTCAGACTTGGAGACCCTGCATGACAGTTGGTTTCTTTAAAAGGTTTCCCAATAATCATTTACATGTATATGTACATGCACAACATTACAGTTAACGAACAAAGGATGGCATGTGTTCTTCATGGACGACTTTTATGTGGGATCATGCCATGACCATGTTGAAGCAACTTTTATTTTATTTTTTTTTATTTTTTTTTTTTTTTGTTATTTTGTTTTTATAGAGGTCATGGGAATAAAAAGTAACCAATAAATGCCTTGACATTCACATCCAGAATTTTATTCTGAAAATGTGTGGCAACAAACAAGGATGTAAAAACAGGTCAGAACAGGAAAACTTGTACACGTTCCATTGCATTACCCCACAAAAATAAAGAAAAAATCAAAACAAAACCAAAAGCAACAAAGAGCTTTTTTTATTTTGTATTATTTTGTATTATTTTATTTTATTGTTTTATACTTCTTCTGGGCTGTCGCACGTTCCTAGGTCTTTGACCTATGAAACGACCTTTTGGATCCTGAAGAAGAGAGATTAGGAAAGATGTGAGAAGAGAGATGGGGCCCAAATTCCACACTCGTCCTCTCATCTTTCAAAAGACATGCGTCGAGTGAACGTCTTGAAACCAGAACCTTACTTTGCTATTTCTAACACAAACACTAGAAGAAGGATGGGATGGTGGAACAAGCATTCTCGTTGGCCAACAAGCCTTTGATGAGAGCGCAACAAAGCCTATTCAATTGTAAAACACAATGTTGGTGTAGATGGAAGCTGTGGTTGCGTTTGCAGGGCAGAAGTGATTTATTTATCTTGATTGGTGCCTTTATTTTTTTTCTTACTTGCATGTCAGCCTGTGCATTTTTTTTTTTTACTGCCCGCTGAGAACCTTCCAGCTCTCTTTTTTGCCCTTTCCTATATCTTATGGACAGTGACAGTGTGTAAAAAAAAAAAAAATATAAATAAAATCCTATAAACATTCTCACATTTCTCTTCTCTTTTTCTTTTTCTTTTTCCCCCCTTTTTTTCCATCATATCGATTGACATTTCTTCACAGACATTCAAAAGCATTTCACACACGCACAACTGTCTTCAGTAGTTCAATGACGACCCGTGTCCTTACTTCCATGCGACTGCCGCCTCCTCTGTCTTCCTCCCTTGTATCCTCATCGTCCACTACTCGCATCTTACTTTCTTCTTCTTTGCTGCCCAAGCGCAGTTTCCATCCATCTTTACTCTCCCACGCTCAGCGTCCCCCCCAAAAATCTCAATCTTTCCCTTTCTTCTCTTCCTCCCGTTTCACACACCATCAATCCACCGCCGCTGCTACCGCCACCGCTGCTGCTCCCAAGACTCCTGTTTGGCAAAAGGTAGCTATCGGCGGCACTGTCGCCCTTGCTACCTCTGCTACCCTCCTGAACCGACTTGTAAAGGCTCCCCATCTAGAGGCAGGGAACAGCTACTCCATCAGTATCGCTGGCAACAATGTGATCGATGATCTCAAAGATGAACAGAACCGTATTGGAGTCGAGAAAAAGTCAACAGCAGAGTTGATGTTGTCCATGTTGGTCTATAAGATGTGCACCTTTCGTCTATTGGTCGATCTGGCTCCCCAGTTGATTTCCCTGGCTGAGATGATGCACCTGACCCCACCGGTTTATTGGTTCATCCGCAAGACATTCTTTGCACAGTTCTGTGGGTAAGTTGGTTAAACATTCCACATTATTTCAAAAAACCCAAAATTCCGCCAATGTTACAAGCACAACATGCCTTCACTATCAAATAACTTTCCCATGATGGAAGAAGAAAGAACAGAAGTTCGTCCAATTATTGGGTCTTTTCTTTTATAAAAAAAAAAAAAAAAAAAAAAAAAATTAGAAATACAGAGCACCTGATTGAGTGATCGAAAGAAAGGGATGGAATTAAGAAAGGGGAGAGTGAGTGGAGTAGATGTAATTGAAATATGTTATTGTGTACCATTACATTACATGACATTATTTTACCACGGCTAATTCCAAAAATGGAATACTGTTAAACCCAGAACGCCTTTAAGCCGTTTTGTTTACGGGATGACATACTCATAAACAATTTGGGTTTACTAGCGTGGTTTCACTAAAAGGGAAGAGGGAAATGCTTACAGCTTTACTATAGACCCTGCAGTTTTATTAGTCTCTTCTCTTCCCCATCTCTACTCGAATGCTTGCTTGATCTAGTTTAGCGTTGGAGATCGAATGTTAAAATGTCAATAGCGTTGCATTACATTATATAATACAGCAGTAACCAGCATTGGGCGGTGGCTGTGAATACGCATTCCCTCCTTTCCTTCGCTCTTTTCTCTATCTAGTAAATGGAGGTCATTAGTGAGCTGTAATATGCTGTTAGCCAATTTATTCTGTCTATATTACACCTGTTGGATTGAATGTCATATCATCATCAGTTTTTGGTTTTCAAGTCAGCTGAATAGATTACACTCTATATCGTATTATCATGTGTTAACCTGTTGTCGTCTGATTTTTTTTTTTTTTTTATTCTTTTACAGTGGTGAATCTGCTGAAGATTGTATCGGAACAATGAATAGTCTCAAGAGTGCAGGCATCAACTCGATCTTGGATTTGTCCATTGAGGCCGATTTGAATGAAGCGGACCTTCAGAATCAATCCCCAACAGAGATCCGTGCCAGCTTCAATAAGAGCGCTGACAATATTGCTCAACAAATCAGCACTTGTATCGAAACTGCCTCTGCTCTATCGAAATCCTTTGCTGCCATCAAAATCACCGCCATGGGCTCACCTCTATTGTTGAAACAGGTTTCCTCTACATTGAAGGCCGTTGAGAACAAATTCAAAAATATGGATCAGGACAAAGACGGAAAGATTACAAAAGAAGAATTTAAGCAGATTGTAAAGTTGCTTCCAAGTCCTGCCCTCGACAAAGATCAATCCATCGAGTCTGTTGTCGAGCAGTTATTCAAAGAGGCTGACAAGGATCAGGATGGTATGATCGACTGGGTTGACTTTGCTTCCACCGTCTCTTTGAATCGTGAGGAGACTCGCTCGTTGTTCATCAGCAATGAAGTCTCTTCATCTGAACCAATCCCTGGCCTGATCAAGGAGGATCTTGAGGACTACAAGCGTTTGTTGACACGCATGGAGAACATTTGTAATCAAGCTCAAAAAACCCATACCCGTCTCATGATCGATGCCGAGCAGTCCTACTTTCAACCTGCCATCGATGCTGTCGCCCTGCACCTCATGGAGCACTACAATAACACACCTCATGTAGATGGACCTCTTGTCTTCAACACGTACCAAATGTACCTCAAGGACGCCTTTGGCCGTCTTCAGCAGGACTATACCCGTGCTCAGCGCAACGGTTACGTGTTGGCTGCCAAGCTTGTCCGTGGCGCCTACATGGTCAGTGAACGTAAGCGAGCCATCGAGTTGGGATTGGAGGACCCTATCTGTGATGGTATCCAAGCGACCCATTCCTCTTACAATGCTGGGGTTGATTTCATGTTGGAAAAGATGATTGAACAAAAGCAAAAGTTGATCCAAGAAAAGGACCAGAATGGGTCACCGTCCTCACTCTCACTCAAGACCACCCCCGTGGTCCTGTTTGTTGCTTCACATAACAAGGACTCTGTGATGCGCACTTGTGAACGGATGCAAGAGCTTGAATTGACTCCACAAGCTGGTTTGGTTATGTTTGGTCAACTGATGGGCATGTGTGATCAGATCTCATACACGCTTGGGCAGCATGGTTATGGCATCTACAAGTATGTTCCTTATGGCCCTATTCATCATGTCATTCCATACTTGATTCGGTAAGTCCTCCCTCTACTTCAAGAATACTTTTTTATGTACAAGAAAGCAAAAAGTTTTATTATCAAAGTGATTCCTTGAAACTAATTGACAAATCTCTCTTTTTTTTATTTTTTTATTTTTTTTATTTGTTTTAATAGTCGTGCCCAGGAGAATGCTTCTGTTCTTGGTGGTGTTGCAATTGAGCGTAATTTGTTGTGGCAGGAGCTCAAGTCTCGTTTCATTGCCCAGAAAGAGCGCGCACAGATCCAGGCTGTCCCTACACCCATAGTACCCGCTGGTCCTGCTACTACTTTGTAAAAAAAAAGGCTTAAGGAATTTTTCCTCGCACCAGCAAACCCTACTCCCCTCTCCTCTCTATTCTCTCCATCAAGGCTTTTTACAACATAGCAATATTTTTCCGTGTTTTTGGGTTTTTTTTTTATTTATAATTTTTTTTTAACTTTTCCAAGATAGACCTGGTCATAGCACATCTATCATGTTATCATTAACCCTCTCATTGTATATTATACTGCAATCTTTCAATAAAAAAAATTATTTAAACATTCAATTTCCTTTTTCAGTCACACAAAGACCCTCGTTTTTTATCAGCTTTGTCTTTTTATTTTTTCTTCCAATCTAGATGAGTACATCTCCTTTTACACTTGCGGGACACACAGGCATTTCAATTAAGCAAACGCGTTTTCGTGAGATTTAGAATTGACAAAGGAGATACCTCCTTTTTTCGGGCGTGTGTGTGTTCGTGTTTTCGCAGCTTTTTTTTTTTTTTTTTTTTTTTTTGAAACATGATCATGGATGAGGATGCGGCGTCACAGGATCAACAGCAACAACAACAACAGCCAGAGCAACAGCAGCAACAATCATCACAAACAACAACCGAGGCCAATCTTGACACAGATATTGCCGTTGAAACGGTAACGCTTGTTTCTATAGTGGAAACTGATGCGATTCATTTGGAGTCTTCGGAGGAGATGCAACTGGATACAGTTTCTAATGCCAAACGAGTATTACCAGACGACAATGTTGACCACAACCACGACCATGGCCACGACCACGACAATAGCACTCTTGGTTCAGGTCTACTCTCTTCTAACAACAACAGCAACAGCGACAACACCACTCAGACAGTGACTCTACAAGAGTCGTCTCAATCTCTTGAAGCTCATAGCCAGGAAGATGTCATTAGTAATGTAGAGGCACATGGACATAAGAAGCGGAGGATATCGGTAAGGAGAAAACAAGAAGGAAACAGTTTTATGAAGAGAAGAAAAGATCAAGTCAATGGTGTTAACAAGAAAAAAAAAAAAAAAACTTTTTCTATATTCAACACGTATGGGTAGTTGCCAGGAAAGTCTATTCTCAAATCCGCAACCCAAGCCGAGGATAATGATCTTACAGGCAATGAGGAGACTCCTGCTGCTGCTGCTGCTGATAAAGCAGCGGATGAATTGACTGGTCATGGAGACGTCGACCCATCTGAAGCTACCGAAACACTCAAACCTAAAACGTAACGAGAACAGATGAGGTTTACGCTTTTTTTTTTTTTTTTTTTTTTGACGTTTCTTGTATGTTGAATATCACTATAATTTGTAAATGTCTACCATTTCAGTGAGTTCACAACGCGGAGCCGTAAATCCATTGAAAGGCGTGTTAGTTTTGCAGCCACTGCCAGAATTAGGTAATAAAAAAGACCATAGTCTGCCAAGACAACTGACTACGTTTTGTCAAAGCATTTATCATGTCTTCATATGACGTTGTGTTATTTGTATATATGTATTTTAACCTACACTGTCATATTTGAATAGGATGTTTGAACGTGATAAAGAGGAAGATGATCATCCAAAAACAATGAGCTATTTGGAAGGCCGCAATTTAAAAGAGACTCTAGGCACTCCTTTCTTGTTTGGAAATAGCACAAGGTAAGAAACGTTCTCTCTCCTTTTTTTAGATAAACGATCAACTGAGCTGTGGACTGTATAACAGATCCTATAACCCCTAATATTTCTAAGTGAAAATGAACATAGTAGCCAAGGTTCTAATGATAGCAATGATTCTACAACACCTGCAGATCCAAGGAAGGACGCTCTCGAGCCTGGCGAACATACTGGAAACTCCATTGAAAGCAGTGATTCTGAGAAAGAGTATGTCACCCTATAAAAGCTATGTAGTGGAGCAGAGGGTCATTATAATCGTTGTATGAAATCATTCATCTTTTTTTTTTTTTTTTTTTTTTTTTGTGGGGATGTTGGCTATTTATTAGACGCAGCTTTGAAGTCAATGTCTATTATGGCAATCCCGATAGTGCAGAAAGTCCAGGAGGAAGTGTCGCGTTTGCTATACCATCATCGGATTCTGATTTCGGTAAAAGTCCTTTTAATAATGGAGATATGGGTAATGAAAGCAGCGGCGACGAAGAAAACAATTACTTTCCTGAGGTCACCCTTATGAAGCGATCATCAGGGGTAGGGCTTTATCAGAACGACGGGGACAATATATTAGGTCCCAAGATTGACCTTAGCCATACGACAGAGAATCCTCCAATATCACAGTCATCTCAGAGCCGGGATGCCGATGGAATCCAGGACCATAGCATGGAGTATCGATTTCAAAATCACCGGTCATCCCTCACTGGAAGACCCCTAACACCACCACAGCTTGATCCAAATCAAGATCTTACAGCTAATTTTACCAGTTCACAGCAATATAAAGATAATCGAAATCATGCTTCAGACGCTCATATACCCTCATCGACAGATGAAAACCAGTTATCCCATGAATTCTTCAACAATCTACACGCGCCACCAGCGGCTCCACAAAAGGATCTGACAGGCGATCTTGCACACCTAACAGGGACTGTAGGCCTTGGTGCCATGGACGTTCTTGATGATGACGGAAGATCTATCTTGGATGAGGACACCGATATGGATATCACAGCACCCATTGGCGCTGGTATCCAACAGCTTGCGCAGGAAATGCCACCAACTGCCTTCCACCAGATGGAGGACAATACTTCCATATTTTCCGACCCTGGAACACCGATGGACATCACTCAGCCCTTTGGTGCAGGTATTATAGAGGCCCGCAGCGAACAGCCCCCAGAAGCCGAAAGTATATCAAACCAACATACTTCTCAGACTGTTAATATACCATTGCCGACAATCAGCACGCCTAGATCATCCATAAGTTTTGGGAACAATAACAACAATGATAATGACAACAGTAATGACGACAAGAGCATAAGAAATACCAATAGTCATGAAGAGCACATACAGGGACAAGAGCATTGCCAAAAAGGCACGAGCATGGTTTCACAGGACGATATCCCTCTCACTGAACAACCATCGGTACCATCTACGCCACCTCGTCGAGTCTCCCAGCCTCAATACAACCCCCGCTCATCCGCTTCATTCTTCAGACGCAGTTTGGGTACCCCTGGACGTTTCACACCAAACACCAAAGCACGCCCTAATATCTTTCCTGAAGTTCTTGAAAGGCAGCTTCAGACTCTTGAAACCTCAGCACCAGGAGAACCAGGTAAAAAAAAAAATTAGAATGTCTCAATTTCATGTTACATTTGCTTTCTATTCCAACATTAATTATCTCAATCTTATGGATATTCAAATAGTCTTCCATGCTTTACATGTCAGTCCTGAGACGAGTAATCTAGCCAAGAGGATCTATAGATACTCTATCTGTGCGTCTTCTAGGATGAGTGAAAGCTTTCAAAGCAGATTAAATGAAAATCGAGACAATACTCTCGATCTCACATCCTTTGAAAAAAGACTATCCTCTGTCCCAAATACTACCTATGGTAACATTTTTGATCTGCTATTGTTATTATGCGATATTGTGTAGAGTAGCTTCTTAGGGTGATGGACTAATTTATAAAGTGCTGATCAATATTTATACTCACGTAGGTAAATCCAACGAACTGCATTCAATAGTCAATCAGGAAATACTAGATGATCATAATAATAATGAAGGTGAGGATCAATCACCAGAAGATAAGCAAAAAGAGTCGGATGAAGAGGCGCAGGAGACCTATGAAGATACTGCACAAGAAGGCACAGCAGACGAAGATTCTTTTGTAGAGGTACAATTCAACGTGTTTGCGGCAACTACATAGTCAAAAAAAGAAAACCCATCAATTGTATCCCAGGTACCACGTCTGACTTTTTTTTTTTTTTTTTTTTTTTGACTATTCTCTTCCATTTTGGTTTATGATAGTTGCCTCCTATCACATTAAGTAAATTCCTGAATCTTGTAGGAGTTTCGTTCCTGGACCACCTTACTGCTAGCACACGACGTCGAACTATCCCTCCTAGAGTGACAGAATCTGAAGGTTCAAAGGAGGTATACCGTAGCTCAGATTTAGTAAAGGCGATGGCCATATCCATGCAGGATTTATATTCATACAGAGAGGCGTGTCGACTGTTAAAGCAATCGATTGATACCAGCCGGGCATATGCAGAGGAACAAGAGAGGAGAATGAACAAGAAAAATCCAGAGTATTTCCGGGAGTTTCGTGAGAGTGACTCAGAGATCAAGGAGCTTATAAAGGATCAGTTCAGGATGGTTAAAGTTTATTCAAAATTGGAGACCAGTGCGGCTTTTAATAACTGGAAGTCTGATCTCTTGAAAATGGAACAAGAAACGCTGAAGCAGCATCTAGATGGACTCAAGAAGGTAAAAAAAAAAAAAAAAAAAAAAAAGAGAAGGAGAGAGAGAGAAGAAAGAAAGAGTATGCAGAGATCATTCGTTGAATAGATGTTTTACTAACTCCTCTTTTTATGTTTTTACACTTTATTTATTTATTTGTTGCAATGGCTATAATATGTGAATACAAGGACATTATGAACCTCAGCGGGTTGGCGTCAACGCTTGCAAAGGAAAAGGCAAAGGTGATACCAAGGCGCGATGAGCTTCGACAGCAGTTAGAAGAAGCCACTCAGCGGCAACACGGCTATGAGTTAGTTGACAAGGAGCAATTGGCCAATCTTGCAGAGGCAGCAGAGGAGCAGGGGTAAATGAGCTTTTATTTTTATGTTTTTATTTATTTACTTCTTTATTTTTATTTTATTTTTTTCTACTTTGGAAATGAGCTTGCTCTTTGCTTCGCAGCCGTGAAGACGATGTCACAGCTAACTCTTTTTTTGTTTTGTTTTGTTTTAGAGCACAAATTGAGCACTATGAGTCTGTCAAAGATAAGAAAGCAAAAGAGCTAGCAGAGATCAGGGCACGAGTGGAACAACTTCAGTTAGTTGAAAAGACAACCAAGGAAAGGATCATAGAGGCAGAAAAGACAGTTCAGAAACATCAGTATGTACGTGTGGAAGACCTCAATCGGGCAAAAGATACTCTGAGCATCATCCAAGCAATCCATCGATGGGAACCAGTCCAGCTCCAACAACTTGCTCAGCCTACAGCAGGGTTGCAACGTCTGAACAAGCCGCTGGAGTTTATCTATGACAGGACATTGAAAGTGACCATTGATATCACTAAAATCGGGAAGGATCCTAATGCGGTCCAATTATCTGAATATCTGGACGGGAACACTATGGATTTTAATCATGTCTCTCAACAAACCGAGCGAAGACGACCACGACTTGCAATCTTGGCACTGATGCCTAAAAAGCCAAAGCCAGTTAAGGAGGTAAATAGTGTATCCTCCAACTATGACACATTTTTTTCAGAGAAAGAAAAGTTAAACAAAAATTTTCTTTAATCGTTAACCCTTTTTTTTCTCCTTTTCCTGGATACTGATCAGTATGCAGGTCTCTTACGCGACTTTACAACGATGATCGCGACCAAGTATAAGGCAGGGACAGCGATCAGCAAAATCCTGAATGACATTAGTCAGTTTTGGCAAAGGATTAGTTTGATCCGACGGGACGTGGAACTGGTGCGGGTACATCATGTCGTCGATCTTGTAGCTGGATCTGTAGAGAATCTCAAGGAGCTGGAAGGAAGCAATGATGATACCAAAAGCGGTGGGAACACAGCCAATAATATTCAATGCTCAAAGCGGCAAATCGCTGGATCGACAGTGCCGATCGTTGTGCTCGATATTCGGGTTCGATTCACAGGACCGATTATTGGTGGTATTAGTAGTAGCGATAATGCAGGGGGAGGCTCAAAGAGCCATTCATCAGATCATAATTATACTGTGGACCAGGATATAGAAATGGATGATACCAGTTCGAACGCTGGTATGGATAGAAATGAAGACGTGAATGGTAAAGACCGAGGTCAACCTCAAGGTCAAGGTCGAGAACATGAGCCAAGTAACGATGACATGAGTCGTAGCAATAATAAGGATATGAATCATCCCAGTCCTAGCGATTCAAGCCGGAGCAGGCGTGATCATGGCAAGGACTTCAAGTCTGTGAATGAGCCTGTCAAGTTTTATCTATGGTTCACATTTACATTGAATGACATTTTGAGCTTTCCTGGACCGAATTCGTTCACATGGCGACTGGAGATGGTCTATGGAAACATGGATGAAGAGTATGTGGCTCAAGCGATAGGACCCATCATCAAAAAGGGTGGATACGATGTATTGCGAGAAACATGTCTTAAGGTCAATCAACTCTTAAGGATCTGATCATCATGTTCAAACTTTTATATATATAGTAAAGTACAAACGATAACATGTAATATAATAATTAAGAAAAAAAAAAAAAAAAAATTCTGATTCCAACATGTCAACCCTTTTTTTTTTTTTCCTTCCACTGCTCATTTCCTTTGCTTTTTTCAGCCCAAAGAAACAGGCAAGAAATTGCCAACAATCACTGTTGGAATGTTGTACTTGTCTCTCCTGATCGTAAAAGAGAAACAACAGGAAATAACATTTTGACTTTCTGGATCTGGGTTCTTGAGAAGACAAGATGTTAAAACAGCCTTTTGTCCTGCATCGAACGCAATATTTCCATATTTCTATACATTTGTAATTAAAAAAAAAAAAAAAAAAAAAAGGTGAAGTTGAGGGTTAGCCATGCAATGCGCATCCATTTTTGATCGCAAAAAGGAAAAATATATACAAGTTAATTTTTTTTTTTTTACCTCCCAATAGTTCACTGCAGACTCTTCTGCCATTAATTCGTATATACATAGACGTCCTTCACGGAGCATCTCGAGTGGAACGTTGACAAGCGACGCAAATTCCTTGTTACCTTTGTAAATCTCTCCCGTACGCCTCCATAGACATGCAGGAATGCCCATCGAGCTAAAGACTCGATCATAATCCTTTTGTTTAATATAGATATTATATATTAAAGGAAGGATAAGTTAGATTGAGTAAAGAAGATAGGGAAAAGCCTACCACAAGACATTCAAAGAAGAGCAAGGAGGGGGTTTTTTTTTGTTCTTTTCTTTACCAAAAGTAATCTTTCAAAAGCTTCTTCTACTAAAACAAGGTCAATATCCGTCAATGACTGAGCAACAGTTCTGAAAGCAGGTCGAAATGTTCCCATGACATTCAATATCCTTTGCCGACTAATATTCGACATGCTAAGACGTCAGGTATTGTAGAGAAGAATAAAAAGTAAAAATCAGCACAAGAGCTTTTTTTTTAAAAAAAAAAAAAAAAAAAAAAAAAAAAAAAAAAAAAAAAAGCTTTAAAGAGCATACTTGCTATCCATGTATTTTTGCAGACGTGAGTATCCGTTGACATAGTTGTACGGCTTCAAAAATCCTGCCTCAAACTTAGCATTAATCACTTGAGTCAATCGATCTTCATTTGTGCCGTCACTGGGATCTGCAGCCGTCAAGAAGAATTTTTCAGTCGTATTAACAGGGATCGCTGCATCTGCAAAAACATTTTGTTGGTCGCCTCCTAAACTCTCAAGAAAGTCACTATTAACAAAAAAAAAAAAAAAAAAAAAAAAAAGACAGCAACAGAGTGTATGTATAATGTGAGTAAAGGAGCGAAGCAATATCATTCATTATCCATAACCTATTACATCTTGATGATCCTTTAGCTTTTTTTTTTTTTTTCGTACCTAATGACAGTAAACTCATTCCCCATATGTTCACTTGCAAATGTCAAAGGTGTAACAGGGAGTGCAGCCAATTGATTGTTGAACCCATAAAGTTGTTGGATATTACCCAGTCCACTGTTCTGCAACTGTGCTAATTGTTGTTGACTGAAGGGTTGTTGAACCTGTGGCTGCTGCTGTTGTTGTTGCTGTTGCTGCTGCTGTTGTTGTTGTTGCGTCCTTCGTGCATCTGAAGATCTTGAAAGTCCTGCTACTTGGTTAGTGTTTGTATTGAGATGCTGAGATGAGGTTGAAGTTGAAGCAGAGGGCGCGGCGGCGGCCGCAGCAGCAGCAGCAGCAGCCGAGGGTTTAGGTTCATCATGGCATAGATGTCCAATATTCCTTTTGATGCAGCGTTGACATGGCCGACCTTTTTATATAATATTATCAAATGATTGATGGATTAAATTAATGAATGTTTCTGTTTTGGTACTCAGCCCAATATACAGACAAACAACAGCCATCAATTGATGTTTTTGAGCAAGCAAGGAAGCAATAATAAAAAGCTTAATCTTACCATCATCGCAGGTCATATGGGATCGTCGGCAGTATACACATGCTATTATTTTCACGCGAGGCAGCAAAAAAAGTAAGGGCGTAAATCGTGTGAAAAAATATATGGATAAAAAAAAAACCAGACATAAAAAACATCCATCTAGACTCTGAGCCTATAACTTGTTAGCTAAAAATTGTTGCCCTGATCTTATTACTTTCTTTTCTATGGCCCAAATGATCCAGAAACAAGCAAACAAATACTTACCATGGGTTACTTTGCGTCTCTTGGGGCCGTTTCTCTTCTTTTTGGGATCAGAGGCGGCTTCTTCATCCAACTGTTGTTGTGTCTTTTCTTGTCCATTATTGTTATTACTATTACTGTTATTATTACTATTGCTTCCGTTATTTGCAGATTTGCTATCGGATTTGTCTTTTGCAACAGTGCCTGTGTTGTTGTCGCTGCTAGGGTTGGTGGCATTGTTTTTTTTATTCGAACCGTTTCCAGTGGAATCCGATGAGTTGTTCATGACTTTAATGGTTGTTCCTGATTTGAATGAGTGTTTCTTTCTTTCTTTTTCTCTCTCCTTTTTTTTTTTTTTTTTTTTTTTTTTTTTTCCTTAGTTCTCAGTAAAAGTTTAGATAGCTATGCTTTGATGAATGAGAATGTAAAAAAAGGTGTTGGTAAAAGACAAAAAGTGTGAGAGAGAAAGAGAAAAAAGAAAAAGACAGGTTTATTTATTTATTTGGCTCAAAATTCATCAAGAAAATTTATTTGATGTGTCAGACAGAGAGAAATCCAGATCCTGGATTCAATCCCTGTCATTATTATCACTAACACAGTCATTACATTATCACCATATTGTATGAGCACTATTATATAGTACACTATGATTGATTGACTGATTATTTGACCTGCGGACTGAACCTTTGCTTCCTCTCCAATCCAAGCTTGGGGACAATATAAAAAAAAGTAAAAGACTAGTTTGCAGAAAGTAATACATTCATTACATTTATATCAAGAGAAGCATGTTTGAAAGAAGTCACATTAGCAGCGCTGCTTCGCAAAGCAAAGTTCTACAGCACAGACACTCTTTTTCTTCTCTCTTCTTCCCCTCTCTTCTTCCCCTCTCTTCTCTCTGTCTTCGTCATTGCCCACCCCTTTCTATACTCACAACCCCAACTCAGCTCAATATCGAAAGAAACAAAGAATAATAATAACACATCAATATAAATACACAAATACATACGGATATCAAAGCGCTGTTGGATAAAAAAAAACAAACAGGAACATAAAATAAAAAGAAAGGAAGAAAAAAAACACATTCATAAACAACGTACACTACAAATTGCACAATGGCAAAACCCATGTTTGCTCGTCGACTCTCGAAAGAGTTGAATGGTAAATGTCAAGTTTAATAGGAATATTTGTTATGCAAAATAACTCCAACAATTACCACGGAACAAGAACAAAAAAAAAAAAAAAAAAAAAAAAAAACTAACTAACACTCTCCAACTAACTCCTTGTTTCCTTTTCACAAAACCCATATGGGAATGCTAATGATAATAATAATAGACCTTGCAATGAATCCTCCTGCAGGGATCGATATCATCGATGCTAATGACTTTAAAGTGTATGGACATTTGTTAAGCCCAAGCTAAAAGAAGTTTCTAGTTAACTGGGGAAAGTTGTTATTTCTCCTTGTTTTAAGCATTACAACATCTGACCTTCATTATTTATTTTATTTTCGCCACTTTACTAGTTGGAGACTGGGCCTTGCTGGAGCGCCAGGAACACTTTACGAGGTATTTATATGAGCTAGACAAGTTGCCAGAGTAAAGCAGATGGCATTCTCAACAGTATACGAAGCCTTAGGTTATCAGAAAGAAGCGTATACAATAACACCTCTAATTTGCTCTTTTTTTGCCACTGAATCTCCAATGTGTTTCCATCTACATGATCACGTGCCACAATGTTGCAGGGCGAGAAGTTTCAGCTCGAGGTAAAACAGCTGAAGCAAAAGCATGAGGTGCAAACATCATGGTATTTGAAGGAAAATGAAATCATATTAAAAGACTTCTTTTTAATTTAATGTTTCTTGACTCTAGTTCAATTTCGGGCCAAATTATCCTCTAGAATCCCCACAAGTCCTTTTTGTGGGTGATAACGTACCGATTCATCCACATGTACGTTTTTTCTTTTCTAACGATCATTATTTGTTATTTTGATCTCTATCTTATTGTCTCTCCAAACAGCACATAAGATTATAGAAATCGACTTTTCTTTCTTCTTCTTCATATTGACCTTTATTTTGTTTCTTACTACTGATAGATTTACAGTAATGGACATATTTGTTTGGATGTGCTTTATAATCATTGGAGCCCTGTACAAACAGTAGCATCGATATGTCTCTCTCTTCAGTCTATGTTGTCCAGCTGCACATCCAAAGAACGACCACCAGATAACGCTGCTTATATCAAGACTGCACGAGCCAACCCTAAGCATACAACCTGGGCATTCCATGGTAAGATGGAGCTTTTAAGCATTGTGGCATTAAAAGAAAGCTCAAGTATTCCAATGCTTTAAAAGAACGAAAAAAAAAAGAAAAAAAAAAAAAGGGATGTCTATAATGGCTAACTTCTTTTTTATGTCTATACATATAAATATCTACTCATGACAATAAGATGACACTGTCTAAAGCGAGGCGGACAAAATAGCCATGGATCAAAGCATATACAAGCATGTCATATTTCAAGAAGTAAATAAGGATCATTGGCGATTTATTTTATACGCGCAGACAAATGGAAACAAACGGATAAAAAGCATTGATCTCATCAAATTATCGACGTTTTCTGCATCAAAATCAGATCCACGGTGCATTTTATTTTGTTTTTGTTTTTTTTAAAAAAAAAAAATAGATATGAGCTACCAACGGCAGCAATAAACAAGAGTATCGATCCTGTCATTTTTGGTTTTTTATCTGATACATCGAGCAATAAGCATGAACGAGACAAATTTTCAAATTGAAACTTATGAGGTCAGATAGATTTTATTTTTTGCTTTTTGTGGTGAGTGGACTGAAGCTATGATTTCTATATGAAGTTAGAAGAAGAGATATTACAATGAAGGGGGAAGAAGAAGTAAGGAAGAAAGGAATGTGAAAATGAGGCCACAAAGCTATCATTTTTTTTACTATATGCTATATCATACGGACAAAACGTTACAACATTCAAGCATAAGGATCTTTTTTTTTTTTTTTTTTTTTTTTTTTTACTGATTCATGAGACGTCTCTCCAATTTCTCAAACTCGAGTTGTCCCATTTCTTCATCAGCATCAAAGACCTGTTCAACTGAGGTAACCTCAGGGACATAGTGCATCAACATATTTTCGATACCGTTCTTGAGGGTGACAGTTGAGCTATCACAAGTTCTGCAAGCACCCTTCAGCTTCAGTTTGACGATACCATCCTCAAATCCTCTGTATTCGATATCACCGCCATCGTCCTGAATTGAAGGACGGATACGGGTATCGAGTAACTCCTTGATCATCTGGACTGTCTCACTATCATCTTCCAAGATCATGGTATCGCTATGAGTCTCAGCTCCTTCTGCAGATTCAGAGATAATGGGTTGACCTGAGGCAAAGAAATCCATGATAGCAGAGTAGATGTCGGGTTTCATCAGTTGCCAGACAGCATCCTGATCCTTTGTGATGGTGAGAAAATCAGGTCCAAAGAACACACCACGGACGCCGTCGATCTGGAAGAGTTTCTTGGCTAAAGGGGAATTCATAGCGTTACGGGCATCCAAGAACTCGGCTGTAGAACCATCTGACATGACTGCAACTCCAGGGATGAACTTGAGAGAGTCTTGATTAGGTGTTGTGTCGGTCTGAATGAACATGGTGCGAACTTTTTTTTTTTTTTTTTTTTTTTTTTTTTTTTAATCAAAAGAGGATTTGTCGAAAGAGAAGAAGAAAAAAAGTTGAGTACATTGTTGCCCTCACCAGCCTGCTATGTTTCTAAACAGCAATCTGAGAAAGCTCCCTTTTTTTTCTTTTCTTCCCTCTTTTTACCTTGTTGAGTAGCAGCCAGATTGATCTTCATAGCTCTGGTCGGGATTTGTCTGCTGAAAAGGGACCATGCTGCTGCGGAGCGGGTGTCGATAGTGTTGTTGAGGAGTGTGCGCTTTGTAGTAGCAGCAGCGGTTGAGGTCAAAAGAGTCCGCTTTGTACTGAAAGAGACAGCTGTGGCAATGGTATTAGAAGTACGAGCGGGCAAAAGTCTGAACATGATGTGTAAGTGCGGGTAAAGGTAAAGAATGAACAACAATGGAAAAAAAAGAAAAAGATTTAGTGCTGAAAGTGGAAGGCGAGTTCCGTGTTTGGGCAAAATGAAATAGATCGCCGCTTACTTAAGGGTAAAAAGGCCTTGGGACTGCTTTTTGTCGAAGCTAATTCAGCTAGTGAGCTGGTGAGTGAGCTGGTGAGTGACTGGTTCGGGAGGAAATAGAATGGCAACCCAGGAGTGGGTGGTACAGGGACTTAGGGCAAATAAAAAAAAAAAAAAAAAATTAAAAACGCGTATTTTTTGGTGTCTGTCTTTTTGCTATTAGTTACTATTACTGTTGTTTGTCGACTTGGGGAGGATTACAATTCTATGCACAGGAAGCTTGATCTTCCCAACCTGCAGGTCCTCATGGTTCTCCAAGCCATGGATTCGAAGCGGCGATAATATAATGCATTCAAAGACTTACACTCGTTTCTTCAGATTCTTCACCGCCTATTATACCATACGCCATATGCTATTTGCTCACAATCAAGCGCATACCAATCATGCAATCTGCGTATCTTCGTTTGCAAGTGTTTGATGCGGAAGCAATAGTCGCTCCTTAAGATTTTGTATCATTTCAAAGCTTTTGCCAGCTGTGAGTTTTGCATGTCTACTTTTTCGGCATTTTGTGTATTGAGTTCAACAGCTATCGGCAAGTCCTCAATCCTTTTCTGTATCTGATGCCTGGATCTTTAATCACTTCTCAGTGAGGACTGCAATTATTACGTGCATGCGTGTATTGGACTTTTTTCTTTAGCCCTTGCTCCTAGAGGGCGCTTCAATTGTTTGTAGCTACTGATTTAAGAATATTTTGGTGCATTAGATCAGAGACATGAACCTCTTTTACTAATGTGCAAAACAAGCGCACGCTAAGATTCTAAAAAAAAAAAAAAAAAAAAAAAAAAAATGCGGCTGATTGCCAGTCCAATCCTGGCTTCCTTGCATCAAATCTTTTCAGACACGCTTTATGAAAAAAAGTAAAAGCAAAAGAATAAGAAAAATGCAGATCAAGTGACGGAGAAAAGGGACTGACAGAGTAACAGAATATCCGTGAAGAATGCACAAGTGTAATATATACCAAAAATGGACAACCACCGGAGAATTGCCGGATAGCGTGGAAGAGGGAGAGTTTCAAACTTCAAAGGGAGAGGGGGAAATTAGAATAATGTGAGACAATTAAATAGGCTATCGACCAATCACAAGAGACTACCCTACCAAGAGAAAGGTACAGGTACACTGATATCCACCACACTAAAAATATTTTTTAATTTTATTCTCCTCCCACACACAGAGTCAACAGACACCCATTCTCTCTTTTCCTTCTTTTCTCATCTCTTTTGCTCTGCATTACACTCACTCTTTCATTGCCATCCCAACACCATTCATACTCTCTCTCTCTCTCTCTCTCTCTCTCTCTCTCTCTCTCTCTCTCTCTTCTCTCTCTCTCTCTCTCCTCTCTCTCTCTCTCTCTCTCTCTCTCTCTCTCTCTCTCTCTCTCTCTCACATTCATTCATTCATTCCTAAAAGACGCATTTCATTCTTTTTTTTTATTCTTGTCACATCTGTGCCCTTCATTTATACATCATCTTACGACTCTCCACACACATATACATATACTCTCACTTTACCTTCCTGAGCATTTTCTTCTTTCTTTCTTGCTAAAATGGCGAATTTGCAGAAGCAAAGATATTACTTCTTTGCCTTCCTTATCATCTATATGTTCACCGGTATCGGTGCGTTGATCCTTGGTAGCACGTGGTTACGACAGTCTGCAGATGGTGCTCCAAGAGATGCTGTTATCTCCAAGACTATTGAGCAAAGTAAGAACACTCTGGTGCCTGTAAGAAATATAAAAAAAAGAGCATATAGCATACATTCTTTCATTCTACTCTTCCCTTCTCTTCTGGATACCAAACTTTTAATCCTAAGGTTGAATGAACATTGTTACTTCCCTTCTCTTTCTCTCTCTGTTCCTTTCTTTTTCTTCACTCTTCCGTAATCATTTCATTTTTCATTGATATATTGTGCTCTCAAACACACTCACTCGTATACAAACACACACAAATGGATCGATTATGGGCTCGTCTTCTTTTAAATGAGATCTAAAAAGAGATTGACCCATGTAGGGAACAACACTTTCATTATTTTCATCCAGAAAACACATACACTACTGTACAGTCATGACAGAGGCAACTATCCCATTGGGCTACTTTATATATATATTTTAGTTCTAAAAAGTTCATATCAGCATGGCTCACATTCCATATGCTATGCTATGCCCTGCCATGCCATGCATAAACATTACACCCGTCTCCTTTTTTTTTTTTTTTTTTTTTTTTTTTTTTGTTCAAAGTTCGAAAAAGTCTGTACGCCCATCCCATCAATTAATATGAAACGATGAAATGATGAAACGATGAAACGTGTGTAGCGCTTGTAAGCAAACATAAACAGTAAACAGAAATGGCTGACGTTATTTCTTTGCATTTTGTAACATTTTAGCTGGTACATATTTAGGTGGCATTGTTGCAGCAACAGCTATTGTGGGATTCATTGGAGGAGCATCGCCTATCAAAAATAAAAAGTACTTGCTTGCATTTGTGGTCTTGATGATCATGGTCATGGCTGCAGAGCTGGGTCTTGGAGGAGTCATATGGTTCAAGACCTTGCGTATGCGTAGTCTCTTCCAGACTCAGTGGTTGACATGGCCCGATGGTCTCAAGATTGCCTTCCAGGACATGGTAATTAATTTTGTTTACTTATTTTAAAAAAGCGAGCTTGACTTTTTAACTGTTCCTTGGTCGTTCAATGCCATTCAACTAATCTTTTACTTTTTCCTCCTCCTTTCCTCTCTTTACCGGATTGTCTTTTTTTTTTTTTTTTTTTTTTTTTTTTTTCTCAACATCACATCACAACAGACGAGCCTAAAGGGATACTCACAATGCTGTGGATACCCTCAAAACGAGAATGTGGTCTATTCAGGGGCTTGCACCAAGGAGACCGTAGCTATATTCCCAGGATGTGGAGAGAAAGTCTCGGCCTTCGCAGATGGTTACTTGAGAAAGCTTTACACTTCGCTCTTTGCATTCACCGTCGTCAATGTGTTTTGCTTCATCAGCACTGTCATCTTGATCCAAACAAGGAACGATGAAGAACGATACATCCGCATTGGCAAGAAGGAGGGCAGGACATACACTAATGTGATCTAAAAAAAAAAAAAAAAAGTCTTTCTTTTTTATTACTATTATTATAATTATTATTATTGAGAAATATAGAACAACCAACAATCCACAAACAAACGACAACGGAAACAAACAAACAAAAAAAAAAAAAAAAAAAAAAAAGTTATTATTGATCTCATAGACATATCCCGTTATCTCAACACTCTCACGATTCTTTTTTTCATGACAATCGTTGTGAGTAGTCGGCTTTAATATATAATTTTCATGTAAATATAGCAATTTTTGTCGTATACCACACATTAAAAAAGCAAAAAGCAAAAAAAAAAAAAAAAAAGAAAAGAAAGCCCATTTTCCTATTCTATTTTTTTTTTTTTTTTTTTTTAATTCTTTTCTAGGTCTATCTATGAATGTATATGGCAATGACAATGACAATGACAATAACAAATGGATACAAACTTTTTTTTTTTTTTTTTTTTTTTTTACTTCTTGGCCATTTGTTCATTAAAGAAGCCCTTGCGTTTCTTTTCCATGGCTGAGAGATACGGTGCGGTGATGGGCATTTGAACAGGAGCCAAGACCTTATAGTCCTCAGCTCCAGTGTCGGGCAAGGCATAGGTCATATCCGAATCGAATCCGCTAAGATCGCCACAGGCAATAAATGGTACAATCGTCCTGTTTGAGCGGCCCTGTGCATCCGTAGGAGCTAAATAATAAATGGGTAAAAATAAATAAATAACTTAAAAAAAAAAATAATACTTATCCAAGAGTTTGATTTACGTACCCAAGTCTAATATTGGAGTACCCATATTGGGAACATAATCCTTTGGTGGAGTATAATCTTGACAGACAACAAACGCCTCTATAGAAAACAACAACAACATAAAGAAAAAAAAAAAAAAAAAAAAAAAAAAAAAAAGAGGTGTAGCTGTTAATGAATCAAGCAACATATATGCGACTACGCTTTTTTTTTTTTTATGGGACATTTGGCATTGCTTATTGGTTACCATTTATCACATACACACACACATACCAATACTAGAGTTTCTTGAACTCCTAGGTTTACTGCAAGTGACTTTTGGGAAAAAGATCTTCAATTGAGTATAAAGGAGTGTAATGTCCTTTCCTCGAAAGATCTTTGCTACAAAGGAACCGCCAGGTCTGAGGACATGTGTTGTGATATTGAGTGCTGCTAACAAAAGTTGTGCTTGAATATACTCATCCATATCGTGCAATCCCGTCACTAGATATTCAAAAAAAAAAAAAAAAAAAAAAAAATTAGGTAAGACCCAATGACAAAAAAAAAGAGAGAGACAAGAGAGAGAGAGAGAGAGAGCCTTACCATCAGGAGCACCATCGCATATAACAATGTCCGCTTTTTCGCCATCAAAATATGAAATAATTTGATCCGCAGTTGATTGCTTAGTGATATCTCCCTGCAATTGAATGACTCCCGGTAGTGGTGCCTAAATTCATAAATGGAAAGACAAAAGGAAAAAAGTATGAATTTATACTTTTGATAACCTCTCTCTAAGAAACAAAACAAAAAACCAACACTTACCATCGCTTGAAGATCGACGGCGACAATTTTCGCTACTTCTCCCTCCTTTTGGTTTTCCCTATTTTTTTTTTTTTTTTTTTTTTTTTTTATTTCATTATATTAATATATATATTAGTATATAATAGTTATATTAGTAAGGAGGATTAAGAAAAGACTTTTTCTTTTTTCTTGATTACAAAATAAGAAAGACATATTTACACGAGTTTCTTGCTGAGGACTTGGGACCAACTTCCTGGAGCCGCACACAAGTCCACTGCTTTGGTAACACCTAATATAATGATCCCCACCTTGAAATTGATTAGTCCTGTCTTTTTTCTTTTTTTCTTTTTTTCTTTTTCTTCTCCTTCTTCATCCTTGCCATAGACCGAACAGAGGTAAAAGAAAAAATAAAATAAAAAAAAAAAAATAAAAAAAAAAAAAAAAAAACTACGGTCCTTCTTCTAACCTTCCAGTAAATTAAATTCTTCATCGATTTGCATCAGTTTGAAAGCACTTCGAGCCCTCCAGCCTTGTTCCTTAGCCAAACGATAATAAACATCTCGCTTATCTTTACTGGATTTTCCCTATCGTACAATTATGTTTGAAAATATATACTTTAGAAAAAGAATAGGAAAAAAGAAAAAAAAAAAAAAAAAAAAAAAAGCTAGAAGATGTAGCGAGTCCCATGTGTTACACACCATGATGTGAAATTGTTGTTGTTCTTTATGGGCAGTTATGAAATGCTGGCTGACTTTTTGGTAGCTTGTTTTTTGGAGACAAAGTGAAAGTTTGTTGATTTTGATTTAATATGAATGGATGTGGCTTGCTTTTATCTGCTGCGCCTCTTTTTTTTTTTTTTTTTTTTTTTTTTTTTTTTGGTGGCACAATTCTACAGACTTTTTTTTTTTTTTTTTTTTGGCTTGAGGAACGATGGTCTTTTAAAATCACCATTATTTATTGCACTCTTTACCCATTTATAATAGCAATCTAATGACAGAAGAAGTAGAAAGTCTCTTATATAACAATGAGGAAGGGTATCCAGATGTAGACGGCGATGACGCTTACAATGAAAACGGTGACAATCACAATGAATACGACCAGAACGAAGACGAAGAACAGAACGATGTTCAGATAGGAGAGGAGATCGCATTGGTGAGTTTCGTAATTTTATAATTAGCTTATTTCTTTTCCTCTCTCTCTTTTTTTTTCTCCCCTTTACCTCTTACATTGATTGTTCGAAAAAAAAAAAAAAAAAAAAAAAAAAAAAGCAAAAACAAAGGATTATCAACGGCTAACATCACTCATTAAATAAGTATAGCTGACTCACATACGCGTAATTCTCATTCATTTGCTATACTAGACACACGAGGAGATTTGGGATGATAGTGCGCTAATAGAGGCATGGGATAGGGCAGTCAAGCAGTATGAAACATATCACAGCAAACCTAAGCAAAGTGTTAAAGTAGGGGCGGAAATGGAGGCCATAGCAGCAGCAGCAGTAGAGGCAGCGGGAATCTCAAAGTAAGTCCTTTGATAGAAGAAAAGAAACGGATAGAAAAGCAAAGAAAAGAAAAAGTTGAAAAATTAAACTCTTTATTTTATTTTATCTTATTGTATAGATCGCCAGGATTGGCAAAGACGAAAAGTCAGGGAACGGATTCATTATCAGCATCAAAACGTGTAAAGCTCAACAATGGAGATGGAATACCTTCAGTCACTTCGATAGTAACGGATGATGGCGACACATCTACGCAGATTGTGACGGCAGGAGCAGGGACAAGAGCATCGACTACAGAAGTCCATAGCACGACTGAGCCCTCGTCAACATCATTAGCCTCATCCTCCTCCTCTTCGGAACATATTGTCACAGAAAGGAAACCCAGTTTCAGAAAAGCAGACAAACCGAGATTTGAACATCATCCATCAAACAACACTATCAATAAGACCATCAGCCAAAACAACAATCTTACCAATAATAAGGCCCATGGAAATAATAACAATAAGAAACAAGCAGTAACAGGGGGAAAGAAAAGTGCGATCAATACCGATTCAGGCCAAAGCGGCAAAAACAGGCTCAGCCTCTCTGATCAAAATCCACCAACTAAGGCAACAACAAAAAGGAGGGCGGTTGCTAAACTTGACACGACTGGCACAGTGCCAGATGCTGCCACGATTGCATATTATCAACAACTGGGCTATTATTATGATCCTTCGTATACTGCTGCTACGTCATACCCATCTGAAACTGCAGGCGGAGATCAGGAGGGAGAAGAAGAAGATCTAGAAGAAGTACAGGACAGAGATGACGATGAAGAAGAAGGAGAAGAAGGAGAAGAAGGAGAAGAAGGAGAAGAAAGAGAAGAAAGAGAAGAAGGGGAAGAGGATGGCGTCACTAGGGGCTATAGGAGCAGTAAAATTAATAATAGCCAAAAAAACAGAGCGAAGACATCAACGGATTCAACAAGCACGACAGCTGCTTTTGGTTTTTCAAACGCATACCCCCCCAAAAATAGACGGGCTGTTTCGAGCTCAAATGCTCAGCCATCCATTCCTTTCTCTGCTGGACCCTTGCCGTTGTATGCACACCATCCTGCACAAATTCATCATCCGTACCAACAAAATATGTACTACCCTGGATATCCACATCATTCTATACCTTCTGGGCCTGCAGTTGCGACTACAGGCCTATTCCCTAGTGGGTTTAGCGCGCCTGCGCCGATGTGGGGTGGATCTGCGCCTTTGCCGTTTGGACCGAGCCCAAATGCTGCGCTAGGGTTAGGAGCAGGAGGAGCACCATCTTTTTTGCATCATCATCGGGCCATGAATGGGATGATCCCTCCAATGCCCCCCCAAACTCCTTCAGTTCCAGGGCAATTCTCGGGTATAAGTTCGGGAATGGGATTGGGAATAGAGATGGAGGGAGGACCGGATATAGATGAAGATGCTTTGAGCAATTTAATCATGGCGTGGTACTATTCAGGATACTACACTGGTTTGTATCAGGCCCAGCAACAACAACAACAACAACAACAACAACAACAACACAGCAGCAGCAGCAGCAGCAGCAGCAGCAGCAACAACAACAACGGCAGCAACGGCCACAAAAGCAGAATCGGCGTTAGACTAGAATAGAAAGGAAAGAAAAGAAAGAAAAACAAAAAAAGAGACTAGATGAGAGTGTTGTGTCGTTTAATGACACATTGCTCTCCACTCGCCCATCTACAAAAGTTTTTTTTTTTTTTTTTTTTTTTTTTTATTACCAAAAAGATCAGCGTCCTGGATTTCAAACATCAAACAATGACAATGGCAATAAATCCAATAAACCAAAATAATTTCGAGAGCAAACGTTTTACTTTTTTTTTTTTTTTCTTCATAATTTTACTCCTGCCTCCTTTTTTCCCCCTTATTTTTCTCCACACGTTTCTTTTTTTTTGACCTGTAAAATGAAAGGAAAGGAAATAAAAATAACCTTGAGAGTGTAGCGCACCGACAGATGCACCGCAACTCGAATCGACAAATCTGTCTGATTTCAGAAGCAAGCTAACCGTTAAACCTTTTTATTTTTCTATCTTTGCTCTAACGTTCTTTTTTTAAAAGAGGATTTGTGTGCTGTGTAGCTTGTTCTGTACGAATCAAGTTCATAAACATTGTTTTATTTCAAGGATATAGCAATACTATATATATATATTATGCTATGTTATGTTACTCTTACAACGGCTCCTTTCCTTACAAGTAAGTCATCTTTGGTTTCATAACTGGGGAGTTGAGAGAGATGGCGTGTGGTTTGTGGTTTATCTTTTGATTGTTGTCTATAACATTGAATTTATAATTGTTAAACAGTCATCGAAGAATTTTCTCTCAAAGATGAAGATGATGACCCATCCATGAATTATTAAACACCATATATAACATAATAACCGTATTTGAAATTAAAAAAGATTAAATAAACAAATGAATAAGACAAGTTGAGAGAGAGTAGACAATGGTGTGCTCTTTTTCTTTTTTTTTTTTTTTGGTGGATGGATGACCTTTTTGCGATTGAGTTGTATTAAAAAGAATGTCATGCTCTCTTTTTTGTCTTTCTCCGCTCACAAAGCCATCTCCCGCCAAAAAAAAAAAAAAAAAAAAAAAAAAAAAAGTGTGAGGTGTGAGGTGTGAGGTGAGGAGTGTGAAGGGCGAAGTGCAAAGTGCAAAGTGCAAAAGAGTGAGAGAACTGAATTAATTCAAAACCACGCGTGTTGTGTGCCTGAAAGGATGACTAACAACACAACGTAAAGCAAAGACAACTCAGGTCAAGACAAATGAGAAAGTATAAAAAGGTCGTTCTATTCCCTGTGTCTACAAGTTCCTCAGCATTTTTTATTTCTTTTCTTCTTTCTTCATTCACTTCATTCTCATTTCATTTGTTCATTTCATTTGCATCTCTACTGCTTTTTTATTATTTTTTTTTTTATTTTTTTTATTTTACGACTCCTCTTCTTCCTCTTGCTTATATACCGCATTCACACACACACACACATTTTCACTTCACGACTTGTATTTCTGGTTTTTTTGTTATATTACACCTGTTAACCCTGTTGTACTTTTTACCTTCTCATCTCGATCAGACAAAATATATACATCTTCAACATATATCTCATCTCCATTTATATCTTCCATTCTCATTGTACTCTTTACTTTCTCATCTCTTCTATTGATTCCCTTTCCTTCCCCTTATTTCCTTCTTCTTTTCTTTTTTTTTTTTTTTTTTTTTTCATCAAAGAAACTCTTGTCAACATTCAAGCTTTACCCTATTTACGCACTTCATCCTTCTCTTCCTCTCAAACTAAAACCAAAACAAAACAAAAACATAATGATTGAGCAAAAGTTTCAACGTTTGATGGCAGCTTGCGCCGAGGGTAACCTTGAATTGGTCACCAGAATCGCGTCTAAATTCGAAAGTCCGGTGGAGATGTGTGAATCCGAACCTGCTTCAGGATACACACCACTGATGATGGCAGCCAGACATGGCCATGTTGAGATTGTTGAAGCCTTGATTCGTCTTGGACATGACCAGAATGAGATCTCTAGGGTAAGTAAGAATAAGATGTATAGATGTAGTTGTATAGCTTTCATATTTTATCTTTCATATGTCTCTTTTTCATTATGAGAACGAGAATGCTGTGTCCAAAAAAAAAAAAAAAAAAAAAAGAAAAACACGCGCATGGGCAGTTATCTTTTTGAATCATGTGGATCGGCTCGTGCAACCATGCATGAGATTAACCGTTTTTTCTTAACGGTCAGATGGCATCTTTGGCATGTGCACAAGCACAAAAAAAAAAATAATTATTTACCACTACCTCTGCTAGACAAAAAAAAAAAAAAAAAAAAAAAAAAATTGACAGTTTTATGAACTGCAATTGCATACTTGATTAAATTTGCCCACCTCACTCTTGCATGAGCAAAGTGGAGAAAAGAGAAAAGAAAAAAGAATAGAAGCGACCATCCCGGCTTTATGAAGCTCCATTCCCTCCATTGAGCGTGGGAGCAAACTGTTTATGGCCCCGTTCGTTTTTTTTTTTTTTTTTTGCTTTGCCCTTTACACAAAATATCTTTTAATTTCCCATGCTTTGTCATTAATTATTAATTTATTTATTTTTTTAATACGTTATCATATCTATCCATTTCTGAATATAGGATGCCAACAAGAATCACATCCTGATGGTTGCGGCCGAGTTCGATCACCAGACGGTCTTTGAGGCATATGCAACCAACTTTCCTCGGTCAGTTGAATTGTGTAACAAACAAGGATGGAGTCCCTTGATTGCTGCTGCTCGTTTTGGTCGTGTCAACATGGTCGAGGTAATTTACATCTATAATCATTCATGTTCATATTCGAACAATCAAGCGGGACTGGGCATCTGCTCAAATCTCATCCTCTTTAACCCTCCTTCTCTAACATTTTTTTTTTCTTTTCTCTTCCATTTTTTTCTCTTCTTATTTTCAAAAGCTCGCCCTTCAACTTGGCGCCGACCTGAATCATCGAGATGAGGAAGGCAATACTGCACTTCATCAGTAAGTATATATGCTAATATATGCTATATATGTATAATATCCACAACACTTGATTATTCTTTATAAACTTAATGTAGACTAATGATCATTTTTTTTTTTTTATTTCCTTCCTGTTTAATTAGTGCTGCTTCTTATGGTCATTTACAGGTATTGCAAACTTTTTTTTTTTTTTTACTTTTTTATATTAGCAAGCTAGATAATTGGTTAATTACAAAATGAAACGATAGGCCGTTCTTTATCCTCATTGAATCTTGTAATTGATCATGTTACTTTTTTTTTTTTTTTTTTTTTTTTTTTTTTCCTTATTCATAATTAGACGATTACCTTGCTGATCGAGAAAGGTAGCAGTGCTACAATCAAGAACAATGGTGGTTGGACTGCTCAGGACTTTGCATTCTCAGACAAAGTATCAGCTCATATGGAAGGTAAAGTGGGAAAAATAAAAAATAATAATAAAAGCTGGAAAAGCTGTCAAGGAATTTAAACATGAGAGAAAAAGATGAACACGTGTTGACACGTCTTTTTTTATTTATTTTATTTCCATAGAATGCTGGCGATCTCTAGGCAGATCATCCCCTATTTCATTCTCATCATTATACTCTGGCAATGGACAGGAAGGCGGATTCCCACTTGAAGGTCAATCATCTACTGGGACTGCACCCTTGTCGAATCGTAAGGAATGGACTAGTCTGAGCAATGGACCGTTGTCTCCCATCATCGGTGCCATCTCGGGCGCAACATCCCCACGACTTGTCCCAACCAATGCCTGGTCAGAGTTCAAGCGTGTTATTGTCAAACAATAGTTAGACTCTTTGTACCTGCATTTTCAAAAATATATAAATATATATATAAATATATATATATAAATATATTCATAAATATATAATTGTATACCTATCTATCTGTGCTACATTTATACTGCAACAGTAACTGTAACAGTATATAACGGTTTGATTGAAATATTGAAATGTATAGATTAATGTATACCTATTAATGATGTGTTACATGAATGAAAACATGGGATGGAACACAGATGAGGGCAATGGAACACAAAGATGGATGATGGAATATTGAAGAAGACAAAGAGAAGGAAGAGAGAGAGGAAGAATGGAGAACTGGTAAATAATGAGCCCAATTGAATGCATTCAATCCACAAAAAACGCTCTTTTAATACATCCAATGAGTACACGTTTGAATGTATTTTCTGTCGATTTTTTTTAGGTCCTCTTACCCCTGTCCTGTCTGTAATCTTAATCCTAATCCTAATATAATATTTTACCAAACAAACAGGCATAGGATACATTCATGTACACTAACTAGTCAACCAACATCTTTCTCTCTTTCTTTCCTCATCATCATCTCTTTCTTACTCATTCCTCATCCCCCCCCCCCCCTCCATCCCCTCTACATCCTCCATATTTCTTCCCTTACCTCCTATTCTCACCTCGTCCTAAAAAAGAAAAGAAAACGAAAAGAAAAGAAAGAAAGAAAGAAAAGGAATTAGACAATTGAAATAATTAAACAAGTGTACCACAATATGGCGACCACACACGCCTCATACACCACAAACAACGCTGACAAGGAGTATGACCCCTATGACAACTATGGCGCCACTTCAGATGAAGACCAGGACCAAGCTATAGATGCTTACCACTATGGCTACAGCGATGAGGATGAAGAAGACAACAGAAGCAGAAACAACAGCGATAACGATGACAATGATAATTATTATAAAACTCACCAAACCCATGCCACAAAAGACCACAGCGCTGTTGTCGCTCCTATCTCTGCTTCTGTCTCTACTTCCGTTAATCATTCTCGACAAAGCAGCATCTCTACCCCCGTCAATCATCCTCACCAAAGTAGTTCCTCTACTCCCGTCAATCATTCTCGTCAAAGTAGCGTCTCTGCTCCCATGAATCATTCTCGCCAAAGTAGTATCTCAACTCCCGTTAATCATTCCCGTCAAAGTAGCATCAGCAGCATCAGCAACAGAAACGGTACTACCGGTACCGGGGTCGTCCATTCCAGAAGCAGCAGAAGCAGCAGCATCAGCAGTGGCTCTGTATACGCAACCCATCTTAAACAGACCGTATCGCCTTCTAACGTTGCCCTGCCTGCAAGTCCCGTCGCCACCCGAGGACACGACTCTTACACGGGATACAGTAACCGTAGCAGTTATAGCCATGCCAATGCCTACGCTACCAATGCCAATAGTGTCCATGCCTCCCAGGTCACATCTCCTGTCTCCTCTAGACTCCCTGATGGGTATAACTTTGAGAACAGACATTCCGTTAATAGTACATATTCTCGTACATCACACCACGAATTGAACTCTCCTATTACTGCTATCTCCTCTGCTGCAGCCAATGCCCAGAATAGCCGCCTTGAGGCACATCCAGAGGAGGCCAAAGAAGACCGCCCAAGGAGAGGATCCTGGGAGGAAGAGAGCGAGGATGAACCATACGAACCCTATGACTATGGTTCAGAGGATGATGAAGAAGAAGCTTTTGTGGAGGCCTCTTCCAGCCGTCCACAGCCACACTCTCAACCCCAACATCAACAACAGCAGCAGCCACAGTCAAACCGTTATAGCATTGAAAGTAATGATAGTCATCGATTGAAGCAACAACAAAACAGATTTAGCGTCCAAAGTAATGACAGTAGCCATCATCAGCAAAGTCGCAGACAAAGCCGGGATGACGATAGAGGCGACGGCAATGACCTTTATGATGACTATAACTACAATGAAAAAGAAGAGCCCCATACCACACATCATCAGGAAAGCTATCCACAGTCTCTTAAAGCTGATGTTGGTGGTGTCCAGAACGATTATCGTAAAGCAGATAGTCCAAGGTCATCGATCGATAGTTATAACAGACAACCATCCGAACACTTTTCCAGACGTTCATCCAGGCAGTCATCTAGGCGGTCGTCTTATGATGATGCTACTGGGCAACAGGATCCAATGTCCTTCTATGATGGAATCGGTGATGAGCCAGCGCCCCCTAACCCTAGTATGTTCCGAGATACCGCAGTTGACAACCGAGTCTCTGTCAATTCTGCAAAGTCCTCCTCAAGTCATATAAAGCATCATTCCTTCGGATATAATGAAAGGCCAGCGGACTATGGAGTCGAGCCCGAGTCCGAGTCCGAGTCCGAGTCATCGAATTCCGACCGAGAGCGATCCCATATGCCTGTACAGGCATCAGTACCAGAGCAAGCAGAGGCTTCCGTATCTCCTGTCAGTCCTACTTCAGTGACTATTGCAACTGCCGCTGCTACTGCCCCTACACCATCTAATGCGCCAGCATCACCGCCTCCAGTTCCATCAAAGTCGCGTCCAGCGTCTTTGTTCTCAGTTGCTTCGGCCGCAACTCCTTCATCACCTGTCACGTCCCGTTCTGCAGCTCCTATTGCGGAACGCTTTGATTATGGTGCCAATGAGGAAGCCAGTCCTGTATCACCCGTTGCCCCACCTGTAGCTGTAGCTGTAGCAGCAGCAGCAGCAGCAGCAACAGCTACAGCTGCGGCTGCATCTACTGTCGCCATTGCTACAGCCGTAGCCAAATCTAAATCATCGGCGGAGACAGATAAAGCAGCAGCAAGTCCAATTGCACCTGCTTCATCAATTGCCGATGAGCGTGCTCCTTCTCCACGATCGCCCCTAGGAATCGATACCAATTCTCAAAAGTCTACATCATCTGCTTCATCCTATATGGATAAGCGCGATAAGCGGTATTCTGGCGGTAGTGATACATCCGATACATCCATTGACTTGCACTCACCCACGGCATTCAAGACTCAGGCATCAAAGAGGATCCCTCCCACTCTGTTCATGCGCACTATGTCCAGCGCCTCTTCTCATTCTCGCGATGCCACAACAGCAGCAGCAGCAGCACCAACAGCAAACAACAATGGCAGTAGCAGTTTGGATAAACAACGCCCCATTTCATATGCAACCGTCTTTTCGGATGCAGAGATGAATGAGGTCAACCTCCTTGATGAACCTATGGGGGATGTTAAACAAGTTAATGAGGTAATCCAGCCCACACCTACACCATCAACACCGTCTGCCTTTGGATTCAGTGGTTTCTTTGGACGGTCGCAACCACAGCCATCCACTCCAGTTGCCTCTTCACCATCACCGGCAGTGGCTGCTGCTGCTTCAATTGAGAACCGTTCCCGTAGTACCTCCATCAGTGCCTTTGCAAGTTCGATCCAAGGTGCCTTCAGCCGTAGTTTCTCCTATTCACAACCTACTCAAGCTCCTGCCCCGGCTGTGCCTCGAACACCGAGCCAGATCAGTCAACGGGTCCCCAACGTTGGGGATAATAGCGGCAATGGCAGCTTCCCGAGGAGTAGCACAAGCATGAGTGGTGACGTCCGGTTCTCTAACCAACGTAGTGGAGGACCAGGTTCGGATAGAGCATCGACCATCTCCACACGAACCAATGACTCTAATATGGACTTGTTATTGGCCAGGTTGGAAGCACAGAATGAGTTGTTGGAGAAGGATTCCAAAAGAAGACAGCCTGCAGAATCTGAGATGGATCGAGCTATTGGAAATGCCAAGGCGGAATCCGCAGGCGAAGCCGTCGATTGGGGTAAGATTAAAAGCAAACAAATCGCTTTCTTTAGTAATGGTTTTATTTATGTATTTAGCAGAAAAATTAATTTTTTTTTTTTTTTTTTTTTTTTTCGCGTTTGGCGTTTTGCGCTTTTTTTTTTTTTTTTTTTTTTTTAAAGATTACTGGGGTGCTTTGATGCATGATTACAATGGGGTGGTGAAGAGGAACCCGAAGCAACTGACGACGATGATTCAACAGGGTGTCCCATCGGCCTTGAGAGGTTTGATCTGGCAACTGCTCGCGAAATCTAAGGATCCACAGCTGGAGACGACTTTTGCAGAGCTCCTAAAGTCGACAAGTGTACATGAGAAACAAATTACCCGAGACTTGAATAGGACTTTCCCGAACCATGAGTACTTCCAGGTCAATGGTGTTGGTCAGGAGGCACTATTCAATGTGGTCAAGGCGTACAGTCTTTATGATACCGAGGTTGGATATTGTCAAGGCCTCAGTTTTATTGTTGGACCATTGTTGTTGAATGTAAGTGAATTATAAGCAAAAAAAAAAAAAAAAAAAAAAAAAAAAAAGCTCTCTCCCGCGGAAGAACTAGGAAGAACCTGCTTTTTCTTTTCTTTTTTTTTTTTTTCTTGTATTGGACTCGCTCTTTGCTGGGCTATGGAGTGATGCATTGAAAAAGGGGACACTCGAGAGAGAAACAAACAGAAAAAAAAAAAAAAAAAAAAAAAAAAGCTGCAAGGTGTCAGGTGCCACATGCATGATATTGACGATTCTGACCTCCTTGCTTTTTTTTTTTTTTTTTTTTTTTTTTTGGTGTATTCATTTCGTTTTATTTCATGTAATTACAGATGCCAGAAGAAGAGGCGTTCTGCATGTTAGTCAAGATGATGACCTGTTACGAAATGCGTGGCCACTACACACCCGACATGAGCGTACTCACGTTGAGATTATTCCAATTTGAGCAATTGATGGAAGAGACGGTGCCCATGGTGTTCAAACATCTCCGGAACCAAGGGATTCGCTCGACCATGTATGCATCCCAATGGTTCATGACCTTGTTTGCCTACAAGTTCCCCTTGGAGCTCGTGTTCCGAGTGTACGACATTATCTTTGTGGAGGGTATCGAGTCCATCTTGCGATTCGCGGTCGCACTCCTCAAAGCCAATCATGATAAGATTCTGAGCCTTGACTTTGAAGTCTTGGTCGAATTTTTGAAAAATGGGCTCTTTGAGTACTACATGGTAAGTAAAAAGAAAAAAAAAAAAAAAAAAAAAAACGCGCGCGCGTTCAAGTTACGCGGTGATTGTTGATCTTGTGTTCACTTTTGTTTTGACAGGGAGAGTTTTTTTTTTTAAAAAAAAAAAAAAAAAAAAAAAGGTCGTGCGTGATTATATGACTAATCGATCAATGTTGTTTGTTTGTTTATAATAGAACGATTCCAGTCTGCTTATTCAAGATGCCTACAATGTGAAGGTGACACCTAGGAAGCTGGCACAATATGCTCAAAAGCATCAAGCGATGATTCAGAAACAACAACAGGAGCTTGCAGCGGAAGAATCGCTCAAAGAAGCTAACCGACAGTTATCAGCTCAAGTTCGACAACTGGAAGCATCGATGCATCAGTTGAATAAGGAGCATGTGGATCTGGCCAAGGAATTGATTACACGAAAGATGGAGATGGCTCAACTTCAGGACCGGAACGATGTGTTGACTCAGAAAGTGAGCGATCTGACAAAGATTGTGGATTCTCAAGCGAGAGAGAAGGAGGAGCAATACAAGGGGGAGATTCAAGATGTACTGCGCAAGAACATGGAATATTTGAAGAGGAATGAGGAATTAGAAGACCAATTGAGTTATATGGAGGGTCTACTTGTGGAGACCAAGATGCAGTATGCAGAGAGTGAGGTCGAGCGGGATAACTTGGGTCGAAAGTTGAATGAGATGAAGAAAGCATTGGGTGTGGCGTAAGAGAAAGGGGAAAAAAAAGTTATATTATACATTCATACGCACAAACACGCACGCGCTTTTCATCCATTCATTCACTTTTGAAGAAAAAAAAATTATTATATATATAATATACACTACTATTTTACATTGCTTTTTTATTATATTATTATTATTATTATCATTATTATTATTATTATAGATATTAGAAACAATACCCAGCAAAGAAAAAAAAATAAAGCAAAATAAAAACAACAAAGAACGTAATTTTTTTTTTTTTATCCATGGAGATCTTACACGTACTGAATATCGAGATGTTGTTGACCTCTTGACCCTCTTGACATGCTATCCTAACCCCTGAATTGTTTGTTTGTTTTTTTTTCTGAATGTGAACAAGAAAAGGGTTATTTTCGCGTGGAGGCGTGGGAGATGATGTGCGTAGAGGGATTTTTTTTTTTTTTTTTTTTTTTTTTTTTTTTGGTTTTACCGCAAACGAGGCGAGGTTAAAAAAAAAAAAAAAATCGGGTTTGGAGCAATCGCGCATTTGAGAAACGGTGTGGTGTGGCAGATAGAACCATTAATAAACCAAAGGAAAAAAAAAAAAAAAAAAAAAAAAAAAAAAAAGACTCTGACAAAAGCCTCAAAGGTAAAAAAAGATTGAACAAGCAAACAAGAAAGAGGAGGAAAGGGAGGAAAGGGAATATCATGCAGTTACGCAGGATAAAAAAAAAAAAAAAAAAAAAAAACTGTCTGTCCATCCAATCCTTCTTGGTCTCATTGTCTCTTTATCCTTCGTACGACTCCGCATGCATGGATGAGGGGTGGGAGGAGTGATGGAGCACAACGTTTAGTTTCTCTCTGATGATGACAATTGAGAAGGAAAAAAAAAAAAAAAAAAAAAAAAAAAGGAGGATTGAAGTACACAGCATTACAGTTCTAAACTGCTCCATATCGCTTTGGCATAATAAAAAAAGAAAAAAAAAAAAAAAAAGTGTTTACATGGTTGAATGGATGAGTATTGCCTTTCTTTGTTAGTTTGCCCTCCATCAATCTACTGTTCACCTTTCATAGAAAGGAGAGACGAGGATTAAGAGCGGAGGAAAGAATGGGAAAAGCGCGTAAGACAACCCAATAGCTCCGTTTAGTGCTGTTGATAAGATACTCAATTTCCAGCCACTCTCGTAAAGCGATATGCGGACATGGAGTGATTGAGGGGAGGAAATTCCGTTGACCCATGCGGTAACCCCAGCTCCTATCCCATCTGTCCAGCATCGAGATTGTTCCTCCCCCCCCTCCTCCTCCTCCTCCTCCTCCTCCTCCTTCTCCTACTCTCTACTCTTTTCATCCCCTTCTTCCTCCTATCGTGTATTAACTTGTCTTATCCCATCCTATCCTATCGTACTATGATGTATTGTGTCTGCAATGAAAGTTCTCCATTTCAAATATATTAGGCAATTTTGGAGGAGCCATGGTATAAGGGGAAAACGCGTCTTTTTTTGGCACACAAACGAACGAGTATTACAGAACATGTGCGTGTCAATGAAAGAAATTGGTCGAAATGTGTGTACATGGTTACATGGTAAATGTCCATCATGTCTTTTTTTTCTTATTGATCCTGGCGTAACAGTGGGTGAGGTAACACGGCGTGCGACAGAAGTAGTTCTTTCTATGCAACAATACGTCCCATCTTCGTCTCGCCCCTTTGTATCCTTGTGTACATGTACAACTCTCTCCCCCTATTTGTACAATTTTTTTTTTTTTTTTTCTTCTTCTTTCCTTTCCTCGTCCTTTTCCTCTTTTTCTCTTTCTTTCTTTCTTTCTTTCTTTCTTTCGTTTTACATCCTACGTCTTCTTTTTTTCCATTCTGTAATTGTCCATCCTAGTTTTTATTTATTCCCCCTCCTCTTTCATCTGTATAAATACATATATACCTTTTATCTTCCTCTTCTTTCTTCTAATTTCTCTACAAAGTATTTCATTCCAACCCATCAACTTGAAAGGAAATAGAAGATCAACGCCCAACAATTCCTTTTTCCTTTGTCGATCTTTCTATTTTCTCGCGTTTCACAGAACTTCTCACATTTCAATTCACAAATCCTCCGTCCCTCCAAAATACTTTTTTTAATCCCATATCTCATATCCAAAATAACCAACACATCATTCTCTATTGAGTTATCTTTCCACATCATCAACCTAATCCCATCTGTTTTTTTTTTTTTTATTTCCTAAAAACTCAACCTTTATAATCATTGATTCAATCATTTCTTGATCCATTGACTTGGATATAAAAAAAAGAAAAAGAAAAAGAAAAAGAGAACCTTTCTTTCTTTTTTTTTTTTTTTTCCTTCAACAGCCAAATATAAAAAAAGAACACAACAATAATAATCTTTATATAACTCATATATCATAATGGCCGCGACGGGCGATTCTGCCAAGAAGAGCAGGTAAGAATGAAAGGTGGAATAGAGAAATGATATCCGAGGCTTTTTTTTTTTTCTTGTCTCCTTACTTTCTATCTATCTATCCTGGGCTTTCTTTTTTTTTTTTTTTTTTTTTTTTGTGGTTTCTTTTTTACTTTTTTGTGAGATACTTTTTTGTTTGTATTTCTGAATTGTCTCAAGAAGAAGTCTTCTTTTTGAATAAGAACAAAAGAAAGATTGACTTGATAAACTAACGATCAACTTTTCATTTTTATTTTTATTTTTATTTAGTGTGGTGATCAAGGTCGGCATGGTTGGGGATTCACAAATTGGAAAGACAAGTCTAATGGTCAAATATGTTGAAGGTTCCTTTGACGAGGACTATGTCCAGACATTAGGTAAAGTCTCTTTCTTTCTTTTTTTTTTTTTTTTTTTTTTTTTTTTTCTTTCTTCTACATATAATATTGTATTATAACTATTATAGCCTGGCTGGGACGGTTATAGCTGGGATGGAGAGAGAGAGGGAATGCGTTGTTTGCTAATTATGCATGATCTCTGCCACCCATTGGGTTCCATTGTGCTCATCTTTATTTTTTATTTTATTTTTCCTTTCAATAATAGGTGTCAACTTTATGGAAAAGACAATTTCGATTCGAAACACAGAAATCACTTTCAGTATATGGGATCTCGGAGGTAAGGAAAGATGTCAATTGACAAGAAAAAAAAAAAGAAAAAAAAAAAAAAAAAGTTCTCAAACAACTACAGCACTTCCCCTTCTCTTTCTCCCCTCCTCTTGATCAAATATATATCCTTACAAGTGTAGGGTTGTGGGATTGGAGTGGGATGAGGTTTAAAAAAAAAAAAAAAAAAAAAAAAAAAAAGGGAAACATAAACAAACATGTCGGGGAAGTGGTAGAGTGGGAGAGTGAGAGAAGGGTTGGAAGTGGCTCATAAGAGTTACAGTGCTTGGTTGGCTATGGCACACAACCATTTGTTCATCATCCATCGTTCATCGCATCCTCCTCTCCTCTCCTTCATTGAAGCTTATCTGCGCTCGGGTTATTGTTGTGTCATGGCTGGGTATAGTATAGTATTGTATATATAGCAAACGGGAAATACAATGAATGCGAAGAGTAAAAGAGGAGATGGTCGAATATTCAGGGACAAAATAAACATTCGCGCATCAACACAATAAACGGAAATACATTCACACACATACAAAAAAAGAAAAAAAAAAAAAAGAAAAAAGAAAAAAGATAATACTCTGGGATACGAATTGTGCATGTCAATATTAAACATGCTTACATTACCTTGCATAAAGATGAGGACATGAAAAAAAAAAAAAAAAAAAAAGGGTAAAGCAAAAAAAAGTGTATTTAGCCATTTATTGACTTGTTCAAAACTACTCTGGAAAAAAAAAAATCGAAGGATATTTTTCTCCTCTCCTTCTTCATCGTTTCAGCATAGTCATTTATGATGTGCGTCTCAAATGAGACGAGCTTATTTCCCCTCCCCTTCCTTTAATTGTTTCAATCGACTGAAATTCTCTGCATTGGCTACATGAAGTAAAATGAACATGGAGAGGGTGGCTAAATGACAGTGAATGTGTGGAAACAAACGTGGGCAGAACCTTCTAGTCCCATGTCATAGGAAGAAATACCGGTGGTATGAAAGAAACCTTACACATTTGCATTATGATTCCCTACGGGATGGAGGGAATAAATGTACTGCAAAAGTAGTACAGAGTACAGAAGTCATAAACAATCGCGACGTATCTTTTTTTTTTTCTTTTTTTTTTTTATACAGCTCAATGGGGTCATTCGCTCCCTTCTTTGTGTTCATGAAATATCTCTGTGGGACAACATCTTTTAAAATTCTAACTATAAAAAAAAACACTTTGGACCATGTGGAAATAGGTCAACGCGAGTTTGTCAACATGCTGCCACTTGTTTGCAATGACGCAGTTGCTATCCTATTCATGTTTGATTTGTCACGTAAATCGACCTTGAACAGCATCAAGGAGTGGTACCGTCAAGCAAGAGGATTCAACAAGGTATTTATTGGACTTTTTTTTTTTTTTTTTTTTTTTTCCTCCTTTTCACTATGGAGAAAAGAAAAAAAAAAAAACACACGCACACACACAACACAATAGCACATTGGGACATTGGACTTCTAATCCGACGAAAAGACATCTTTCCTCGCCCCTCTGTTCAATCTTCCCGTCTGTGGGTTTTTTTTAGGCTGTGCGATAATGTGTGTATTTGTGTATCCTGAATCGTGTATCGTGTATAGTGTATAGTGTGTGGGTGTGGATTAGAATGACAACACTTGCTCTCTCCTTTGTGGGTCATGTTACTAACCCTAAATATCTGTGCTTAAAAAAAAAAAAAAAATCTGTATTGCGTGTGGGGTGTGTTTTTTTTTTTTTTTTTTTTTTTCAATGATGTGTTTTTACCATTCGCTTTAGCTATGGCTAGAACCATGATCATGATCAGAACCCTAACCATAAAAACTCTTTATCTTTTCCTTCAATTCTTACCCTTTGTTATAGACTGCGATTCCGTTCCTTGTGGGAACAAAATATGATTATTTCTCAACATTTTCAAAAGAGGAACAGGAGGAAGTGACGAAACAGGCGCGCAAGTTTGCCAGGGCAATGAAAGCACCGCTTATCTTTTGCTCCACCTCACATTCAATTAATGTCCAAAAGATTTTCAAGATCGTGCTCTCCAAGGCCTTTGATCTCAAATGTACCATTCCCGAGATCTCTGAATCTGGAGCTCCAATCCTGGAATACTCTTCATATTAATCCCTGCCTGGTCTGGCACTGGAGGAGGAAAAAAAAAAAAAAAAAAAAAAAAAAAAAACAAAGCTGGAGGCAGAAAAAAAAATCCCCCATGATATCAGTTCTCTTCTTTTCTCTTCTTTTCTTTTCTTTCTTTTGGTGTATATAAAAGCGTTACTTTTGTTCTTGCCTCTCTCCAATTACTCTTTGTTAATCTCGTTTTCAGAGAGAACAAGAGAGTGATCGGGAAAGATGGATGTGTCTGATAAAAAAAGAAAAAAAGGGCGTGCGATGTGGGGATAGGACAGATTGAGTCGATTAATGCACATACATATTCACCTTTTTTTTTTTTTTTTTTTTTTTTTCCTTTTTTGTTTATTTTACCTCCACATCCAACACAATTTCTTTACTCTCTACTTACTCTCTTCTTCCCCTACTTTTCCTTTTTAATCAACTTCTATGTAGCTTATGTGTATAGCCCAATATATAAATATTTTCATTATTTTCATTATCATGTTCATAAATGGCACGTGGTACATTTTATTAAATCTGATTTTGAAATCAATATTTTTTTTTATTGGAAGCCTTCATTGCTAAGAATGCTATAAGGACCCAAAGATTATTGCTGATATAAAATGAGACAATTATTCACAAGGATGTTTGAGTAAGAATAAGAAAAAAAAAAAAAAAGAAAAGAAAAGAAAAGAAAAAGAAAGAAAAAGGAAAAGGCCAATTAAGGAAACATCTACTAATTACGAAACACGTACCACAGCCACTGCTACCACTTCAACTACTGCTGCGGCTGATTCAAAGCAGACTGACTATTGTAGCTGACGCGATTGTCGGGATAGTCATTTTGTACTGTAGTGGTTGTGTTGGTCTCTTTGTTTTTCTTTAAAGGATTCCAGGAGCTCTTTTCATTATAGTGCTCCTGCTGATTATCACGTAGGGCAGTGCCGGCGGAAGTGGAAGCGACAGGAGCATTCGCTGGGTTGTTATAGTTATTATAGTTATTATAGCTGTTGTAGCCGCTGTAGCGATCATTGTATTCAGACTGTCTTCCATCGGGATAAGTAGAATCGGGACGGATAGCACGAGGCTTGCGCTGCCCGAACGGGGTCCAATCCTTTTCATACTCATAAGTATCACGACCTTGCTCTTTCATTAATTTTCGCTGACGTCGCCAAGAAAAGACCTGGAACAAGAAACCGAGCAGCATCAGTCCACCGACGACACCGAGCATGATGTACAGGTTTGTAGTGAGATTGTAATCGATTCTTGAATCGGATGAGAAGAATCGTCTGACAGAGTCTACAAAGCCTGTGTGAGCAAAGAGGTCGACACCGAGGATGGCCACATAGGCACCGACGATTGCACTAGCGGGGATCAGGATTTTACGACCGAGTAATAAACCAAAGATGAGACCCAGGGCCGAAGCTCCGGCGAGAAGACCGACTCGACCACCCTTGGAACGAATTAGACCCCCGTTACGCCAACCGAGAATATAAAGCGCAACGGCCAAACCGGCGACAGCGCCCAACATCCAGGCTGCGTAATGATAAAAGAGCCAACAGATAGAGCCGATGAGGAGACCGCCACCGATACAGCCAAAGACATAGATGATCTGACGGTGTTTCCAACCGCTGTCGGGCTCGAAACTCTTAAAGATCGAATAGACGATCACACAACCAGCAATGAAGCCAGCGAGGAACATGCTGGTGCGATAATAACGATAGCCTCGGAAGCTGAGGATGATGCCGACCAACAGGAGGACAAAGCCTGCGACGATCTTTTGCCATGTCAAGTCGGAAGATTGACCATTGCCTAGCAAGTAGGAGGGGAAAATAAAAAAGGGTTATATCTTGCAAGATAAAAAATGTAAAAAAAAAAAATAAAATAAAAAAAAATAAAAAATAAAGAAAAAGAAAAATCTTTACCATCAGGTTGCGTTGGTGGAGGTTGTTGTTGTTGAGCGAGAACGAGGAGAGGCAGCATATACGTAAGGAATATATGAAGAGAGCCCATCATTCTGTTGGCGAGAGGCCGGTTGAAAGTGACCATGGTGGGGGATTTTTTTCTTTCTGGAAAATGTACTTGATTAAAGAAAGGTATCTTGTCGAAATAGTCTTTCATTTGTTATTTGGTTTGGACAGGATAGTAAGATGATGGAGTTGATTAGAAGGGACTTTGTAGATAAACAGACAAAAAAATAAAATAAAATAAAAAAATAAAAATAAAAAAAGATATCAAATCTCGATGAAATAATAGAGGGAATGGTAGAAGAAGAGAAAGAGAGAAGAAAGAGATAGAAAAGAGTAGTAGATATTATATGAATGCTTTCTCCGGAAGGAGTCCTTAGAGAGACAATGACGCGCAAGGAGAGTCATGGATATACAAAACCGAGACACTCTGTCATAGCCAGGGTTCTATTGCTTATAGTAAAGAGGGAGAGAGGGGAGAGGGGGAGGAATCAATTAGGGACATAGTATCCATGCGGTGCCTCTGTGGGGTGCCGATAATAAGAGTTTCATGTTATTGTTATACACCTTTGATGGCATTACAGGCATATAAAAAATCAACATGACTGTCTCTAAAAGAATTTTTTTTTTACATATGTTTTTATTCGTGTCTGAGTTGACGCGTCTTTATTTTTCAATATTCTTTGTATCTGTGGTGTGAATGGCTGTGTGTTTCATTTTTATGTGCAAATGACGAAATGAAGGCGCCTCATGTTCCGATAAATCGGGATCCATATAAACTTCATGTTTGGATTTAAAGCCATGAAATAAATAAATATAAAAAAATCGTGTTGTCTCTCCTTTTTGGGGATGTGGTCATTTTCCCCCCCCCCCACTGATATTTGTAAGTATTACAAACTATTAAATTGCAACTAAATTGATTTTCACACCTTCCCCTTTGGCTTGTGTAACTCAGGTGATGTTTTCTCTGACAATGCTTAAAGTCCAAATAAATAAAAATAAAGTCTGTGAAAGTGCATTTGTTGACAAAGTGACAAAGACATGATGCATGCTTTTATACACAGGCTCCTCATTTATTTTATTTTGTTTTGTTTTCCCGGAACCGAGTCTTCGCCTCCTCTTCTTCTTTTCGTTCCTCTTCCCCGCTTTCCTTTCTATCTCTTTCGAAATGGATTTCCTCCAGCAGAATTCATGTCTCATGGAATAGGATAGTGAACTTTCCCTGAAAAGATGCTTTTTAAGGGTCTTTCAAATGAACAAACTTTCTGATTCTTCCTTATCGCCAATAAGCGTGGATAGATCTTACTCCAAATCATAAAATACCCCGAGGGAAAAAAGGGTCTGGGCAAACAGTTTTGCCATAGTCTATTGTTTGTCATCTGATAATTTTTTATTTTTATTTTTTATTTACTTTATTTTTATTGCATTTGGGTCTGTCATACAGAGAGACATTAATGAATATAGCGCATAGCGCAATAAAAAGGGGGGACTAACACTGCATGCATCGGACGAAAAACTGTTGGGGATCAATAGGAGAAGAGGAAAAAAGAAATTGAGTTTTTGTAATGGACGTCGATAAAGACATTTGTCTAGAAACGGATGAGCTTAAGAAACATAAGGATCACAAAAAATAAAACCAAAATAAAATAATAAGGTTCTCTAGATGTTGCATAGGAATGAGCAGTTGTTTGGAGCAATAGCCATCTTGGAAACGATTCAGGAGAAAGGGAAACAACAGAATGGATAGAAAGACAGCTAGACAAACAAGGAAATGTAATAGGTTGAAGTATAGAATCTCAATCCTGTGGCTACACAAGTCCATCATAGCCCACAATGGCACAATCTCATGTTTATCAAAATAAAATTAAAGGCAGTAATAAATCAAGCAAGCAATGTGTCAACGGTGCTGAATCCTGTAAAAGCTGTTGTTTCTGTATTTAAGTTTACAAAATAGATAGTGTTGTTGTTGTTGTTGTTGTTGTTGTTGTTGCTGTTGTTTGTTTGTTGCGCCCACGGACGAACGAATGAGCGCTTGCTCATGAATCTTTTTTAATCTTATTTCTGTTTTTCTCCATGCTTTGTAAACTCTAGTCCAATACTCCAACTGGGTAATCTGCCTTTGTTGTTCTGAGGTTAGGACACTCCCATAAAACTTATTTTCCTTCTGTCCTTCCTCCCTTCATTCCTTCGTCTTCTTTTCCACATTCATTCCTCATGCTCCATCCCTCCTCCATTTTCATCGCATCCATTTCTTCATTCACTCGCCCATTGTTCCTCCAATTCTTCTCAATATCACGAAGATCTCATCTAATTGATCGCTTCTTTCATAGTCCTATTCTTTTCTATTCTTCATATTATTTCTTTCCCCTTCTCCTTGATCTTTGATCCTGAGCCTTCTATCCATCTTTTTTCCATTGGATCAACCTTTTTTTTTTTTTTTTTTTTTTTTTTTTGTTTGACTAAAGTTCATCCACACTGATACCAGTCGCTCTCGATAATGACAAAGATCAAGCCCAGGCTCATTGCGCGCATATCTTGCCAAGAATGCCGACGAAGAAAGACTCGTTGCAACTTTGATGGCCAGAGCGACAAATGCTCCACCTGCGCCAGGATCGGAACAGCCTGCATTTTCGCTCAAAAGAATGGCGTTATCCTCGATATTGATAAGGTCATGGAAGAAAACAACCCACATCTAGTTCATCAACGAGAGAAAGAACAGAGAGCTCGAGAACGAGAGCGTGAACGTCTAAACAACATACCTGCATCTTCTGTATCTGTACCGGCTTTTGGTCAGCATGCAATGGACATGTCCACCTATTCAAAGTCAACGCCCTCTTCCTCTTTTCTCTCTGGATACCCTAACAGACCAAGCAGGAGTAATAGTACCTCCAGTTTATTTCCTTCAATTGGACGATCTTCGCCTACAGAAGATCTTTCCCAAGTGATGGACCGTCTACAGCTCGATACCTTTGGCGTTGCGCCCCATACTCTTCGTAGTTTCAGTCAGATTGTAGAAGACAATGATTCGAGAGAGACTTCCTCAGGAGAAGAATTTTCCGATATAGAATCACATGTGATCAGTGGCCAAAGAGAGCTTAAATCAGCTTCCCCAGAAATTAAGCAATCCAACATGAGTAAACGTAATAGTGGAGGAAGCAGTCCAGGAGTACATCATCGTTCTTCCAGGAGTCGATCAGTACCCTTGGTGGACATTCAGCCGGACTTGATTGATCTCTATTTCCAACACATTCACCCATATTATCTGATTTTACACAAGCCAAGCTTCATACGACGCTTAAACGATCCTAAAGATCCTGTACCTGATTTTTTATTGGCTGCTATCTACGCTATAGCATGCAATTATGCTCCTGGCCGTGAACAGGATGGTAGACGCTATTTTGAGCTCTGGCTTAGTCGATTAGACGATACTCTGGACAAGCCTAGGTTATCGACCATCCAGGCACTCTTACTGATCATCAAATATCAAGAGGGCGTAAAGCATACTGGTTTTTACTTCCGCACATACATGTACGCACAGATGGTGATCGTTCTCGCGCGGGTAATGAAACGACCTTTTTTTTTTTTTTTTTTTTTTTTCTTTAATTTCTTCTTTGTTACCCTTTATTTTTTTTTTTTTTAAAAAAAAAAAAAAAAAAAAAAAAAAAAAAAAATTAATCAAGTCAATATTGGAACGTCTGCCTTTTTTTTTTTTTTTAAAAAATTAGGAATTGCAACTTCATAAAACTTCGCCAGTCAACGTGAAACTGAATCCAGAAAGTCACGAAGTACGCCGTAGACTTTTCTGGACGGTCTTTGTATTGGATCAATTTATTTCCATCTCGCAAGGACGTTCCATGAGCTTTAACGAGGTTGAGCCAGAGGCTGACATGCCCTGTGTCGACAATGAGGATCCTAATGATCCTCAAGAGATTGAAAACATCCACAACATCGTTGAATATATCAAGCTGGCTAAGGTCAATCACCGAGCAATATATCTGGTCCGAAAGTTCAGTGCAAAGAAGGTTAAGCCTGAAGACGCACTTCAACAAGGCCGGACGATCCGTGATATGATGATTTCATGGAGAGAGAACTTGCCACCTCGACTTCGATTGGCATCAAATATGTCGCCACATACACCCTTTGTTGCAATGATCCATTCAATCCACCATATATGCCAAATGATGCTCGAGCGTTGCTATGGTGAAGATCCAAATATTAGCCAGCATGAAATGTCTGTGACAGCCAGAGAGACGTCTACAATGAATGCCACTACTATCACAGTAATTGTGGACGATGTTTACACGAATCATGGAATCGTTCCTTTGACCTACCCGATACGTGGTTGCTATTTTACCATCTATTGCCTCATTGCGGCAGCGACAGTTCAGGCAAACGATATCCGGCGAGGTGTCAATAACCCTATAATGTTTAAACGAACTTTAGCACTTCTAAATATCCTTCTCCGGGAATCAACGGCGACCGATATCGAGAAACAAATCGAGCTCTTAAAAAGCTCCACCGACAGTTCAATGGAAGGCCCTCGCAATGAACAGGTTTCAACATCGACGCCTTGTTATCATGATCAACGTCCTCAACTGAAACCCATCCTTCCAATGTCACAAAAATATGGAGCTAGGATGAATTTTACGTCAGGAGCATCACCCATCCGCATGAGAAAAATATCGCCCAAAATGTCAGGGCCTTCCTCAACTTCAAATATCGCTCCTGTATCTCCTGCGGTAGTTTCTGCAAGGATGGCAACTCAAATCCCAGGGAAGAGCGGTTCTTCTATCAGTCGAGTGACGCACGGCAAGGGCTCAAGCAAGATCTGCGATTTCGGGGAGCCTTTGGTAAGCGCCCCCATCATCCCTTCTTCCGGTCCGTCTCTGTTGCCATATACCTCTTCACCCTTTGGTATGTCTGGTCCAGCTGATCATCATAATTTGGCCTCAGGGCTGACGAACCAATCAGGAACAAGTACGAGTTCAGCCCGGCCATTGCAGCATGGCTCAACGCCATCCCATGTACAGAGTGATAACAAAAAGTTAGTTCAACAAGCAACATACAAGTCCGAACCACAGCAACAGCAACAGCAACACGAAGATTTAACGCAAAGCTTCAAGTCATCTCCTTCACCCGATATGCCTAGTATATCATTGTCGTCAACCCTCGTCTCATCTGAACCACAAACAACCACCTCATCTGATCCGAGTCTCTATCTACACTCCGTACCAGGATTCGTAGACATGAATCCCCTTTCATCAGAATTTAATACTTTTGATTTAGCGCAGCGTCAGATATCAGCTGATAATAATTCTCAGAACTCTACCCCACTCTTGTCAGTGGCTCAACTTTTGGCGCTTCAAGAAGAACAGCAGCGTCTTCATCAACAACAACACCAGCAGCATCTCCCTAGTGTACCTCAGTCTGGCTCGTCATTGAACCGGCTGACGGCGGCGCAAATTCAAGAGCAACACCGCTTAAACCAGCAACGTCAGCTCTTGGAATTCCAGCGGCGGCAACAAGAGCAGCCAAGATCGGAATTTAAAGTGGATAATTTCCTGTCCAACTTCTCGGCTCTGAACAATTATCAACAGCTCAACTCTGACCAACAACAGAGAGAGTTAATGTCGATGCTTGACTCTTCAGTGGCTAAATACCAAGACGGATTCAGTCAAGAGAATGATCTTGATTTTGCATCAACTTATTTGCAACGACACCAGCGCCATCATCAGCAACAGCAACAGCAGTTACATAATGCTCTTCAACATCAAAACAACATGCATGTGCAGACCCCATTGACGCCTTCAAGTATCACTTCACCGGGATTTAGCCAGACACAGTTCTCGAATAGTCATTCTTTAAGTTCTCAAAACTCTTCATCTCCTTCTCCTTCTCCGGCTTCTTCAGGGATGCGAGAAACCCATCAGGGAACATCATCGGCGGAGATAGCGACGCCTATTTTGCTTGGGCAAGATACTCCCTCACCGGAGACCTTCCCTCATTTGGATATGACTGAGGCATTCCAGAATTATTTATGCCCAGGCAGTACAGTCCCTGTAGGCCTCCGAGATCTTCTAGATGACGCTAGCAAGATTTTCAAGTTTCAGGCGCAGCCTCAGGAAGACGAGACAGGCACTGAGTATAATGCTACAAATTAATAAAGATAGCAACAATAGCCATATGCCATACGTAATAGCTTTAATTTATTGTAAATCACATGTATTTTGCCAGAAACTGAAAAAAAAAAAAAAAAAAAAAAAAAAAAAAGCAAATTTTACCCAGCATATGATGGCTTTCTTACTTTCTCAGGAAGTAGCGAATTTAATAGCATTTCTGGGCTGAGCTCCAAAAAAAAGATCCTGTTTAACAAGACTGCAAACTTGTTTGGTCATGGGGTACATTTTGTACGTAGATAAAATTTGTAATTTACAACTGCGCTATATTTTTTTGCAACAGCTTTGTCCATTTTTTTTTTTTTTTTTTTTTTTTTTTCTCACAGTCCCCTTTCAACCTCCCAATACTATCCATCATTTTATATGCAACGTTCTGTACAATTGCTTCGAAAGATGTCATCTACAGCAGCTTCAACCCCCAAGAAAATCAAGATCGACATTGTCAGTGACATAGTCTGCCCATGGTGCTACATCGGCAAGATCCGACTGGAGAAGGCGATTTCGTCATACAGGTCCAAGCCTGAGAACAAGGATGTTCAATTTGAAGTGAACTGGTTCCCTTATCAATTGGATCCCTCCGCTTCAAAGACACCGATCCCAAAGATGACCAATTATGCTAACAAGTTTGGACCCACTCGAGCACCTTTGATTCGAGATCGAATGATCAAAGTGGGGGAAGCTGAAGGTATTCATTTCAAATACGGTGGGAACATAGTCAACACATTGGATTCTCATCGATTGGTCTGGTTTGCGACCCGCAAGGGTAAACAAGATGAGATGGTGACTGAGTTGTTCAAGAATTATTTTGAAGAGGACAAGTGTGGAGAGATCCCGACGTTGATTGAATCGGCTGTGAAGGTTGGATTAGATCGAGAGGAAGTGGAGAAGTTTTTGAAATCAGATGAAGGCGTTCAAGAGGTTCAACAAGAAATTGAACGTGCCAAGTTACAAGGTGTGCAAGGTGTGCCGAATTTCACCTTTAACGAAAAGTTTGTACTTTCGGGTGCTCAGGAACCTTCGACCTTTGAGGAAGTCTTTGACAAAACCGTTTAAAAAAATAAAAAAAAAAAAAGCAATAAGTATTATTAATAATGGTAATAATATGAATAATAATTAAACATCAGTTTCTGGCGTAAATCCACACATTTATGAGGTAATTTCCCTAAGTTTAGCAGTCACCGCTGCTTACTTAAAGAACAGCTCCCCCCTCTTCTACACACCGTCAAGTGTATCCGGATTAGATAACGGAACGTCAGAGTCCCTTTTAGCTTTAGAATTACATTGAAGGACTATACATGTACTGTACATGTACATGTACAGCATATCCCACGTGCAAAGGATTTTTTTCCTTTATAAAAAGGATGTTGCGGTTAAAGACTAGCCATAGCCTTAAGAGTATAAATGAAAACGCAATAGCCAAATGGCGCAATAGTCGGACGCTGTGCCATGGGTGCGTTACTTAATCATGGGCTTTCTAAAAATAGGACCGTTGGGTAAGGTAAGCATTCAGATAAATCAAGGAAAAATAACTATAATAGTTATAATAATAATAATAATAATATATTTATGTTTTAGTGTGGGGTTGACAAATGACAGCGATCTTGTGGTTCTTCCCCACAAAGTATTTTATGGTACGATCGACAGCGACAATTCAGTAGATGAGCATTAAATTTGTCACGCGATGATGTTGAATCCACTATGCTTCAGTGCCTCAGTGTTATATTAGTGGATCGGGAAAACATGTTTGTCTAAAAACATTTACAATACGACTAGGGCTTTACTTAAGGATCCCACATCGCCCAACTTTCATGTTGAGCCCCCTTGCACGGTATGGGAGCAGTTTTTTTTTTTTTTTTTTTTTTTTTTTTTTCTTCATTAGTTAGCTCTAATAACGTGTCTTGGCGCTCTAAGAAAGGCAGGGGGTAGAGGGGAGAGAAGAGGATAGTTATCTAATTCGCCAACAGAGATACATTTTATGAAATATATATCTCATCGACTGGTTCGTTGAAGGTCCAGACGCTTTATTAAGGCCGGTAGTGGCTAAATCTGAAAAGCCAAAAGGCTAGCCCTCATGTTCCAAAAGATGTTGAAGGAGCAAATGAACTTGAGTGGCCTAGAAAGGTGAGACTTGTCAATACAAGTAGCCCATAGGCTAGAATGGACGCTATTTGTTTAAACCTTATGCGATATTCTGTGATTTTCTCAAAGAATTATGAGGAAGGTTCGTTTCTAAGTTTCTAAAACATTAAATATACTTTGTTGCACAGCAATCGCAACGATGCGTTCATGTCTCCATCAAGCTTGCTTGAAAGCCAGTCCTTTTGTATCAGTTCCCAACTTTTATTTTACGCGTCACCATGACATGTTAAGAAAAAGGCCGTCCTAGTATATAAAACGGATAAAAAAGAAAAGGCCCCGCTTTCAATCCTTTTCTTTCCTTTTCATTTTCGCTCCACCGCTTTCTTTCTTTTTCTTCAAACATAAGCACCCTTGAACTTCTTACTCTCCAATCACAGTAAACGCATTACATTTACCCATCCAAAGAATATATTAGGAAAAAAAAATAAAATAAAATAAAAAAATAAGAAGAATGAATGCCAACTCTGCTAACCGTCTTCAACAAGAGTCTTCTGAGAAGTCCAAAAAGAACCCAACAGATACCTCGAACCTTTATCAACGCGAGGAGACGTCCAAGCGAGACAAGGACAATTCTCAGGCATCGGCTCAAAAAGCCTCACAGGGATCTGGAGATCAAAATCAGCAGCACCAACAGCAAGGACAGGACGTTGGCAAATAAAAGGTGCATCTATACATTGAGCCGACAAAAGCAATAACAAGCAACCAAACTAAACAAACAAACAAACATGCAGGAAAAACCAGCACAAAACGGACAAACCAACAATGGAGAACACATCAATCTATAATTGCTTGCACGGAACTGACGGATCGTGCATACAACAATTCGAGTCGTATCGTTAGTTTCCGCTTTCTTGGAGGAAATAAATATAAAAAAATAAAATAAAACATGAAAAGTTGTTTGTCTGGAACATTTTGTACGCTGATAAAATGAGAAGCGGGTCTGCAATGCATCTTTCCTGGCTGGTAGTATAACGGTATTCTTTGCTTTCCCTCTCTCTCTCTCCTTCCCCGATCTTTCTATTCTTCCTCCCTTTTTCTCTCTCCACAAACCTCTCATTCCTCCTTCCTTCTTCGGACCATTCACTCTCCTCCATTTCCTTCTCTCTCTCTCTCTTCCTTTCGCTCTTATTCTTCCTTATCCTTTGTCCTCCCTTGCCCTCCCTTTGTCCCCTTTTTATAATTGTTACATCGTTACACTCGAAATTCGTCTTCCTGCAATTATGAAGGACCATCCTCTAGACTTCTGACATTCCCTTCCGCCCCTAATCGCCAGTCGGATAAAATCACATCAACCTCCTTCTTCCTCCTTCTCCTCCAGTGATTTTAAAACCTCTATTTTATCTTATTTTATCTTTTTTTTTTTTTTTTTTTTTTTTTCCTTTTTCTTTTCTTTTGTCTTTTCGGATCTGGATTTGAAATTAATGGCCAATATTGTAGCAGTTTTGTGGGTGTTGGTGATCCTGAACGCAATTCTACTCAATGACTATCATTTAAGTAAATCAGGAGTAGCAGTAATCGTATCAGCAGAAGCATTGCCAGCAATAGTACACCCGTTCTCCAATACGCATCTCTCTCGTTTTCATTTGGATAGCAGCTACAATCACAATGAGAGATGGAATGATGCACATAATTGTATTTCATCATCCCTACTGTCCTCTCCTACTGTAGCTACAACTGCAACAGCAACAGCTACAGCAGGCGTTGTGTTAGACCGGCGTCAGCTAAATCCCAGTACTCCTTCAAGTTCAATTCTTGTGCCCACTCCCTCACCATCACCATCAGAGACACAGTCCCCGCCTGAAGTATCAGTAACGACATCCACTGGAAGTGCACCTACTTTGGCTCCACCCATAACAGCGCCTAGGCCATCTGTTAAGCCAGGTTTGCTGACAGACTATGAATATGAAAACTATTGGGACCCCGATCCAAACACTCTCCGATTAGGGGTCCTATTGTCCTTCAATGAAAATCCAGAAAAACGAGAGGCGGCCATGGTTCGCAATTCTTTGTCGGTAAATATTAAATATTAATCTTTCCCATCCCTTCTCTGCTGCCCCATGTTACCTTTTTTTTTTTTTTTTTTTTTTGCCTATCACATCCCTAAAAAAAAAAAAAAAAAAAAAAAAAAACACAAAAAAACAAAAAATTTTCCTTCCAATAACTTATTTGAGCCTCAAAATCTCTAGTCTATCCGTATGGCAGTTAACGATGTAAACCGATTAGGGATTATTCCAGGTAACAATAATAGTAAAATGTCTGTAAATAGCAAAAGCCAAAAAAAAAAAAAAAAAAAAAAAAAAAAGTAGATAAAGTTCTAACTAATACATCTTTTGATATTTATTTCCTTTTTTTTAAGGAGTCAATATGTCTCTAATGCTTCGTGACAGTCAGTACCCTGGTCAATTTTCATCAACTGGAGGTGCTGCAGCTATTGCTGCAACTGGTTCCTTAATAAGTGCCAAAGTATGTCCATTTCGATACTTTTTTTCTTTTTGTACCCTTGTTTTTTTATTTATTTTTTTTTTTAAAAGAACACCTTGTATATAATGCTGACATGGGAAGCAACATAAATTAGCGACTTTGTTATCGCCGCTAATTATATTAATTTGTTGACTTGCCTTGTCATCTAGGTGGGTGGAGTTATTGGGGATATTAGGTCAGATCTTACAAGATACGAGGCATTATTGACTTCAAGTTTACAAATTCCTCAATGCTCTTTTGCATCAGGCACGTTTATTTTTTTGATTTTTATTTCTTTGTTTCGGACTGAACTCTCGTCTTTCTTTTTTCCTTAATAGTCTAACAGGGCAAAAAAAAAAAATTCCCTTTCTTCTTTTGATCCCTGCTATCATTTTTACTGTTGCTATCAATGTCTGATTACAGTGAATCCTATACGACCAAGTGGCGCCAAGGGTGTTTATGTTTTCAGGACTGCACCCACTATCATGGTCATCATTGATGCTGTCTTTGAAGTGATTCGACATGCAGGGTGGGGACGTATCTCTGTCATTTATGATTCAAATTTCTTAGAATTTACAGGTAAAAAAAAAAAAAAAAAAAAAAAAAAAAAAGAAAAAAAAATGATATTGTTTTGCTGGAAAAAAGTTTTTACAATGGTACAATGGTTTTTTTTTTTTTTTTGGTTAACTCAAATTAGCTTTTTATATTTCCTCTTCCTTTCCTTTTTTCCTTTTTCAAGCACGAGATTACTTTTTGGAAAAAGCCAGAAGCATGGGAGTCGTCATATTAGAATTTTATAGTCTAGTCATAGATGGTCCTACATTTGACCCAACTTACAAAGATATCAAGAAGATGATCGATAATAACCATTCCCGAATTCAGGTCTTATTTGCTAACTTTGTCGCCCAGTTTGGCGTACTCCGTGAAATGAAGTAAGGATAAAAGTAGTAAAAAGAAAAAAAAAAAAAAAAAAAAAAAAAAAATTAACTACTTAGAAAATGCTAATGGCCGCCCTTTTTTTTTCTCACCTTTTTTTTTCTCTTTTTTTTTTTTTTTTTTTTTTTTTTTAAAAAAAAAAAAACGTCCTACAGAGACACTGGTTACATGGGCCCAGAATATGGGTGGATCACGATGAATGATGTGACTGAACCATTCAGAGGCGATTCTAATAACAAAGAATACAATGGATTAATCATGATCGATAATGGCTGGAATATGACTGGCTACACGCCTTATGATACCTTCTTCTCCAGTTGGATGGGGCTGGACCCAAAGGAGTACGTTGGTTTCTCAGTTGAGGACAATAGGAACGAAAAGGAGAGCCATTGTCATACCTACGACATGAATGATATATATCTTATTCTCTTTATTCACTTTTGTTTTATTGATAACAGTTACCCTGGCGCTGCTCAGCCACGGTTGGATCATGGAGAAGTCAATGCTTATGCCTGTGTCATGATGATCGCGCATATGTATGGAGAGGTAAGGGTCTCGCGTGTGGTTGCTATGCTGTTGTTATGGATTTAGTTTGTAAATTCATTATGGTTTTGGATAATTTAATTTATAGTTTGTACGACGTGAAAGCGCGTTAAATCCTTCCTCACGTGACACATTGATCCGTCAAATCATTTCCGGTCAACATTCGGGGGAAATCGACGCCGCCAAATATTACGGTAAAGATCCTTTTATGGGTCCTTCTGGACCCATCACTATCAGTAATATAGGAGACAGGGTAGCCAGGTGAGGATTACATGATGTTGAGAATAGGAATAGCAGTAACAGTAGCAACAATATCACTCTAAGGTGTACGAGATGATATCCATTTCATAATTCCAGCAAACCAACTCAACTTTTTTTTTTTTTTTCTTTTTTTTTCTTCTTCTAGTAATATATACGCCCTGAGCATGAAAGATGGTAGGAGTGTCCACTTTGCGACAATTTTTGGCACAAACTATACTTTGGTCAGAGAACCACCATTCAAGGACGGATACCCTTTCCCTCCAGCTGACGTGCCTACAGTGGCTAGTATGTTTTGTGTTCTCATTGTCCCTTTCTACGCATCTGTTACCATAAACCCCCCCGATTGCAAAGTCAAGATGATTTCTAACAACTTAAAAACCTTCCAAAAAAAAAAAAAAAAAAAAAAAAAAGTCAGGAATCCGAGCTGGACCAATGCTCGGGGTATTATTTATGGAATATTTTGTATCTTGGGAATCATAATCACCCTAGTTTCTATGGGGATAGTTTACTATTATCGCAACGATATCACCATCAAAGCTGCTAGGTAAGTTTTGTAAAGTTTCAAGTAGCTTGTTATTGTGTTAACTTTGGTCTAGTCAAATATTGGGGAGGGGGAAAAAAAAAAAGAAAAAAGAAAAATAATAATAACTATAATAACTACAGTAACGATAACAATAACAATTATAATAATATTAACACCCATAATAATAATAATAATGATGATGATGATAATAATAATAATAATAATAACAATGATAATAATATAAAATAATAAATAAAAACAAAAATAGCCCAGGGTTCTGTCAGTGCGAATTACTAGGGATATTGCTGATCTTCATCGGATGTCTTTTGTTTATTGGCATCCCAAGAAGAAGCACATGCATGATGCAAATGATCTTGCGCCCAGTCGGTGTTACTCTTTTAGCAGGGTAAGCAAAGAGTATCCTTGTAGTTTTTTTTTTTTTTTTTTTTTTTCCTAAAAAAAAAGTATGTTTTCATGGATACTAAGTCTAGCTTATTTATTATTATTATTTTTTTTTTTAAAAAAAAAAAAAAAAAAAAAAAACTTGATCTTTATTAATACCATAGCTCCTTGACTATCAAGAATTACCGGATCTATAGGATATTTAATAGTGTCTCGCTTGCCAACCATGGATTCCAAACATATCTTCTCCTTCGTTATCTAGTGCTCATTGTGGTCCTTGCAATGATCCCAATCATATGTGAGGTGACCATTGACGCCCCTACGCCTGTGAAGCTCAACATCAAGTCTGTTCAGTGGGTTCGGTGTAATGGCGAAATGACTAATGGATGGTGGATCGTCACAGCCTCTATCGTGCCTATCCTTTTGATTATTTTTGGTGTCTACCTGGCGTTCAAGACCCACAATATCATGTCGCTCTGGAACGAAGCGCGACAAATCGCTGTACTACTTTAGTAAGTTCTTTCCCCTCTCCCATACCCTTGATAAGGCTTGGATACAGTTAAAGGGTCACTATAATTAACACATTTCCTCATACAAAAATGATTTTATTTTCAAGTAATATCTTTTTCATTACGCTCATAATCGCCATCACCGCCGTATTTCCAGAGGAGATCTACATGGCAACGTACTATATTAATATGGTTGGGACATATCTCATAGCTGTCTTGGGCCTGATCATCCTCTTCTTCCCAAAAATCTGGAAGCTGTGGAGTGCGCGTCAGCGAGTTAAGCAGAAAGGAATGTCTGGAGGATACAATCGCGCAGGATTTGCCAATGGCGGTGGTGGTGGCGGCGCATTAGGAGCACCGCAGATGGGCCGAATGCCGGGGGATCTTCGGGGCTTAGGGGCTCCAGTAGTTGGTGGCCCTGCACAAGAGGCTGCAAGGAAAAGCGATAGAAATGAGTCAAAGGCGACTGCAACTACCGCTGCAACAGACGGAGCAAATAACGCTGCAGCTGGCTATAGGTCGGATGACCTTATTATCAAGTATGAATATCAAGGCGCTGATACAGGGCGCTCGTCACCTGCATCCAAGGCCGTGGCTATAAGGGTTGAAGGTGATCGCACTGAAGCGCTGAAATTAGATATTCTGGATACAGTATCAGCTTCGCTCCATACACGCAGCATTACGCCCTCTTTTGAGATAGGTAAAAAAAAGAGTGGCAATGCAATGGATGCATGGATGAGTTCTATCATGTTGAGGAGCCTCGGAAGTAACGGCAATGGGAATGATGGTGGTAACGGCATCAGCAGCATCAACAGCATTCATGGTACATTTATTCCATGCAATTATAATAAGGAACCTCCAAACTTTCCAAAGCCAGGCACATTCCTGAGTGAGGCTGATATGAAAGATATAAGGACTCGGCCGTCTATGGAGCTCTTGAGCGAGCAAGAGTGCGAGGACCTAAGTCTTGAAAAGCAGGATCAAACACAGTGCCCAGCTACGAGACAGGGCGATGAAGAAGATGGGCAGCATCACATCAATAGAAGTCCGATTACTATCACAACTGAACATCCATCAAGCACAGGGCAAGAAGGACAGCAATCTGGAAAGAACCAGAATTGTGGAGCTCAGCGAGTGGTAACGTACTTAGTTGTGCATGTGTAATCTTCGCTCCATAATTTCAATGCAGTTTTACTCTAACTAAAACTCTTTTTTTTTTTTTTTTTTTTTTTATTACTTCTAGATGGATTCATATTTCGTATGTTCATCAAATCAGCAATCCATTGGTTTTTGTTTTTTTATTCAATGTGCAAAAACGAATACTTATTTTCCGGCTCCTATCTCAACATTATTATTATAGTTCCTTCTTCCGGTTCGTATCCAAAGAAACATTTTCACAAGCTTCCTATCACATTGGTCCGTCTTTACCCTGATTCTTGTTCCAGAAGCTCATGCTTTCATGGCTGTGGATGTAAGTGATTAGAAGAACATTTCTTTTTTATTATTATTATCATTATTATTTACTTAAGGTAAGATTTTTATTTTTTATTTTTTATTTTTATTTTTTTGTTACAGAGCACCGACGGAAAGTGTGCAAGCTATCTAATGCTTACCATGGAACAAGACCCAAATATACCCGAGCCAACGATTCGAGTAACAACTTTTCATTCTGTTACAGTATTGATTCGTTTCCCGAGTCAATCATACCTTGATGGTTGGATGGGCTTGTTCTCGGAAGAGGATTTGGTAACGCTTTCTTCCACTGGGCAAGCACATGTCACAAAGCCACGCCGAGCATCAGCAATATTGGCAACAATGGCCTCTGGTCTGAACCCAATGTCCGGTGTAGCCAACCAAGATTCACTCGTCAACACTGCGAATGCCACAGGCGTAGAAGGACGGGCTGGGCGTTTTTCATTATTGGGACGTCGATGGAGAAGTGGTCAGCGGGCGCTCGCTCGTGCTCCTGCTGCTACTACTACTACCTCTGCTACTACTGCCCCTACCGGCACCACACTAAATGAACCAATTCCAACAATAGAAGTCAGAAACTATGACTACGGACACAACCCTCGACCTAGTACATCGCAACAATCGAGGAGGCAACTCACTTGGGCTGAGAGACTTGATCTGGAGACAAGTGATGACAACACTGCAAATAGTAGCAGTTTAGATACTTCCAACTACAGTAGCAACTCTGGACAGCAAACCACTAAATATGGACGTGCTGTACCCAAATATCAACCCCCAGTTCCGGATGATAACAATGATGGCTCATCCAAAATACCCGCATTCCCTTGGAATGCCACTAATACCGCTACCACATCAACAGCAACCAACAATAATTCGAGCTCGACTTCAATCTCGACTCCCCACCCTGTAAAGTGTAGTAGATCAGAAGAACAACTCAATAGCACCCATATGGGTCGTAATGCTTCAAACAACTCTCTCGGCGTACATCGGGCAGGAGTGAGTCACAGTTGTGATGAGTATGGTGATGACGATGACGATGATGACGATTTGTATGATCCAGAATTTGGCATTGGGGGCCGAGGGCGTCGCCGACAGAAACTGCGGGTACGACGATCTGCCCGTGCTACTTCTGCAGGACCCGTCATCCCAAGCGCAGCAGTCATCTCCACAGCGGCGCGAGCAGTTGCTCTAGGATGGTCAGAATCCGATGCATTAGAGGCTGCTACTGCAGATCCCAGTGGCAGTTTTCTTTTAAGCAGTCCGTCCACTAAAAAAAGGCTACCAAGCCCGAATAGTCAATAAAACATATCTCATGTTAAAGCTTAGCAAGCTTTACTTTTTATCTTTAAAAGAGTCGCAAATTCTTCTCGACTTGGAGATTTTTATTAGAGATTCTATTTTGTTGCTTTCGCTTATACTTTGAATTATCATGAAAAAAATAGCACAAAATAACACAAGGATCCTCGCTTCACCACAACGTTCTGCACAAAGGACAACTGGAAGAATTAGAAGTCCTAAACCACTTGTATAGACATGATGCATGGAACCGGTTCTTACAGGTTTTGCAAGTCTTGTTAGGTAATGACCGATCCTGCAACGAGACAATAGAGTAACAAATCGTACAATCTTCCACACCTTCGAAATGCAATCCAACATTTCTCCTAAATAGCGTCAATGCGTCAATCAGCGAGCCATTTTGCGCCGCAATGACGCCTGCCACTGCCAGCAGCCAGGCTCGCCAACGAGCTTCTTTCACACCCACACGCTGCAGTCCCTCGACTTCTACCTGTCGCAAGGGGAAATTGGTGGGAAGTCGAATCACAATTTCCATTGTTGCTTCATCGATCTGGAACGACGCAGTCACCTCAGAAGTCGCCTTCGATGTCTTGATCTGAAGTTCGTTCAGGTCGTCCGAGACACCTGACAATGCTGCAGCGGCTGCTGCCTGTCCTCCAGCTGCAAGGTTCTGCTTCGCCTTGGCAAGCGAAGCCAATTCATGGGCAATCAGTAGTGGCGAGAAGTACTTTTCAGTTAATGACTCGACTGCAATGCTGAGCTGTCGAAGCTTACACTCGGTCCACCAAATCCGCACCAAACTAGGGACATTGGCTAGACAAGTGTAGTACAAATGTCCTGCAAGAAGAGGGAAGCCAATCTCTGGTGAAGACAGATCAAAGCCTGTAATCTGATATTCTGTGATGTCCCATTTGCTAAGATCAAATGTGCCTGTTGGCTTGGCTTCATTAGACGTCGTTGAAACAGCCTGATGGTTAGAAGTTGAGTCATTCACCAATGATGAAGCAGAATGAACGCCGAGAAGATGGAAGAGATAGGGCAAAAGGTCATTCATCACTTCTGAGGACCGCAACTGCTCGACTAGACGGGACTTGACAGTGTACGTCTGACAATTAGAAAGGAACAATTGAGTTAATTATGAAATATTTAACCTTGGTCGGTGTTCTTTCGGCATCATATGAAAAAAGATCTTACCGTATTCTCAAAAATGACGAATGCAAGCTTCCATGCCAACAAATACCCAAGGATAGCGTGTGAGGTCAGCTTCTCAGATTTGGCTGCTACCCCTGCACCAATTCCATACTCATCATCCTCATCTTCACCGCCATTGTTAGACATGTCTAATAATAACGAAAACTCTTCTCGCCAGTTGATTTCGTCATCAGCATCAACGTTAACATCCATGGCTGGGAATCCCCTAGGCGGATTAGAAATGATGCGCCAAAGTGAAACAGGGAACTTGGGCTGTGTCATCTTATCATCTGCATCAACGGTGCTGCTGCTGTTGTCCTCAATGGACCCCTCTTCTTCTACAGAAGCCAAATTTTGGCTTATAGGCGACTTAATCTCCATCTGAATCGACAACGCCTGTACCTCCTCGACCAAAATAGTCTGCAATTGTCTGTATGCAAGCATCTGCACCGTTGTAAGAGGTTCTGTCAACAGACGGCACTGCTCAGCCACAGATCCATGAGACAACACAAGACGGTCCGGTGCATGCGCGCAAATTTGGGACAGTGCTTCCAGATACTGACGGACAGGTCGGTCCATTTTAATAGAAGCTGCCTCAGACATTACTTTATCACACCCAATAAGCCGCATTGCTGCTACCAGAATACCCTCGCTATGATCATCCCATACGCTCTGAATATCCTCCTCCTCTGTCCCGAGCTCAATAAGATTGATAGCCAAGCAACAAGCTCTTTCCAGTACAAGAATGGCAAATGGAGTGGCTGTCGGCTCTCCAAGCCCTGTAAACACTGATAAAATGTAACTGAACATCATCTCCCAATGCGCTCCTGGGAGTTCCTGGACTTGATAAGCAAGAGCATTTAAGAGCTTGAGCAGTATAGAATGGATAAGCAGTTGATCCTGGCTATCGAAACTTTGCAACGCATCTGACTCCGACATCCAACGACGAATCGACTGCAATAAATTCATGACACGGATCTGAGGTAGGCTCATGCTAGACTCATCTTTGTCACGAGACCTGAGAGCGGCAACAAGGAGCGTCAGACGACGTACTGTATCTAGATGCTGTATCGAAACCTCGTTAGGTTTTGTTGGCGCTGTAATCCAATAGTTGAGAAGATTTGCAAACTCGCTTGTGTTTTCAAGTCTCTTTTTAAGTGCAATGATCAATCCAGTAGAAACTGACAATGGCACTATAAGCGAAAAAAGATGGATATTAGTCTCCATTTTTAGGTAAGCTGAGATAGCACACTTAGACTTGGAGGTTCAGCTTTGATTCTGACATACCGGTTTCACTCTTAAAGATAAGGCACCATTTCTTGGCAACTTCAGGAGAGACTTGGGAATTATCGACCTGGGCTAGCGCCTGAACGACATCAGCCAGTACGCGCTCGTTGAATCCGTCTTGTTCTTTGATAGCTGCTAGAGCAAAGGATGTGGCACTGCATTGAGAATCATCGTCATCATCGTCTACATTAGGCCTACTTTGGGGAACATGGGCTAGGGCCTCAATGACTTGAGACTCCCAGCTTTCATTTGCAACAAGGGAAACCCAAGTGACAACCATCAGTGACATCTCCCGTAATAGACTCCTGAAAACTACAGCATTCGCATCTGTATGCAAATGCGGCGAATAAAAGATGCCGGCATTGGAGGAAGGTGTCTTAAAAGCGTCAAGGCACCCCTGTCTAACTTTCAAAAGTTCCTCCATAATCCATGTCATTTTATCAGGATATAGTAGGAATAGCGATTCTAAGGTCTCATCTTTTAAGAGCTCGAATGTAAAGAGAGCTAGCCGTCCATATGCTGATAACCCAAAGCTATCGTACCGAATCTCTGATGAAGGTGTTTCTACAGCAGATACCCTTGAGGGCTTCTCTGCATAAAAAGCCTCGACAACTGGATCAAGAATAGTCAATGTTGGGTGGGGTCCGCTGCTGGTCAGGGTCTTATAGAGTGAGTTCCAGTGCTCCTTGTCAAAGAAGAACTCACTCAGGAGATCAAATCGTTCCCTTAGCTCCGTCAGGTCAAGCAGCTCTACCAGTTTTCGCGCTTGATTTGCAAGGCCCTCCGGACTAGTAAAGCGAAGCAAATTTTGAATATTGTCCTGAATATGATCAGTCAAACATTCACGTAGGATAGTACGGACCGAATCAGATTCCTTTGAGAGTCGCTGCAACTCTTCGAGATTCTTCTGTCCGGCCTCGCTCAGGTACCCCTCGGATTGTGAGCTAAGGTCAAAGATGGCAACAATAATCTGTTTTAACGGGCCTTCCTCATCCAGCTCAATTGCCAGCGGTATGACATGAGCCAAAGATTCGAGCATGATTGCCAAAATGGATTCCGCCTCTTCCATTTTTCCTAATGCATGTCCAGCTAGAATGTCTGACAGGAAGAGATTTATGCGTTGAGAGAGACTGTCGATGATGTCGAGCTTGAGACGGTCAGAAATGATTGATTTGGAGCTCAAGGCGCTTGAAACTAATGATTTTCCTGATGAAGACGTAGCATACTGCTGACCAACAACGACATCCGTAACAAAACTGTTGATGCTCTCAAGGTGCAGATCAAAATTTGGAGATACGGCTGAAATACGTTGCAACATCCCTACAAGGATAACCCTCTGTCGCTCTTGTTCTCGCTCTATTTCAGTCTCCTTCAACACTTTATCCATGACTTGCTTCCAGAGCTGTGATGCCGGTTCTGGCTCCTTGGAGTTGCCAAGATATCCTGCAAAGAGACCAAGCAAATGTGGCAAAGAGCCATTGCTTTCGGAGGTAGCGTCACTCGAAGATGTTCCATCATCGGACGCCATCAGCATATCTGCAAATTGAACATTGAAAAAGTCATGCAGGGCTTTCTGACTTTCAGGGTTAGTGAACACAACCACCTCGAAGTGAAGTGCCAACAGGGAGAGAAGTTGTGACGGTCCAACAGATTGAGCTAAATAGGAAAAAAAATTCAATAAATAGTGAGCCTAATTAACTTTGCCAAGTTAGGAGCCGACAATCGAAACTATTGACTAACACAAATGGCACATACTCCCAGAGCACTTTTTGGCTACAATCTGCACGAGCTGGTCGGCAGCCTTCTCTGTTAATTCAACAAGAGCCTCATCCTGTTTCTCGCGTGCAGCAGCTGAAGCTTCCGCCAGGAGCGCTATGACTCGCTTCCCTCGATTTACATATATATCAGAGGGCTCATCTGAGACGACTTCATTCATAATATCCGTAATTGGCTCCCAAAGCTTCGCGATGGTACGCTCACGGACTGAAGGAATAGTAAGTAATCGAACCAAATGAATACTGATCTTCTTGACTACTGTTCGCTCGTCTTGTACAAGCCTAGCTGAAGTTTCGCTGCCATCTGTTGATCCCAAAAATGTCTTTAAAAGATTGAGGTACGTAGCATATACAGCTTCTTGTCCTTGAACCGTTGCCTCGGATTTGCCGAATCGAACTATAAAATAGACCATACATTCAATATAGGCCTCCAAGAATTGTGCTGTCGACCCCGGCTCCTTGTCAATATGGGGGCTACTAAGGCCTTTCCAGAAATTGTCAAAAAAGTCTTTGCCAAAAGGGAAGCCTGTTCCATTTTTGCCCAGGATAGATTCTTCTGGCCAGCTTGCGATAAGTGGTAGGATGCTGCGATAGGTAACGGTCGTCGATCCATATCCAGCAGCCTTTAGAAATCCAAAAAATAGTGACATAGTAGGTTTCTTTCCCACTGCGATTGTCCAAGATTCTGGGAAAGCCTTAGTGTAGATGAGAAGTGCATCCCAGAGGTCGCCATGAGTGGTTGGATCCTTATCCGAGAATGTTGCTGGGAAAAACACTTTGCTAATGACCTCCAATCTATCTTTGATCAGGCTCGGTGCCTTACTAGTGATTTTTCGAAGCATACTATAGCTTGCCCTCCTCACCTGTGGACTGGGATGATTAAAGAACTGCCATAGCTTGGTTTCATCCAATAATTGTCCAATTTCGCCAGCAGACTTTTCTAATGACTCAGCGGATAGCGTTTCTATCAAAACACAGGGCATTCAATATTAGGACAACACAAAGTTAGACTGCAGAAGAAATAACCATTGGTACACATATTATGTAGCGACATGGCTCATATTTACCAGCAATGTATCCAATTGTATAGAGGGAGCTTGAAGCGACTCTGGCATAGCGACTGTCCATTTCCTCCTTTGTGTTGAAGCGAGGGTCACTGAATGTCTCTGAGGATTTATTGAGAAGGATTTCTGAAACGTAGAAGATCATATCTTGGAGACAGAAAGAGATAACCGACTCGCGCTTATTGTCAGGAAAAGCGCTCTGAGACCAAAAGAATATGAGATCAGTACAGTGGTAATGAAATGATTATATCGGTAAATTATATATATATATATATTTATATATACCTTGAATGCCTCCGCAGCTACGTATGCTACATCCCTTGTTGGGTCAAAAAAAGTGCCAACCCAGGCACCGATCACCTCCTTCAGATAAGGGGCCAGCCTCTTTTTAACACGCTTGACAATCAACATATGCACATTGTTAGTCAAGAGACGCACGCGACGATCCACATCAGTTGTCAACTTAATATAGAGCTTGATCCAAGGGCCAAGGGCCTCCAGACAAGCGTCTGATCCTGCCTCCTCATCCTCAGGCTGTGCTTTGACCCATTTTTCCAGATCCTCGAGCGCTCTAACTTTTGTAGTGGTGTCGCGTTTAGACATAAGTCGCTTAATGATCATGGAGAGGTCTCCATTTCTAATCACACTGACAACCTCTGAGTCGAAGCCACCAAAGCCAGACGATCCTGAAGATGCAAGTGCCGGACTAGAGGATCCAGATCGGTTAGGAGGCGCATTTCGAGAGACATTGGAGGCTACGTAAGTTGAAGATGGTGAGAATGCGGGTGTAGCAAACTGTGCGAATCCTCCGAGGGCTGAGATGGGGAGTGTTGATCCTGACCCACTTGTACTCGCTAGTTCTGCAGCGCGACTATTTTGATTACAACCAACCAGTAATGAATGTTGGTAAGAGGAGGGGAGAGGATTCGCAACTTGAAAAAAAGTTTTTTTTTTTTTTTTTTTTTTTTTTTTACCTGCTGCTTGCTGCCTTCACATTTCCTCTGACGCGGGGTGTTGTTTTTGGTGGCATGGTTTAAATGTAAAGAGGAAATGTAGAACAATGGTTTGATCCTCTCCTACGTAAGGTATTAGTTTAATAAGAGAAAGAAAAAGTGAATTGATTAAAATTGTTGAGAAAGTCGAGAAGACAATGAAGGTTTTATGGAAGCCCTCAGAAGACAAAGTTGCTTTGGCTAATGGAGCAAACGGAGCAAGGCAAAAACTATATTTCTGTAGTCAACTGAATTGATTTTCCTAGGTTGCCGCAGCTCCTAATGTCATCAATGCCTCAAATTTTACATTTTTCTGGGACTGTCTTCTACTATCACAAGCCACTGGCTGCTGTTTTGAGGAAGCTTTTTTTTTTTTTTTTTTTTTTTGGCCCAAGCAACATCCTCCTTTCGATATTAGGGAGCATTTTGGGTGCAAAGAAATAAATTCGTTTGCTTTCATCTTTTTTCATTTATTGCAGCCATGTCACGACCGGAACATCAAGCACCCCCTGAAATCGTACGCAATAGTATGCTATACATTTGCATTGGAATGGTCAAAGGAATCTAATAGAGCATAACCAACTGAAATACAACTGCTTTACTTTCACCAATATCATACATTTGTTAGGTCTATGGTGGCGAAGAGGCAGCAAAGTACACTGGAAAGTACGACGCCATATACTTCAACAATTTACTTTAATACTTTGACATTGTAGCATTGGATGTTTTATAGCGTTGTCATACTCAACGTTGAACAAAAAAAAAAAAAAAAATGAATCTATGCTGTTCTTTTCATTGATGCCACTTAGCTCCCGTATTGCAGCTATTCAAGCGGAGATGGCCAGCCGTGCTGTCGAGTTGTTGAATTTACCTGAGGGATATTCTGGACTTATTCTGGATGTCGGTTGCGGATCAGGGCTTAGTGGTGAAGTTCTGGATGAGTATGGTCACGTCTGGATTGGATTTGACATCGCCCCTGCCATGTTGGAGGTAGCGTTGGAGAATGAGGCTTCTGGAGATCTGTTCTTACAGGACGCAGGACATGGGATGGCTTTCCGACCTGGTACATTCGACGGCTGTATCTCTATTTCAGTCCTGCAATGGCTCTGCAATGCCGATAAGACTTCTCACCACCCAAAGGCTCGTCTTATGCGATTCTTCTCTACCCTTTATTCCTCCTTGAGACGTGGCGCCCGTGCAGTGTTCCAGTTCTATCCCGAGAATGATGACCAAGTCCAATTGATTATGGGATGTGCTGTCCGCTGTGGTTTCGAAGGAGGTCTTGTTGTCGACTATCCTAATTCTAAGAAGGCAAAAAAGTTTTATCTTTGCTTGTTTGCAGGACAGGAGATCAATGGTGTCAGACAACAACTTCCTGCTGCACTGGGAGAAGACGGGGAAGGGGAGCCTGAAGAAACTGGAGTGCAATATACATCCAAGAAGTATGCTGTTATCCTAGGCCTAATCCTCGCTCCATATTATCTTTTGAATTGTGGCTGAACGTTTATACTAACTTTTTTTTTTTATTATTTATTTTATTTTATTTTTTTTTGAATACTTAGGAGGAATGATTCCCGCATGCGCTCTAGTAAGCGTAAACCCCTTAAAGATAAGAACTGGGTCTTGAAGAAGAAGGAACAATTGCGTGCAAAAGGCGATAAGACTGCCAATGACTCCAAATATACGGCTCGCAAGCGTCGTCCAAAGTTCTAAAGCATTTTTTGCTGTGCATTTTTTCTCATTTCTTACTCATATTTCTTTCCCATTTCGTGTAACTTTATTTCTTAACCATAATAAAACTTGCATTCTGTTGCATCCGTACACCTTGCTGCTCCACCTACCTTGCAACTCTCATGAATCATATACATAGAAAAAAAAGAAGAAAAACAACCCCACCCCCGAAGAAAGAAAGAGCGGAATTATATTCGTAACACTGTTTCCAATTACTCCCATGTTTGTTTTTGCGTGCAAGAAATGAACACTGGCACTAAGAGCTCGCGCACGGAGTAAATTAGACTGTGAATATCTACTGATCACAAAGGTGCCTTTGAACAAAATTCACAAATTACTTTTTCCAATACATAGAAACTATTATATTAATCCACATCGCTTTCAAAATCTCTGCTCGAGCATGTTTAATGCCATGAAGACGTGTTACTTAAAACCAATTGAGCTCCAACACCACATTCATAGATAGACACCCCTATCCTTAATCCACAATCCATCCCTGAATACTTCACAGATTTCTAATGTGATATCTAGTTCTGAACTCCACTTCCTCCCGCACATTGCTTAGTTCAACAAACGCCCATTTTTTTTTCCTTTTAAATACCCAACTTTTCATATTTTTTTTAAAAAAAAATCACCATCTCCAAAATGTCTTCGAGCGAGAACAGTTTCATGCCGAAGCCTTTGTCGCCTCAAGAGCGATCATCATCGCAGGCCTTGCAAACTGAGCCAGCTACTCATCCGGATTCTACTGCTGCTGCTACTGCTTTCTTAGGACGGAGCCCGAAACTACTGAGGATAGCTTCTGCGTCAACAGCAGCAGCAAGAACAACGTCATCGTCAACAGCCATTACTCTGCTGGGCTCTATGCCTCTGACGGTGATTACCGCTGCTACTACATTCTTGGGTATCCTAAAGGATAGTCTGCGGAATGAACCAGAGATTTTAAGGCTCTACCTTGAAATCTTGGATGATCACGAGAAGCAAAAGTAGGTCAATGCTTTTTATTTAACTTTATCTTTACTTTTTTTTATTGTTGGAATTCAAATCACTAATATGATTCTGTTTCTTTTTTTTTTTTTTTTTTTTTTTTTTTTTCTTGGCAAAAGGATTAATGGAACCGAGATGATTGATCGTGTATCGATCTTGTTTGAAAAATATCCTCTTGTTCACACAGAATTCAAAGAGTTTTTGTCGGCAGAGAATAAATATCAAGAGCAGGATCCTCCTCCTCCCTCTCTTCCTTCTCCTCCGTCTCCACCTCCAGCACCTCTCAATAGTATTTCAAGAATCAGAGGCATGGGCTCCATTCATAACAGGGCCAGGTCTAACTCGATTGTCACGCCTTTTCTCCATCCCACAGCCTCAACAGCCGTCCGTATAATCGTTCTGACCAAACTTAGTCAAGGCCTGAGAGACTTCTAAACAGTCTTTTTTTTTTTAAAAAAAAAAAAAAAAAAAAAAAAAAAAAAAAACTTGAGATGTAGTTTTTATTATATAATACATAGCAAAGCACAATAAGAAAAGTTAAGAGATGATAATCAATCATATTACTGCATGAAGAAAGATCACCTCAAAACAAAAAGATTTGGGGGTCAAACCAAAATGTATTCACAAAGAACAAATAAAGCTCTGTGCGCGATAGCTGACATGATCCAAGGGGCAATCGGGCAAAACAACAAGTGAATGTTTATGTTTGTATATATATATACTGAGCTTTTTAAATCTTCCGTTTCCTGTTGTCCGTCATACATCATCTCTTGTCCTGTATTCTGACTTGGTCTGTCTTCCTTTTCCTTCTTCCTTCTGCTCCATTTCTGCTTCATTTCATATGCCTGGTACTATTGGATTCGCATCGAAATACATCGGTAACCATTTCCTTGATGCGGGTCCAAGGTTTTCAACCCTTTTTAAAAGCTCTATAGCTATTTAACCGACGTATTAAAGATAGCGCGTATGGAGCACAAGGCCAAGTCCTTCATCCCTATCAATTTGTTCTGAATGGAGCTGTGATAGTTTGCACATGCTCGCGACATACTCTGCAGGGAGAAAGCTAAGAATATAAAAACTATCAGGAGCACAAGTGTGTAGAGTTGCCAAGCTAGGTCATGTGCAAATTGACCACCTTGATACTCGGATGCCATAATGCAATGTTAATGACACGTCGGTTATTCCTTGTAAGCAAGTCCTTGGCATTCAAGCTGCTTGTGCTCTCGCATTAATTTTAATGACTTTTTTCGGAATCAATTCACATGCTTGTAGCACGAGAAGAAAAAAGGGATATGATGGATGCTCTCACTCAGCTCTGGATTATTTTGATTGTGCCCGAAGCTCATGTCTGCCTGCCTCGTCATTGTGAGAAAAAGATGTGCCACATGAACCAACAAACATTAATCAGATGCCGTTATTTCTTGTGTTTACTATTGTAGACACAGGGTTCCTTGTGTACATGTTAGCTCAAGCATTTGCCGATTGATATTCCTACTGTTGTAATGTTGCTATCGATGCCTATTTTGTTTCTTTCACTCTTCAAGTTCTGGATTGACATCTAAACCCTTCGGTGATGATCTAGGTAGTCATAAAGGAACAAAAAAAATGATTGTCAGAATTTTTTTTGGGGGCAGATATCAACAGACACTTCAAGATAAAGTGACAGCATGAAAAAAAAAAAAAAAAAAAAAAAAAAAAGAATTACCGGAGTAATCCTGAGCAAACACCAAAAAAAGAAAGCATTGATCGAAATATGCCCAAAAGGAGGATGTGAATGAGAATAATCAATTTTAGTTCACATTTAAAAAAAAAAAAGTGCTTGTGTCTGTGTGTCCTTACTTTGATTTGCAGGACAGATGTGGAAATGTTTGAAATGCTCAGGGGAATGATGGGACTGACTGAAATAAGCGCACACGACCCTTGCTGACATGTTGGAATATCATTTGCCCAGTGCGCACATGCACTTGCTTGGTTAGCACAACGTCTTTAAAAAGTTCTCTTTTCCCCATTTCTTTTCCTTTCCAGCCCCTTATTTTCTATTTTTTTTACTTCCTCGCATCCCACCTATCACATCATTGAACATTCAATTAAAACTTTAACATTTTCCTCCCCCATAGACCACACACTAATCCTTTACTTTCCCCGCTTCTGTTTGCTTTTTTTTTTTTTTTTCTTCCGCATTCCTACCCTGACATTGTATTCTTCATTCATTTCTTCATTTCATTTCGTTTCACTTCACTTCATTTCATACTTCATATCTTCAGATCGCATGGCCCATGGAAAGAACAGGTTGTTCTGGCTTGCCAGCCTGGCCATAGCCTCAATACCCCTCGCAGTGACCTTTTATGGCGTCTACAGTGATCGTCGTTGGGTCACTATCTTCTCCTTTACACTCTTTGTCATCTGTCTTTTACTCTCCACCTGTACCTTCCTCTCATGGAAGACCTTCAAGTTCTCAATGCCCATCATCCTCCAAATCCTGCGTACCATCTCTGTCGCTCTCACGCCTCTTGCATCTATCCTTCGCGGCATTCCAGTCCTCGGCAAAGTTACCAATGGCTCCATCAAACTGGTCTTTTGGACCTGGTTCATCATCTTGATGATGTCGGATGTACTCCTTCGGAGAATGCTCAAGATCGCCGTGGGACTTCATGAGCCCAGCGCAGGGCAATACTCGACTGTCAATGCCTGCGATACAAATTTCCAGCCCTGTGGTGAATTTGGGAAGACTCTTGACAAGGAAAAGGTTAAACGGATCGAAGAGGGCGGACAGGATTTTGAGCGCGATCATGATTACGATGAACGCAAAGTTAGTTTGAAACCCCGCACCAGCAATCACGATAACAGTAAGCGATCAAGGGATCGCCCTAAATCACTTGATACAAAGTATAAAGTGTCTGGAAGATCTGGATCAGATTTAGCATCCATGTCGAGCGAAGATTGGCATAAAGTGTTGGAGATGGCCAACATTGACAAGTCTCGTTACGTACAGGATGATATCAAAAACGGATTTGAAAAGAAATTGGATCAGCAACAGGAGAACCTTATGGATCGACCCCGCTATTCACAACCTATTGCTACGACCCTAGCCATGGTATCCAAGTTAGTTTATGAAGATGTGCCCGTAATTCGCCATGAACTCGCTCTCTCGGGATATGACATGCATTCATTCCGCGCTATTGCATACAAGGTAAATTTTTTTATTTTTGATGATCGGGTATACAAAAATTGAAAAATCATACTCATGCGAACTTTTATCTCACCTGGTTTTGTTTATTTGTGTGGATTTACACAGAACACCTGTGGATTTATCGTGCAAAAAGGTCGTAACATTGTACTAGTATTCCGCGGGACAGATCCCTTGAATCTCCAAAACGCATGGACTGATATTCAATCGCGACTTATACCCATCAAGACTCTTGGAGATGAGGCTGTACCGCTTGGCAAGTGTCATAAGGGAATGTACAATGCCCTGGGTTCGGCTGAAAACTTTCTCTTGCCGTCTGAAGAGTTGGCTCAACAACAGCGGGAACTGAGTCGGCTTCAACATCGGAGATATAGTGATACAGACATGGATGAAGATGACTATGGGCTACATTCAGAAAAGTCTTCTCCAAAACGTCCACACAAAATTAGCCCAGCTTCATCTTTCAGATCCGAGGTTACCAAAGCTAGCACAATCAATCTCGAACTGTCCAACCATTCCGTCTACCAAACGATAGTCACTTCCATCCGAGCGGCATATATGTTGGTCAAATTCCTAATTGTGGGCCTCTTCACCCACGTGAGCGATCCAGTTGACTATCGTTTTGCAGGCGAAGTCAGAGACCTGAGTGCGTTTGCACAAGCATGCCGGTGGTTGGATGGGCTGAGACTAGAACATGCAGAGAAAGAGCTTAAGCGAATGCACAAAGTGGATCGGTCTTCAAAGGTTTCACATCAACGTCGTTCGTCGTCGAATTCTCGAGCTCTTTCCAGAAGGAGCAGCCTGAGTAATCTATATTCAACTGACGATATAGAATCATTAGATATTAGTAAAGGCCAGGATAAAGAACACGGGCGAAGATCCAGTCTTTCTGGTCATGGATCATTTAGAAGCGCCAAGACACGAAGGCTCTCGCTTACAGGACTGCACCATGCTGGGCAGAGTCATCATCGGAGGAGACTTTCGGGATGTAAAGCAGATAGCAAAGACTCTGCTCAATGGACTGACTTGGGCAATAAGATTCTAGATATTTATAACCATCAATACAGAGATGAACAAGAAGGTAGCTTTAAAAGAAAGAAGCTTCGCTTTTACATCTGTGGACACAGTCTGGGTGGCGCTCTTGCTACCATCTTTCTGGCAAAGATGGTTCAATGTCACTCTCCACTATTGGATATATTTTCTGGGCTTTACACGTAAGTTCTACTCACTGACATGATTGAGTGTTTAATTTATAGTTATATGTTGATGCGTCACATGAATAATCATTCGTTTTCGACTTTTCTTTATTCTCCTTCGTCTTCTACAGTTATGGCAGTCCTAAAATCGGCGACAAGGATTTCAGTAACGCATTTGGACCCAAGCTCGCTTGCAAAATGTTTCATCATGTTTACAACAACGATATCTTCGCTCGCGTGCCATTTTGGGGCGCTTATGAAACTCTTCCAGGAACGCTTGTATTTGTCGAGTCTTCACATAAATTGATTTTGTACCCTCCAGACCCAGTGACATTAATGCCTGTCCCCGTCAGAGGCATCTCATTTATGCATCTCTCCGGTATCCTAAACTTACGAGTCATCATGAGGATGCGTAGGGAGTCATGGCTCCGAATCTTTGAGCGAATCGTGTTACCATTCTTCTTGAATGATCATTTCCCTGGGGACTATGTCAAGGCACTAGCAGAGGGTAAGATTGAAATCGTAATGGAGGATACAGCGCATTACGGAGGTGTAGACGAGGCAGAGACTGGAAGCCCTGTTCAAACAGGACTTTTTACATTTTTCAAGAACAATGGCGACGCTAATGCATTGGGAAGAGAAAAGGCAGTCAACGAGACCTCTTCGCCTTTGGCTAACCGCGCCCATGCAGTGGACCGACTCGTGTCCAGAAGGTCATCTTGTTCTAATGGCGTTGTAACCACAACAATAATAAAGCCTAATGGCGCACCTGATATGTTTTCAGGAGATAACGATAGCGGATATGGAGGAACAGGGGATCGTTCAGAGGATATGGATTCGTCTCGAGTTCGCCGAAGGATTGTCAAATATACCTATCACCAAGAAGGCGATGATGATGAAGAGGAGGAAGAGGAGGGATATTACCGTGGTAATGATTCTCGCCGATCCAAGGAGAGGAACAGGAACAGAGACGAAGGATGTGGCGTGGAAGGTGATACGCGATGGAGAGAGCTAGCATCCGAGTCTGGATCAGAAATCAGAAGACAGAGGTGGAGGTCAAGCTTGACAACAAACGTGAGAAGAAGATCTCGACAATGAAGAAACGTTTGGGATAACCTCCGTATACTTTCCTGCCGTCAAATCATCATACTGTGTATAATAGAAAAAGAAATCTTTCTCATTTGAATAACATATTAATCAAAGTGATGAAATCCATTGCAAAATACCAAATGACTTTGTTAAACTTGAAGGAGAAGCGCCGGCTGCATGTGAGTTGTAGTATAAATATGACAGTTACAGCAAGCAATTTTCGCCGATCTAGTGATCAATATAGTGTCGAATAACTATGAGCAAAGTATTGAGATGAAGAATATCTTGTGCATGTTGCTGATTAGCAGAAAGAATTCCTCATACAGTACCCGGTTTTCGAGCTTTGGTCTCCAGGCTCTCCATTTCTGAGAGAGCTACACTATCCTCAAAATTTCCGAGAGTAAGCCCCACGAGAATAGAGTAGCAAGTGAGGTGAATAAGACGAATGAGCTCAATTGTGATCAGCTCAAGGCTTTGAAGCTTTTGTATGATTGTGAAAGTAGAGACACTCACACACGCAGGAAAAAAAAAAAAAAAAAAAAAAAAAAAGTGCGTTACAATTGATCTGTTTATATTTATTACATTTTAAAAATTTCCTAATAGGAATAAACATTTCCCGTTACATGAAATGTATGCGTCCATGTGAGATTATTTCTTCATTATAATTTATCCCTTGACAATTGGGCAGCTTCCCCAGATGGTGACAGTCCTGCAGAAGCCATATTTTCCTGCATTCCGGCAGCACTGCTTAAAGTAGTCAACGCCTGCCTTTCCAGAGATTTGCCAAGACTTCTGTCTAGCATTAGCACTGTATCTGCAACCGACTAATGTACCACAATCGTAGGTAGGTCCGATACCGGGGAAATGAGGTGCCGCCGAATTCTTGATACAAGTACATTCGTTGACCTTGAGACCGGTCACAACTTGCATGGCAGCGATGGAAACGAGCACGACGAGACCCTTAGCCTTGAACAACATGACTATAAGACGAGGAAAAAAGAATTACCGGTGAGATTAGGATGATAAAATGACAATTATAAAAAGAAGAAAAGTATTTACTACTTACTGCAAAGAAGGATAGAATGTAAATTTTGAGGGGAAGGAGAAAGAGAAGGAGGAGGTATTTAAATATTTTTTTCTTGTGGGAAAAAAAAAGGGGAAGATCTTTCCATTCCAAGGTCAGTGTCTTTGAGATTGATCTAAACACAGGGCGTAACCTCTCCAGGATAATGTTTACTACAAGCATTACGAGTCGAGGATAGGGACGGCACACGATTTGAACCTAACCTTGAGACAAAGAAGGGACGCCGCTTTTTTTTTTTTTTTTTTTTTTTGAATGAAAGCAAACGCCGCTCACTCTTGCTACCGGGATTAGAGCCGGAGTTTGAGAGTAGATTAATAGCCTAGACTAGACTATGTAAGAAACTGACTTTCTGATAATGTGGCAGTGCAGAAGTGGAGAGCAAATATTTTGTTTGCACAACACGCGCAGACACATAACACATCTTCAAGTACATGATATACATAAGCACTCCAGTAACACCATCCGTTGTAATACAAACTTTTTTTTTTTTTTTTTTTTAATTATACACTATTCAGGCAAAGTGTTTACATGCTGTGTTGCTCTACAAAGAGCCTCTATAGACAACTCTTGGGCTATAGTATTGTACCTGAATGATATACAATGACATACATTCCCAGTCCTGTTTTACTTTTGTTTTTACGCGTTAGTGTGTTTACATACACCTAATCTTTATACAACGGATTGATAAGGATTCAAGACGTCAGAGTCGAAAATAAAAAAGTAAGAGTCTTTGATCATGATCACTGAGGCATTTTTTTTTTTCTTAGTCCTAGTGGTGATCCTTACAGAAAGGTAGAGCTGATTGAATTGAAAGGTATGCTAAAGTACTGAAAGTAAATATGTTCTTCCATACCAGTCAATGAAATGTCTTTCTCTCTCTATTTTTTTTTACTGGGTTGCTCCACCTTTGGATTATAAAGCATTGTATGCAAAAAAAAAAAAAAAAAAAAAAAAATCTCTTCCTCTCTGTGGTATATACATCAATGGAAGGCAATGATGACACTGTCTTTATAAGCTTGAGAACCGACTCAGATGTCATGAAATCAACGGAGCACTTGTCTGCTCAAAGAACAATGGAACAATCGTGATATGGGTGTGATCTCTTCACCAATTTGCCCTTTCAAATGGAGATATAAGTTTGACCAGAACTGACAGCAACATGATGTTTAAATGAACCTTTCATTTTATTCCACAACTTCTCAATCAAAGAAATATAAAAAAAAGTGAGAGAAAGACAAATAATAGTTTAATAGAAGGTTGGTTGAAGTGATTAGACGTTCCCTCAAATGCCTCTATTGTTGTTGTGTCACTTCTATGCCTGTTGATGCCTGTTGCTGTTGCTGTTGCTGTTGCTGTTGCTGTTGCTGTTGGGCTGAGGAAGACTCAATTTCATCCGATGAAGTATCTGCATTAGTAGGAGAACGGGTCATGGAACGAAGGCGATTGGCAGCTGCCACAGCCCGAACGGTTTTCTTGAACATCCTCCTATTTTTTTTTTTTTTTTTTTTGTTTTTTTCGGAATTAATAATTTAGTGCAAAAGAGCGGTGATGGAAAGGAAATAACACATTGCACTATCCATAAAGCGACAATTTTAACGTTTAACGTACTTGGCATTGAACCCTTCTTTGACATTATCCAAGAGATCTACATCAGTACCAGTCTCAGTGGTAATCCATTTGTGTTGAAGGGCTTCTGTAGCTGTCAATCTCTTTTCGGGATGAGCTCGGAGCAAACATTTGATAAAGTCGCGGGCTGGTAGATGGAAAGATACATGAGGTTTGACACGATTTAGCCGTTAGAGTAGCGCATTACGAATGTACAAATATAAAAGGAAACGAAAAAGAAAAGGATAAAACGCCATCTTGGCTAAAAATAAATTATTTCTTCTATTCTTCGTCTTTGCCTACCTTCAACAGAGACGTCTCTCCAATATCGCTCATGGAAGACGACGTTGCATCTAGCAATCTCAGCTACCAGCTGTTGATCATTTTCAGCTTGGAAAGGCGCATATCCGCAGAGAAGAGTGTAGGTGATAACACCGATGCTCCACATGTCGACTGGCTTTCCATGGCCCCTGCGAAGTAAAACTTCTGGAGCAGCATAGCTAAAGCATGTAGAAAATAAGTATATTATGACTTTGATTTAGTATCCTTGATAATCCGCGTGTTCCTGCCTCTATTTCAATCCAGATTCTGACATTCTGATAGTAAACGCGTTACCCATAGCTGCCACACATGGTAGTCAACACCTGGTCTTCGGATTCCATGACCTTTGAAATACTAACGTGTTAAGTAAAGGATGATAAAAGAGGTTTAAAAAGATGTTAGAAGTGAGGATTTGATGATTTATTCTCATCGCGTCAATGCGACTTTGAGCGGACATACCCGAAATCTACGATCATGAGTTTCGAATCGGGCGTGTTGTCCTTGTAAAGCAGGTTCTCCGGCTTCAAATCTGTAGGAAAAAAAAAAAAATAATAATAATAATAATGAGCCATTACTACGATACAAGTAAGCATATATGCAGTGACCAACTTTTTTTTTTTCTCTATACCTCTGTGTACAACATTCTTGCTGTGCAAATATTCGATCGCCTGAATGACCTCCTTCATGATTGTCGCGGCATTGTTCTCTGTAAAACGACCCTGTTCACAAATCTTGTCAAAAAGCTCACCACCAGAAGCTCTAGTTGATCAAGACACGAATGTGTATATGATATGTTTATATCAGCAAATAACAGAAAAAAAAGACTTCGCCTATTCCATTTCACTGCCACCCTCACGGAGATTTTGAAAGGCGTGGTGTGGCTAAGCTTGTGCTTCAACTTACAAGTCAAAGACTAAGTAATACTTGTCACGACTCTCGAACCTAGTTTATCATACAAAAAAGGGCAGATTACAATAGGTACCGTGACGTTAATGGCCATACCACATGTAGTCACTAGAAAAAATGAGCAATTGATAGCGGTTAACGGCAAGAGCGGTGATATTGATAATGCGTGAACCAAACGCAAAAGAATCATTACCAATCCCTAAAGTTGACAATGTTGGGATGACTCAGATTCTTGAGCACACCAATTTCCTTCTCCACCATTTCCTCATGACCCTTGACAGTCTTTTTGAGGATGATCTTGACAGCGACATCTTCACCTGTGTCAAGTGCCTTTGCTCTCTTCACAGTACCATAGGTTCCGGTACCTAAAAAGGTTTTTTTTTTTTTTTTTTTTTTTTTTTTTTTTAAAAAAAAAAGCTCGAATAATCAACAACTGCAATAAAGACAAATTAACTGCATGAATATATTCGGTGCTGACGTTACCAAGGTCAGGCCCGAACTCGTAGTTTTTTTTACGTCCATATGAAGGAGGTTGCAAGTGAAGAAGGCTGGAAAGGTTCATTATAAGAAAAAGACGCTATTGATATTACTGATAATGAGTAGAAAGGAAGGAGGGATAAGAAGGAGAGAATGGAAAGGAAAGAGTTTATGGAGTGGCAATGACAATGACTCTTCTTGTCAATGAATGAGTACGAGAAACATGAGGCGTTGCGGTGTTGTGAAAAAAAAAACCCCCCCGTGTTCCAAAGGGCGGAGATGCACGAAGACAATTTTATTCTTCCTTTCTTCTTCTTCCTCCTCCTTCTCTTCTTTCATTGTTCTCACTCTTCGTTATCATTATTATTATTATTATCCTTTTGGTGCTTTTCTAAACGACACTCTTAGTATTTCGTGACCTATCGGCTTAAAACCACTTTTCCATCATATACAGAGAAGAATCAGCAAGTAAATAGACAAAGAGAAAGCAAATAACAGTGGTAGCAGACTATGACAGGATTGGCATTTTCCCACCAGGAAAGTAAACAAATGACGATAGGAACTGCAGACCCAGCTTCCTATGGCTACTTCCTTGGTGTGAAAAAAACACCTCCCAACATTCTTTTTGGGCAAGCCATTGTTGTTTCCTTCATTCTCCAGTTTATTATCTTTTACACCACCTGGTTCTTTTGTCCCTCTTTCACAAAGTACCGCAGGGGTTTATCTTGGAGCCTGGCGTTATTTTGCGCCATCATCATGTCTTTCATCACTTTATTTGAGTTTGGGTACCTGCGGACGACACTATGGTCTCTCCTCGGATGGGAACAACAGGGACCAGAGGCAGCAACAGCTACAATCTTCACTTACTGGGCGCCAACGTTCCATGGCTGGGTATTTGAGCTGGGACGCCAAGGTCCATCAGCCGTGACTCTTGCTTCCATCCGATCGTCCTTATCCAGCCTCGAGTTGTTCACATGTCTTTTCTTAGATGGTCAAACGTACAAGGACCTTGCAGGAGGATACCTCCGCTGGCTTATCACCTTGCCCATCTTCTCATTGGCTCCTCTAAAGCAGCCTCAGCTGTACTCTTCGACAGCACCTTACTATCTTGGAGGAGGAGGGCGCCTGCTCTTCTCACTGGAGAACTTTCCTCGAGAGACTTGGCCATCGTCTGTGCTTTGTGGATACTTTATCGGTTACTGTATTGCAGATCTGCTGCTCGGCAATATACATTATAGGATGTATGTGGATGCTATGGGATGGACCCACCATATCACTTATTGCCTTCTTGTCTATCGGCTTGCTATTCAAAATAACCTATCACAATTCTTGATTTGTGGTGGTGTTTTGGAAGGTACGGGTTCGAATTTTGTCTTTCTGCCGTGACACATGGTCTCGATATTTTAGCTCATCTAATCCTCCTTCTCTCCTTATTTTAGTGCCATCAATATTCTTGGCGAGTGGTATGATGTTTCCTCGGTTAAGGTCGGATTTCTGGTTCCCATTGACCTTCGTGCTTTTTCGGATCTTCTTTGTGGGGTTCATATGGCATGAATGTGCATTCAACTATCCTACCCCACCTAGAGGAGCAGCCATCTACTTTGTTGCGCTCATAATCCATTGTTTTTGGCTTTCAAAGTACATACGTGGCAGAAGCCGCCGTAAACAAAGAGCAATGAAGGAAGCAGAAGCAGGGCTCTCCACTACTCCTTCCTTTTCAGTCCAAAAGGCGTGAAGCACTGTTTCTCAACTTTGATTTAGGAGAGACATAATGGAGCTGTAACAGGAGTTCTTAGTAATATTAGTAGTAGCTGCGATGATTTAAGATAATCTGCCATAGTGCTTTAGAATGTAAGAGGAATATTAATAGATAAGGGGCTTTTCTTCCATAATATTCGTCTCGTAAAAATGCTTAATATTTCTTTCGCTTGATGCTACTTCCTTATGGAATATTCTTCCGCGCGAGTGCTAAAACGAATAAGTCCTCATTTAATTGATGGAAGTATCTTTATTATAATCTATATTTTATATTTACAAAATGTGGAAAACTTCTTAGAATTTTTTTTTCTTCTTCTTCCTTGTGAAGTATTCTCTGCATGCACGGGGTAGCGTGAAATGGTATAAGCTTAATTCCCTCATCGTTCATCGGCAAATATTACAAATTATGGAAATGAGGAATTCCAAAGTCCACCATGTGCTGCAAGACCTGTTTTTCATCTGTTGATTGGGAACTATATTCAATCACTGAAATAAAAACATAAGAATATATATATAAAACAGGATCTTTTGGTCCTCCAACGATGGAATCTTTGTATTCGTGTTTACACCTTTGTCCGTCATCAAAACGAGCACCACAAAATGTACGCCTGCAATATGCAGGCCGACATTTGATCTGCTTATAGAATGGCGACTAATGCCGAGAAGGATAAAGTAAATATTTAAAAAATGTCCCCTCGGCACAGGCCACTCATGTCATCATGGCGCAGAAAGACACAAAGTTGTAACACAAAAAAGGACGCGTCCACCAGGTCACTGGCGACTTCTGAAATGTGGTTCTTTCTGTGGATATAAACTTTGTTTATTTGTTTAAAGTTTACAACTGCATCCCTTTCCTCACCCCTTTTTTTCTGTCTGAAATGTACACTGCAAATCAACAACCGTAGCACTTCTTATTTTGTCGTCGATGTAGCTGTTTCCCGTCCCTCCCAGTTAAAAGGACCAAAAATCTGCAATTTGTCCTGCACTTGTGCCGAGAAAAAAAAAAAAGCTTGACATGTGTAATCTCAACCTTTTTAGACCCATCTAGGATCTACTGTTGTACACAATTAGGACGCCATCAGCTTTGCAAAATACAAACGGAAAAAAAAAAAAAAAAAAAAAAAAACTGAACCATTGTTAGTTTCCCCAATTCGCATGCATTATAGATTGATTTTTGCAGATAACAACGAAAAGAAAAATAAAAAAAAACGTCATTGCGCGTTTTTCTTAAATATATATATTGATCAAGCCCATTCTGGAGCGGCCCATTGCTATAGAGTGTCCAACTTTTTTATTTTTGTTTATAGGCAAGCATAGTTTTGCATGTTTGTTTGCTTATTTTATCACCATAGGCCTCAACCCAAGGGCTAGTAAGATTATAAATGCGCAATGTAAACATTGGTGAAAGGAACAACCAGCATAATGTTTCATAATAATAAAAATAAGATGATACAGTGACGAGATGGGTTGTAGACATCCTGTTCAAGAAGAAAAAAAAAAAAAAAAAAAAAAAAAAAAAAAAGCAAACGAAAGACAGTTGAACGGCAACAATCGCAGATGCTTAGCAAAAAAAAAAAAAAAAAAAAAAAAAGTAGCAACAGGCTTCGCGGAAACACAGAGGTTGTGCCGAAGATTTGTACAGTAGGAAGAAGGGGGATGTTTTTGTTCGCGTGTGTAACAATAACAGCCCTGATTGTACAATGTTCTCCCCTCTTCACTATTTTTTTTTCGTGTTTCATGATTTATTTTCAGGGGGAGAAAAAGACTAGAAAAAGAGTGCCCAAGGAGTCACAAAAATAATAAGATTTGAGAATCTGATTGAGTTGAATGAGGTTTCTCTTAATCAGCCCTTCATATAACCATTTTTTTTTTTTTTTCATTTCGTCTTTATGGGGAATACTGCGAAGGAATCGGGTAAGCAAAGCAATTGTTCTTTTATTTCGTGGATTTTTCTTTTATGGACCTCTGGATCTTTGGATAGTCGGATCATTGTTCAAAAAGATGACATTTAGTTTTGGAAATAGAACGATCAATAAAAGATCCTTGGACGTCTAAATGGTCAATGCACTGAATTGGCCCTATAAATGGATACTAGGAGGAAGACACAAAAGACTGCTCCAAAGGTTACACATCTGAAAAAAAAAAAAAAAAATCAATCTAATCAAGGGAATTATAATAATAAACATAAAGTTATGTCAGAAGAAGACGGGAGAAGAGGAGGAAGAAGATGGTGGAAGAGCAAGGAGGGAGAGCAAGGAAGGGAGAGGGGCAAGTAGGAGGAAGAAAGGTGATACACGTCCAACCAAAAAAAGAGAAGAGGTTGGCGAGAGTGCGATTTAAGCCGATTTTGTTAAGTAATTAGGGTGAACCTAATTGAATAAAAGAGAAACAAAGAACGAAATAGTAATCAATCTGCATTGATCGCGCCTGATGTGCCTCCATCAAAAGGCAAGAGAGAGAGAGAAGGATAGTCGATAGGACAAGCAAGGAGTACATGTACATAGACATCGAAATCACTAAGAGCTCTGAATTAAGTTTTATCGAACGAACTACGCGCGTAAAATCTATTTTATTTATTTATTTATTTGTATTGCTTGCTTAAACTCATAACGTGCTGAATAAATAACATGGGGCTGCATGCACAAGAAAAAAAAAAAAAAAAAAAATGTAACAACATTAACGTTCGGTAACGCACTGAATATATTTATAACGCGATTTGCAAATTAGACATGCTGGCAGGTCGGAAAAGTGTAAGACCCTGTTTTTGATACAGTCAATGATATAGATGGATACACGGGTATAGCGCACAATGCTTGTTACGCATGATCCAGCACTTCTAATCCGCTTTAGTTTTCCGTCCCCTTTCCTTCTTCTTTTTTTTTTTTTTTTCTTTCTTCTCTCTTTCTCTTTCTCTTTCTCTTCTCTTCTCTTCACTCTTTTCTTCGACTGTTTGTCGCTTCTTATCACTATACCATCATTTTCTCCACTGCCTTTTTCTCTTCAGTTCCTGCCTCCTGTTGTCTTTGCCTTGCTTTGCTTTGTGGCATCCTTTTCGTTATTGAATCTTACGTAACTCTTTTCTTGTTTCATTTTCATTTCGAAAGTCTAAAACACTTTGGGATACCCTTATTCCTTCGTTACTGAAGCTTCCTTACTACTGTGTCCATTTGTACCGATACCCACACAAATCCTTTTGACCATCAACTTTGTTTTGATTTAACATTTACAAGAACTATTAGTATTGTCCCTTGTTTGTTTGTTTTTGTTCTTTTCTTCTTCTTTATGGTCGCAGTTGGATCCCTACATTTCGCGTACTTAAATAAACTTCCTCAAAAAACCACATTGTGATCTTACAACTTTCCCCGACTCTGCTCTCTCCTTATTATCATGGCTCCTCAACCAACAGTTTTGGTCCTCGGAGGTGCTGGCTTCATCGGTCGAAACTTTGTTGCATATCTAGTCGAGAATGATTTGGCTGCAGAGATCCGTGTCATTGACAAAGTTCTTCCAGAAACCGCCTATTTTAACCAACGATTTCAAGCTGCTTTTGAAAAAGTAGAGTTCATGCAAAATGACCTTTCTAATACAAGTAAGAAAAAAAAAATGTAACTTATAGAATAAACTCGATGGAAATTAAAAAAAAAAAAAAAAAAAAAAAATACACGTATCCTTATCCTTCTTTTTTACTTCGATCTTGTAAAAAATTTAATAGTTCCCCCAGAAAAGTTTGAAAAGATCTATACTCGTGCAGACGGCTCATCTTTTGACTATGTGATCAACTTTGCTGCCGAGACCAAATTTTCGCAGCTTGCAGAGGTAAAAAAAGAAAAAAGACAATTCGACATCTCTTAGATCTAATCTGCTTGCTCTCCCGTTTTTATGATGTTCGTTACTACGTCTTTTATTTTATATTCCTGCATGGCATGCATGGTGTGCAGGCCATGAAGGGCCAAAGATCTTTTTGGCAAACGTTATTGGATGGGATGGACACAAGGGGCAACGACGAAAATAAAGGGTGCTGAAAAAAAAGGAGAAAGATGCTTTTAAGATTGTCAATTATCAATTATATAATTATATGAAATATCTGTTGCACAATAAGATTGTCAATTTCCAATAACATAATGCACACGACTGCATAAGTAAGGGATACAATTATACATTTTTTGTTTGAAAAAGGGGAAGGGAAAGAGGGCCCACAATGGTATTTTTTTTCTATTACTTCTTTTATACTCTTTGAATCAACTCTCATGCTGCATACTGGAAAAGAAAAAATGAAGGGAAGAGAAAGGGATGGGGATGGGAGGTTCCAATCTTAATATGCCTCTTGCATAAGTACGCGACTGTGTCTCTCGTATCAGCTCTCAAGTAATTGCTTCCTTGACCAATGTCCAAATAAACAACGGGATTGTTTAAGAGGAGAGGCATTTGTTATAATGCTTTCGAGCCCATTAGAAAATGCAACGGCCTTAATAACTAATTACATATTGAATACATCCATATGACCTTTGCGATAATTCGAAAAGATTTACGAGGATCGTATTTACAAGCTGTCGATCAATTGCGCAAAGGAAGCCGTTAAGAGACAGGCCAAAGTCTTTATTCAACTGTCAACAGGCGATATCTATGAAAGCAATGGGGTAAGGATATTGGATAAGAGATGATGAAGAAAGATGAGCGAATATGTATCTGCTATTCGATTTAAGAAAAGAACAGAAACATCTCTACTATGGATCCATGGATTGATTTTTTTTTTTTAAAAAAAAAAAAAAATAGACAGCAAGTAAAGAAGATTCAAAAACCAAACCATGGAACGTTCTTGCGAAATATAAGCTAAAAGTCGATGAAGAGCTTCAAAACATGCCTGGGTAAAGGGCTTTTACAATTACCATCTTTTTTAACCCAATCAATCGAAAAGGCAGTCTGTGCTAACGAGTATTATTCTCATCTGTCATGTCTTTTCGATCTTCCTAGTTTGAGCTTGGTTATCTTGCGTCCTGCAGTGGTCTATGGGGTTGGAGCCATGGGTGGCCTTAGTAGGTCTTTTCTTGCAAGCATACAGCTCTCTTTCTCTTCATCCCTCATTCGCACAGGAAAAACTAATGCCATAGTTATCTTTTAAATACCATATTTTAGCCCCTCGTTTGATCTGTGGCCGAGTTTACAAGCATCTTGGCAAAAAGATGGAGTTTTTGTGGACTGAGGATTTGAGGATCAACACTGTGCATGTTAACGACGTTGTGCGCGCAGTCTGGCATACTGCCAACTGGTACGTGAGTTCAGACAACCCGCAGCCAGGCTCACCTGTGATTTTCAACTTAGCTGACGAGAATGATACCAGTAAGCTGAGTATTGCATAAAAAACTTTCTTTAACTGACTCATCCCCTGTTGCTCATCCCGCGTCTTTTTTTTTTTTTTTTTTTTTTTTTTTACTGTAATGGCATAGACCAAGAAGCCGTCAACACACACATTCGATCCATCTTTGGCATCGAAACTGGTTTCAAGGGAACGTCATTCCTTACAAACGTCGCACAAAAGGTGGGAATATAGGCTCAAAAGAGAACGAATAAAATGAATAAGCAGTAATGAATGCCGCCTTTGAGAAACGTATCTAACTTTTTTTTTTTTTACTTCATTTTTTAGCTTGATTTGATCGATATGAAAGAAGTGGCGGACGAGACAAACGACATGCATTTAGCACCATGGGCGGAGCTTTTGAAAGAGCGTAATATTAAAACATCGCCTTTGACACCTTATTTGGACCCAGAACTGTTATGTAATAACGCGCTTTCATTGGATGGCAGCAAGATTTGTGTGACCACGGGGTTCAAATACGAGCATCCCAAGCTGACTACCGAGAGTTTGCGCGAGATCATCACAGATTTCCAGGAACTCAATCTCTGGCCAAGAGACTAAGGAAAAAACAATTATTGTGGAGACGGTTTGCAATGATAACTTATGACAAAAGTTCATGGAGAAAAGGGCGATATCTATAATTGTAGAATTTATCTAAAATAAAATAAATGGACTCATACCAACAAAATATGTTTGTGTCCTTTCATAATCTATTTTCATTGCCATTCGCTTTCGTGCTCGTTTGCGACAATGAATGCCAATGTTGCTTCATGGTATCACATCAAAAGGGGCGCAATGGTCCAACGCAAATGATTACACTGGATGTATCCTACTTACTGTTGCTTGCGGGGACAGCTCAAATAGATCTTCATATATCTATCCACGTGGCCTATTTAGCCTTGAGCCATTTTCATGGACTATGCCTTGAAAGTTACCCCATTGCGTAGCCAAATCATTCTCAGTAGAATGCTACACCATCAAGTGGCAGCTTGTTTCATACACATGTTTGTCTCATATCCACTGGGAGTCAATATATAGGTGTGGTGTAATATTACTCCACTACGTAAAGCTAAATAACTTCTCTTGTGACCAGGCATTCCCAATAAGCACATAAATTCGTCAAATTGAAAAAAGAAAAAAAAAAATCCCTTTAGCCTTTATTATTACAAGATGCAAGCAGAGCTCTTTTTTTTTGATCTTGGAGCATCATTTCAGCTCTGGCTTTGAATCACAGGTGATACAGGAGATTCTCGGATTATTGGATATGATCGCTTCAAGTGTTGTCCATTCGTGCGGCTGGATCCATTTATTGACAACTAGGCCGGTTAGCTGGCCTCCATAGATAATAGCGGAATGATAAGTTACTGTCTTCACATTGATCTCGACAATCTCTAACTTAGACTCCAAGATCTTGCCTTTCGAGTATTTTGTTTGTAAAATAGTTGAGTCTCCGTATTCAAGCTGTAGGGTCTCGAGTGTTTGAAGCATAGGCAAGTTACCACCTAGTAAATATTCGAGAGTCGTACCAGGGCGAAGCTTCCCAATCCGCAGTTCAACAAGGGCTGGGTAGTAAGCCAGGAGGCCTTCAAGATTAGTCTCGTCATAAGCATCGCGGAAGTCACAATCAGTTAGAATAAGAGAACGGAGTTTAGGCCCCCTTAGTAGTGAGGAATGGAGCAAATCAGTGAAAAGCCTTGGGGGGTGATTAATATACAATATTTGAATGTTTTCACTATTCCTGGGCCCCAGCAGCGTTTTCCAGAATACAATATCGTATACTAATTCCACCAGTACGGATATGATGAGCCCGCAAATTGTCAGACCGATGGGAATACCGAATATTGTCGCAACTGCCGTAGCAACCGCATATATAGTTAGCCGTGAAATGCCATCCTCTCCTTTGGTATAATCCCAATCTACGGCGAGGCGCGTAATTTTTGATGCAGCGACAGCCTTGAGAAGTTCATAAAAGCCATACGTTGTCAGCGAACAGGCAAATGTAATATCCAACTCCTGGATATCTTTCTCTTTGGCTATTATTTTATAAAACCGATTCGTCTCTTCCGCAGATCTGATAGTTATCCGAACGCTGCCAAGTTGTGCGTTGTAACCTCCATCATTATTACTGATAACCTTCATAAGCTGTCGTGATGCTGTCTCCTTGCCTTTGCCGTGGTAATGATCAGCACATACCCATTTGACATGACCCTCAGATGTGACTATGCGATACATGTTGCCAAGGGCCCGGACTGCACGATTGACTCGTAAAAACGACTCAAGCTGCCTTGAGTCTATGCCGTTATGGTACTTGAGGCCCTCAAATTTTATTTCGCTCATGGTCGAGTGGAGCGCACGACCGCTGTTCTGCTGGATTTTTTTAATATAGCTGATCGACTCATCCACTAGAGGCACAATGCCTCCTGTTGGTAACTTCAGCACATCTTGAACTGCTTCGAGCCACTCTGAAATGTCGACCTTGGCTAGTGGGGGAACGATAGCATCGGCAGTAAAGATGCCGTGCTTGAATATCAGAAGTATGGTCAATACGTAAGCCCCATACTTCTCAAAAAACTCCGCTGGTCTATCGATATCATAGCCTTCATGCTTGACTAAATGGATATGACACGGAACTCTGCCTCCGGAGGTTATTAAGTGGCCACTACATTCACAAAGATAGAATAGTCGAAACTGCTTTTCAGATGGCCATCTTCGCCTTTCAAGAAGTCCTGTAGGCCTTGGGAGGACGATGAACAACCGAGGAATTGGGCACTCGCGGAACTCGTATGTCTGTGTAATAAGCGCATGGGCCTGAATTTGCATCATTAATATGTCTTGTTGCTTATCCTCCATCACTTGCCGTATTTGAAGGACTTGCTCTTGCAAAACATGAATATGGTCAAGCAAACTTTGGTTTTTTGTCTGTTCCGGGGTTTTGACCTCACTTTGTTGTTTTTGGTGAGCCTTCAGTACCAAATTGTCGAGCGCCCTACTGATAGGCGCAGGAGGATTGGAGACGTCGTCTGCTCTTCGAATCGCAACCTTTATAATGATTCCTGGCTGATATTTAATTTTCTGTGAAATAAAAAGGCTTCAGAAGGTAGATGAATAAAACAGATTATCCGATGTCAGGTTGGGCATAAATGCTCTATTTTAAATTTGATAAATAGGTAGATTCTAAAGACCAAATCCACATCGATGTTTCAACCTACTCCATCTGTGATATTACAGAAGAGCCAACCACAAGGTACTCAAACTCCTTGAAGGCGTTTGTGATGTCTTCAGGTAAAATAATATATTCGCTTGTCTTGGCGTCAACCCGCACCTGGATGCGGGTAACAGTCCCTGAGATTAGAGAATGATCAACAAGTGACACGGCCATGAATGGCTGCATAGGCAAAATAGTGGTTCCTTCGGAGATCATGATTTTATTCGAAGGCACAGATATGATACAGAAGGAAGAGGATGAAGGACGAAGGTGTTTTATTAAAAAAAAAAAATAAAAGAGTTGATACTGGGAAACTTTTTGCTACCCCTATAACCGCAATGTGACGTTTATACAAGCCGCCTCCCCTATTGCCCTGCCACACTGTTTCATGTTCCATATGCCGGCTCTTTGACCTCTATGTGCGAACTCTTTGGCTTTTATTTTATGTAGCTTACCAGCAAAGGCTTTATCAAGCAAAATGAAAGTTTACACTTTTGTCAAAGAGTTGATATATCTATTTACTGAAGTTTCTGGGATGTATTAAGTGACTGAGAGAAACATTATGTGGGTTCAATAACGAGTGTTCCTTCCTTTAGCCTCCTCCACTTTATCAACCTTCAAAAGATGACTCGTCGGACCAAACCACTCGACCCTAGTCTTCCTTAGACCAACTCCTGTATCTTTTGATGAATTTCAATCGCCTCTCTATGTGATCCGCGCTTAATAATGGTTTAAGGATAACAACCCGAAAATGCCTAAGTAATGCAGCGCTTCTGAAACTATTCTCTTACTCTTTTGGCAATAAGTTGACGATCTCCTGAATAGTACCCCTCTTTCCCCTCTTACTATGGCGCGCAATGCTTCTGGCGTCCTCAGCATTGAGCAGTTTTTGGCGTCCTGGAGTTGGGGCGCGAGCAGTAGTTCCCCTTTCATGATATGCCTTAGTAATGTGACAAACTGCTGATAGGGGCACGCAGTGTTTCAATGCGATGTCCACGCCTTTCACACCTGTGAGATGCATTCCGACGATAACTGTGGTCGCCGCATTGTTTATATAAGTCATATCACAAGTAAGGCACCAGAAAACTTTTTTTTATCTGCTGTCATTCCTTTTATCAGCTTATTGACCCGAGTCTACTTGAGCTTTAACAATAATGACATGACGTTAGCCTTGCCGTCGGTATAGTCATACTTCCATTGGCTCATGTTGACATTCCAGACTGACTAGATGTGGCAAAAATGTAGTGGGGGGCCGGGGCACGCGATCTCAAGGATTTGTTGTAGCCAACGGTCATTATTATGGCAAAAAGATATGGTGGCAATAGGGCTTGTCTCATGATCACCGCTAGCAAAGTATTCTTTATATATCAATAGCTTAAGTACACGATATCCGAGAGCTCGATTTGAATAGGATGATTTCTGCGAGTTTGGAGCAACAAATCTTGTTCGTTTGTTGACCCCATTAATAATGGGTGCATTCAGTCTGTGGGATTCAAGGGCTTTTTTTTTTGTATATGTGTGTTAACTCCTATACTTTCACAATGGCACCAAAGCTTTGGAACCTTGACTTGAACGCGATTGACTCCACTAATCTTTTCTAAGTATCCCGCTTCAAAGATCTTTCCATATACTGCCGCAAAGTATTAGAGCTAACATTTAGAAGATTCACGGGTGGCACAACATGTCTGCTCAGCAACATATTCCCATCGCCTCAAACATTGGTCACTGGAACTTCGATACTTTCGCCAAGCCCTCCGAGCTATGGCGGTCCGAGAGTGGATGATATCATCGAAGGGCTTTGCATATGGTAACTATTACTACTATATCTGCTTTTAGTGGGAATACGGGCTTTGCATCTATCGTCGTCAGATCTCCTGATATATTCAGTTCATTATTCCTAAAGATTGACATGAGGACATAAGGTTTATTATTGGTAAAGACAGGTATTGGAGATTGGTTGGTTTGAGTGTGTGGGCCGTATCACCTGGAGGCCACAAGGTCCTATAGGTTTAGTCGTTGAGGACCCTATATTAGAGGTCAGTTACATATTCCGTTTGAATGAAACCACTCAGTTTTTTTTTTTTTTTTTTTTTTTTTTGGTAGCCCTGACCTCTTTTCAATACTCCAACTCCCACGCAAGTGCCGTTGACTTTGCATACCTTGAAGCCTTCCTTTTAGGCCTAGAACTAATATCGAGAAGAATGCGTAACTATGGCTTAATGCACACTACTTTACATATGACATTTTGTACAAAAAACCCATTCATTTTGACAAATGGTTTTCTTAGATCTGGAGGGATCCGGAGTCTAATACCCAACAGCTGGACACTGTATGAAGAAACCTTTTTAATAATTGATTCACGACGACAAGAGATACATGAATATGACCTCTTTTTTCGTATCAGTAAAGGGCCTTTATCCTTCTTAACTATCGCTGGAAATCATCTCTGGTAGACGCGTGAGAATAGGAAAAAAAAGATGCTCCAAGGGCATTGATGAATGTGGGTAAAAGTCATGTACACTGGCCTATAACCACATGAAAGTGAGCGTTATATCTATAAAGATACATGTAATATTGATGGAGTTTACACCTTTGACAATACAAACGCTCCCCAACCTTAACGTTAGTTAGAGTGAATAGTCAGTAAACTAAATACATTTTAAAGAGTACCAAATGCTATCGTTAACACCGAAAGCTCATCCCTCTCCTTCTTTAAGGGACGTAGCGATGCTGCGTTTATTATAACGGGTTTAGTTGTAGCAACACATTTCTGGCTAGAGATTAACCACTAGTACTTTTTTGCCTCCTTCCATCTCCTCTACTTTTTTGTTCAGCTGATCTACTGTCTTTTGCAGCTGAGCTAGTTTTCGTTCTAACTGCGATCCATCATCTTCCGTCTTCTCTGGCTCTTTTGGCTTCTGATTTGATTGAGGCCTATTCTTATACAATTTCTGTAGCTGCTCTCGTTTTTGCCTCAACAATTTCAGCTCATCTCGCCATGCCTTCTGAATGCGCTTCGCTTTTTTTTGGAGGCGAAATAACCCCTGTTGGTTTCCTTGCAGCTCATTTATCCTCTTTTGATACTCTGAATCTATCTCATCTATCTCTTGAGGCGTGGCTCCTGACTCCATTGCATCCAGGGCTCTCAGTTCCCGGCGAAGCTCCATTAAGAAACAAAGAAGTGTTCTGATGTCAGGCTTCGAGTTACCAGAGTCAGAGTCAGAGTCAGAGTCAGAGTCAGAGTCAGAGTTATCAGAATTATTAGAATCACCAGAGTCATCCGCTGATGCCTGTTGGTCTTGTCCTTTTCCTGATGTGGATGTCGTCTCGGCCTGCCCCGCATTAGCCTCTTTAGGGCCATTGGTCCCTGCCGAAGATGTCTCTTGACCTGCGCTGTTAGTGAGGTTTGGCTTCTTAGCTACTATCCTCACGGTGGTATCTGGTCGATGCTTAAATCTTAGTGGAGTACGACTATATATAAATATGCATATTTATAGTACAAACAAAAGGAGAGACGCGTCTCTTAGTGGCGTTATGTCTAGCAAAAAATAAAATAAAATAAAATAAAAATAAAAATAAAAACATTGGATAAAGTTGATTATTCGAACAAGGCCAGCTTACTCTTCAAGAGAGCTGTCAGTCATAAAAGGAATGACTGCGGAACCATCCATGATGTATTTGGCATGTTCGCACACTCGTAGGATATCTCTCCATAAAACAACCCGATCACCTGTTACGGAGTCGAATCGAGTCTCAATGCGGAAAGTTTTTCTCGCGAGTGGGGAATCATCGGTAGCTGAAACAGCTATGCATTCCTGGTAAACTCTGGCCATTGGGGAAGGAAGAGAGGTATGATCTGTGGAGTGGTCAGCAAATTGAATAAGGGAGAAGTGATGGGTTTCGAGGAAGAAGCACGGAAGTGAGATAGAAGAAAGAGAGAAGAAAAGAAAAAAAAAAAAAAAAAAAAAAAAAAAAACGAGAGAAAGGAAGAGAAAAAAGTTGGTATTAGCGTTGATAAAAGAGATATTTTTCGACTTTGGCAACATCAAAGAGACAAAGCTGCCAACCCATAGTAATTTTGGAGACGTTTTCTCAACGCGCGCTTCTCCACACGAATTACGCGAGAGTGATAGGATGGGAAGGGCGAGTGGGAGGGAAGTAAAAGGCCAAAGCGCCACTTATTTCATTGGTTGGGCAGATTGCATGATGCCAAAGCCTGCATGAGCCAGTTCATCTGACCTATGGAGAGCACAGGGATGAAATTACAGACACACTCAATTACGCCTACATTCCCTCCCCCAAAAAAAAAGAAAAAAAAAAAAAAATCCCACCTCTTATGACCTTTATCCACAACGGAAGAAAGTAATGACATAACAACGGCATCCAGTGTGGTAATTGCTGCACAAGAAATACAAGGAAGCAAAGTAGCTTTTCGCATCGAACAGATAAAGAGGATGTTCTCAAAACAAAAAAAAAAAAAATAGATGTGCAATTTTCCTTTAAGAGATTCTTGAAATACTATCTACTCATATAACAAGTCCATTTAATCTGTGAAAGTCTAAATGAAACTCATCAAACTTGTTAAAAGCCATTTCGATATGACTTTAGACGTATAGCTTTCTCTTTATATGTAGACTTTGCGAATTTTCAATGGCCTTCTAAATCTGTTTCCATCTTTCGTTTTAGAGTCCTTAAAAAGTCCAAATACAAATTGCTTGAACTTCTCGACACTACAAACCAGTTAAGCGGATTAAGGCATAAATTAAGTAGGCTTGGAGTAGCAAATCATATGTAAACGCACTCGAGCCTTTGGTTTTCTGCGGCGGATTAGACACACATTCTCGACTGGCCTTTTTTTTTTTTGTTTGTTTACCTTGGAAACGTGTTGTGAAGCTCCTTTTCCCTGTGTAGCTCCTCTCCTTCCTTTTTTGTTTTATTATAGATGGCGGAATAAAATAAATGCATTGTTTTTTTCTTTTTTAAAGTCGTGCCTTCATCATTATTCCTACGCCTTTTTTTTTTTTTTTTTGTCATTTTTTAGTTCATGGCCTTTGCTCTTTTGGTGAGCCAGTGGCCTAGGATAGGTACTGAAACCTGAATACAATCTTTAACATTATTGATTTGTTGAATTCGTTTACTGTTCTGGTTTTTCTTTACAACTATTATAATTCTTAGAGGTTCTCTAAGTTAGTAATGAGATCTCAGCGGCGGCTATGTACAACCAAATAGCAGCTGAACACTGTGGTGTCATTTGGTCACGGAACATGTTCTATCTAAAAAGAACGTATCACATTTTAATTCTTTGTGACCAAATGACCATGTTTTGGTGTTGGGTTCTCATAGCCGTGTATTATCTGGTCGGAAGCTATTCATGGATGTGTAAATGTAAAGAAGGGTATATGTATTTGTGTATATTGTTTTCACTTACTACAAAAACATTTCAACTAATCTTCTCTAGTCTATTCCACTGTCCATGTGCATGCTCATAGTTCCCCATTGCAGTTCAAATTGGACTGTTAACGCTTGAAATCGACTCGCATTGACTGTTGCTCGATACAGACTCTATGGTCATAGTCGTCGAATGAATTGTTGGGGTTTTCTCATCGCTCTCCTCTTCCTCGTTCTCTTCCTCACTCTTCACCAAACCATCCTCATCTTTCTTCTGCGGCTGCTGTTCTTTGGTCACATTGCCCTCTTCATACTTCTTAAACATTTTGCGCACAATCGGACATTCCCTCAGCTCCTCTGCAGACTCAAACAATGTTAGTAGTACGCCTTCCGGCAACTGGTTTTTACACTGTTCCACACGCTCTAGCCATATCTCAAGAGGGCTCTTGATGGTTGATGAGGATGAGGATGTAGAAGATGATGCTATTGGAGTGCTAAGAGTACTAGTGCCAGAGCTTAACCCATTGCCGCTCAATCCTACATTCATATCCAGAGTTGTCGCGATGGAACTGTTCATTGCAGATGTTGGTTTTGTTGCATTGGTAAGAGCACTTGGGATAGAAATTTGACCGTTGATATCACTAGGTCCCGCCTCGCTCCCGTTGATAGCCTTAGCAGTTCTTCCAGACTTTCGGAGTCCAAACCTCGGTGAAACAGACAAAGAACGAGCAGGCACATGATGTTCTGTCAAAGCTACTGCTGTTAATGGCGTCTCTCGGTTAGATGATGCTGCTGCTGTTGTCTTGGAGCGAGGGCGTCCCTCTTTTCCAGCCTTTAGTTGTTGTTGCTGATGTCGGCGGTTGCGATTATCCACAAAAGCATTACTACATGGATTATGAATATGGTAACGACTACTTTTGCTGCTGCTATTGCCTTCATTGCCTCTGGTATACTTCTGGGATGGAGCTGTAGCGACAAGAGACTCAGTCGATATTGCCCCCCCTCCTGTTTGTGGGAAAGGATACCCATTGCTGCCAGTATTCATTTCTCCATCTTCTGATAATCCAAGTGGCAAACTCTGAGAAAGGCCTCCGAGAGAGCTCTTTTTCATGTTCCTTCCATGAGTGGCAGTAGTTATATCCTTAAAATCTCCTTGCACATGCCCATAACTGTGGATGTGGTTGCCATCATCAATGATGTTGACATCGGGGGTAGACCGTCTGAACGCTGGCTTCAGAAGCGAGTTCGTGATGGCTTTAACACCCTGGGTAATTTGTTTAGGACCTATCTTGGATGGAGAGCTCTGTGAGCTTGAGAGAGGTATGATCGTAGATGCCGCCATGGGACTATTGGACTCCGATTTTAGAGAGAAGGGTATGCCACTACCACTTCCTCGACTACCGCCGCCGCCAACAAGAGCTCCTTCATGCTGAGCTTTACCCTTTATATCTATAATTTCATCATCAGACATTGCAGCAGGAGATGAAGTCCTGACAATCTCCATCCCCATCAATGCAGCAACATCAAGGGTACCTCCGCCACTTTCATGATTTACAGTATTTTTTTCTCCACCTTCTTGATCAGCAGCACCCATGCTTGACGAAGATTGTGGCAAGGGAACAGAAGACGAGTTGTTACTACTGCTTCCAAGGATATTGGCGCTATCTCCACGTCGATTGAAAAACCCTATCACTGGGCCAATTGCGGCCTTAGGCGTGAGCAATGTCGATAATGAACGAGATGGAACTGGATGGGACGTCTTTGGAATATTATCCTGAAGCCGTTTAGTTGTGATATCACGGATGAAGATCCTAAAGATCTGACCCGGATTGTTTTTAGCCATTTCCGTGTAACTGAATGATATAAAAGAAGCATTAAACACAGACAATAATAGAAGAGAAAATTAGTTATTCGATTTGACTATCCATTCCCTGGTTTGTATATTTAACGCTCAACTTACATTTCCAAATCCATTTCACCACTATCACCCACGAGAATAAACTTTCTGTCTGGGAAATCTTTCAAGATCCTTTGGATGGCTAAAAGTTTATTCTGTGTAGGGCCCTGAAAGTATGTCTTGATCACATTATCATGCAATCTCAAGTGAGCGGAGCCAGGCGGGAACTTGTGTGTATGAAAGAACTCCAACAAACTAGGAATCAATTGCCATGGAGAGTTGGATACATAGTGCATGGCTGCTCCTTGATCCCACCATTCCCTATACACATCTGCCATGCCCTTAACTTCTTGCATCTCTCTCAAAAACGTGTTCCGTAAGATAATCCTGGCGCCTGCAGTCACGTTGGTCTCTTTGATTGTGTCGTCAATGTCTGAGATAATGGAGATCCCTTCCGGATCAATTAAGTTTACATTGCCATGGCTTGGTGTAGGCATATTCTCATTAAATGCGTATAGCTTGAGGAAACGTGGGTGGCCATTGCCGTCCTCGATACCACTACCCCGACTAGAACCATCTTTACTCTTCTTTTCACTCTTCCGATACTCCTCTATTTCTTCATGACTAATCCGGATATTACCATCGAAGTGGCCCCCCGGACGAGATGATACTTGGATAGTTGGAAACTCGCCAATTCCTAGATCCATGCGGTCTGTCTTTGCACATGCACTATCATTTGAATTCATTCGTTGAGTGTCCTTGGACATTTTAGCGTTGTATTCATCCGTCGACTGCACTGAGGCGCTACTGCTGTCTAACGGCGGAGTTGATTTGGACGAATCCACTAGAGTATTGCTATTATTCTGAAACATTGTAGAAGATCTGACCCATCTGATTGCGTCTTTCCAAAAGCCTGTTCCTCTGTTCAATTGTCTGGTGGAAGGACTGTTAGGGTCGCTCTCAGATACGTGCATGTGGGGGGATTGTGCAGTCTGTATAGGCACGCCATTTTGGTCGATATTTAGCAAATAGGACTCATCATATTCTTCACCTCCTTGTCCTGTATCTGCTCGCTTTGAACCTGATGTGAATGATTGCTGCTGCAAAATCTGTTTTGTATGGGATTTCTGTTGCTCCTGTTGTTGCTCCTGTTGTTGATCCCGTTGCTGATCCTGTTGTTGATCCTGTTGCTGATCCTGTTGCTGATCCTGTTGCTGATCCTGTTGTTGATCTTGTTGCTTATTTTGCTGTTGATCTTGTTGTTGTTCCTCTTGTTGCTCCCGCTGTATCTCTGGCTCTGTCTTCCCCATAAGGTCATCTCCTTCCAATTCCTGCTCCAGCGACTTTCTGGGCGATTCTTTATGTTGCATTACATCTGCTTCTGCGACGATACTTGCAGAAGAGCGAAGATCATCCATGAGAGCGTCGACACTAGGTTCATCGCTCGTAGTGTCGCCTGCCAGCTCCATATTTTCAATTGATGCGAGTCCGACACATTGGACTGAAAACTGGACATTCTGAGTGTTACTCGCAAGAAACATCCCGAAGCGTGACTCGAGGATATTGTAGACTTTGACATCATTATCCTTTGTTACACCTGCAATCTTTCGAGCCATGCCTAGTAATTAATCGCGATTGGGCAAAAAAAAAAAAAAAAAAAAAAAAAAAAAAAAAAAAGAAATGAAAATGAGCGATGATGCATAATAATATTGCATTCTGTATTATTATCAATATCTTAATAATGTCCTCTCAGACTACAAAAAGAGCCGAGGTAGTGTATGTATAGAAATTTCTTCGGCATGAAATATAATATTATATTACTGAGGTGTGAAACAGATTTATCAAAAATAGATGACTCTAATGGCTGACAATGGCAGTGGCAGTGATTTCGATATGATACACGTAAATGGGTCAATCCCACGTTGTCAATCCGTGTGATATCCTGGGTTTGCTTTTGACATGTCACACAAGATAATGTTGGAGAAAGAAATACGTACTCATGACAAGCCGTTTCCGACGATTAGATTTTTTTGAAAAAGCCCACCCACAGACTCGGATGTTCCAGTCGAGAGGGTCTTTAGAGCCTAAAAAAAAAAAAAAAAAAGTCAGTTTGTTATCAATTAGGACAGAGTAGATGTTCAGGGTTCTCCATCTTCTTTCATCTCTCCACTCGTTTCCACTCAGTTTTTCCTGTTTCCCCCCCCCTTTTTTTTTTTTTCTATTCTTTAATTTTTCCCTTCCACAGCGTCAGAAAATAAAAAAATAAAAAAATAAAAAAAGTCGTTCATAATTCATCTGAAACAATGCTCAGTTCATATTAAAACTTTTTGTAAAATACATCACTTTTAGAAAACCTTTATTTACCTGAATGAGAATGCCGTGTTGCATAGGTTGGGAACAATAAACAATGTTGGTGGACAAGGTCGGAAGCTGTAGTTACAGCTGCGGTTGCGCTTGCGCTTGCAGTAGTAGATGTCTCAACTATGGTCGCAATTGCAGTAGAAGTATCGACTTGTGTTGATGATGTGTTCTTAGCGATGAAGTCTGAAGTTGAGTTGTGCCCTTGACTGTGCATTGTATTACTGCGCAAAGAAGCATGAGACTGAGAATGAGGATGAGGATAAGGATGATATTGAAGCGAACTGTTAAGATTAGGGGAAGAAGAAGCAGAAGGAGAAAAATAGGGATGTTGTTTTGATTGCGATGGTGGCAAAGATGCAGTTACATCAGGCGAAGCAATAAAAGATGAACTAGGAGAAGAAGCAGAAGAAATTGTTGATGGTAATACTGATGATGCAGAGATGGGTGATAATTCTAATGATCTTGATATTGATCTTAATGGCTTTGAAGGTGATGGATGAACCAAAGGCGTGTTTGTTGTTGTTGTTGTTGTTGTTGTTGTGGTCGTTGCCATTTCCATTGAGTACGATTGCGAATTGTGTATTGATTGAGAAAGGCGATATGGCATCGCTGCGGGTTGCGGCGGTACAGGATGATGTATAGCTACAGGCCCAGATAAAGCATCCATGGTTTGAGGCTTACTGGTGTATCGATTCTGATACTGATATGATTGCATTGGATAAGAGTCCATAATATTGAAGAAAACGATTAAGCGTTGAAGAATAAATAATAATTCTAGCTTATAAACAATGGTCGTGGTTGCTTTGGTTGTTTTACATTCCACAGAAGTGTTTGTGCATATGCATTGATGACTGAATGTGAATGAATAAAAAGTTATTAGAATGAGAATAAGAATAAGAATAAGAATGAGAGGGAAGACAAAAGAGGAAAAAGAAAGAGAGAGGACAGTAAATGCCATACACAAACAAACATTCAGAATAGTAAAATGGCCATACAAATTGGACAATCAAAAATAACAAGGTCAATGTTACTGGCCGAGGAAATAAAAATAAAATCCCCTATGCATGCTTTAGTCTTTGTCCTGCATGTCATTTACACACCTTTGTACATACGCACGTAACATTAAAAAAACAAAGATCCCATGTTTATTAATATAAATGTATATATCATGCTATACCTCTGATTTTTTTTATTATTTTCTTAACCGAGAGTATAAAATGCAATATTAACAGCATACATAAATGTAATTGATGAGATACCATGTACATGTATATACCTAAAAGAACACTCAAATCGAGTATGAAACAATCTAATCAAATGACAAAGGAAGCAAAGGTGTTAATTGGTACCCTGACCATCCTAACTGGGCAAACTCAGATCTTAACGCTAATCTCTGCAGCTTTTTTTTTTTTTTTTTTTTTTTTTTTTTTTCATCTATACCTTTGCATGCCAAAATAATAGTAACGTTCATGGACACGTGTGTCATGTATTACACAATGCTGCAGCTAGCGTATTCAAAAAGTACACAGAAAAACAACAGCACAGCACAGCTGTTGTTCCTCCAGACACTGTTATACAGATCAACTCATCACCATTTCATAAGCTCTGAGTTAATACCTTTGTCATCTTCACCTTCTGCTGTTGTTGTTGTTAATAAAGACTACTTTCTCTCATCGCTCTGAAATCTCTCTTACTAGATCTGATCCAGCTTCTCAATTTAGGCTTTTCGAGACACATTTCCCCTTTGCTTTGTAGTCCCACAAACCACAACATCCATTTTAGAGTGCCCTGCTTATTCAAAAGGTTTCTATTGTTACCTTTTGAGTTCAAGGAGAGACATCTTGTTGCAATTTCCTTCAACCATACATGGTGCATGTATCTGATAGTAATGGATCTCACATGATCTTTGGATCATACACGAGTCATTATAATTGCTCCCACGGTACGTCTCTGTGTTACTACACTGGACAAGCCTTGCGTTAACTTTCCTGTAGAGCCTATCACACACGTCTACGGCTTTAGGGACCCATATTCAATCAGCCTTTTATCACCAACAATGTTTTACTCATTTTAAACTACGTCTTTTTTTTTTTTTTTTTTTTTTTTTTACTGCCCTCACGAGTCAAAGCAAGATCTGACTCCTGCCTGTGATTCTTTAGAACCACCAAAATGTCAGATACTATTTCTCCGCAGTTGTCTCTTCAACTGCAAGGTCTAGAACAATGCAAAAAACCTGTTGTCCAGTGAATGCAGTAGTAATTACAGTCATGAGAGATATCGATAAGATGAAATGCTCGGTGTGTGTATTATTACGTGATTTATCGGAATTAAGTAAACTAGAGTTCAAGGCCCGGCTTTTATTTCCTCTCCTTCCCCTTGATCATCTGAGGAGGCTCGTTTCGAAAGATTATTAATTCGCTCAATAACATCCTGTTTCTCACGATTTAAGCCATCCCACTTTTGTTGCAAGAACGACTCTCGACTCGTCAGATGTGCTACTTCCTTGTTCAATGCCTCAAGCCTTGTTGCAACCGCTGCTTCCTCCATAATCCGAAGATTTTTGAAGCTTGACAGCTCCAGCTCGGAGCTCAGAAGATCCTCGTGTGCTGTCAACAGTTGTGCGGCTAATGCCTGTGATCGTGCCTGTAATCCTCCAAGAGTAACCCCAAGTCGCTTCTCCAGCTTTTCGGCTTTTGTTGCTTGTTTTACCATGAGTGCACGCTTGTTCTAAAAACATTAATGTTTTATGTGAATGAAGGCGTAATTAGTCAGAACTAATATATGTGTGTGCAAACAAGCACTTCAGTAAAAAAATAAAATAAAATAAAATAAAGATAAAAACTTACAGAAAATTGGACGGCAAGCCCCGTCTGTTGATGCTCTTTGATCTCTTGCTGAATCTCCTCCCAGACCTGATTGAATTCTGTTGAGAATGCTTCATACTTTTCTTTGGCCTCAGGTCCTGACAGCTCTTGTTCAACTTCATTTCTGGCTAGAGCCAGATATTCATCTGACAAATCCTCTAATGGAATTGCTTTTTGCGTGCTTCCTGCAACCTTGGATCCTACAGGTGGATAAGCCACCGCGTCATGCGTTATAAGAAGTGCAAGTTCCTCCTGAATCAGCCGATCTGCTTCTGAAAACGGGCTACTCGCAGGCACTGTTGATGAAGCATCTGCAGCAGGCCGAAATACTGTAGGACGAGGCAGATCCTTCTGAACCGCTTGGCTTCTACGCAACAAACGAGCACGCTCTATATAATTGGTCGTTAATACATGAGTATATTATAAACATATCAACCATGAGAATGCAAAGATAACTGCGTTGTTGATTGTTGAAGCTATCATTCAAATATATATATATACCTTCGGCTTCAAAAGCTTCCTTTCTGCGCTTAGCAATTTCGGCTGCATCTTCTTCTATGGCCTTTTCTCCACCATCCGCCTCAAGTTCATCAGGCATGATCAAAGTAAACTTATTTGTTGGCGCAGGTAGACTCTGAAGTCCTGCAAGCAAATGATTCTTCGCACCAGCTTTGCGCAACTTTTCTTCTCGAGGAGTCGACTGTACAATGTTATCGTCAGAGCGATTGATATTCAACTGATCGCGAAGAGGGGTCCTTAATGGAGTAGCTCCAGGTCCAACACCTGCACTTGCACGGGGTGTTGGAGCATATGGATTAGGTGTCTGCAAAACTGTCTGTCGAGGCGTGACACCATCATATCCAGTACCTCCTACATATTGTGGTGTTTCTCCTCCCAAAAGTGGAGTCTGCTGAAGCAACATGGCCCGCTGATTCCTGGCTTCGATTTTGAGTGCATCTTCCGTGGCTGCAGCACGAGGAGTACGAGTGGGCAAGTTGGCTCCAGCCGATTTATACGTCCCGACTAGGTTTTTTGTAGCCTCAATCTCGCTCTCATCTGCAAGCGCCTTAGCGTCCTCGGCAGTGCTTCCAATTTTCAAAATCTCCTCCAGTTCTGCTTCTCCAACGTGAGGCGCTGGAAGAACCAACTTTTTGCGGCGCAAGATGCCATCCTGCTCTGCTTCTTGAAGCTTCCTAAGCTGAGCTTGGCTCTGAGCTACTTGAGCTTCTCCTGACTCCTTCTTCAGCTTCGCACGTTTTGCGTCTTTTTTGCGCTCCTCTTCTTCAACATCAGCCCTACGTTTACCATCTAGTTGCTCTAGACGAACATTAGTCAGCCTTTTTGTTGATTCGCGTTTCAACTCTTCAGTGGTATCGTAGAATCCTGGTGCAGGTTTTGCCTCAAATGGAATATCAGCATTGTAATCTATGCCCTTTTTCTTTTTCCTCGATTTAAGCTCAATGCCTGCTGCTTTAAGCTCACGCTTCTTTTGTAGTGTTGCTAGTCGTCGAGCTTCTTCCAACTGTCTTTCACGGGCTTTCCTCTTTGCTTTTTTGCCTTGAGTATTTGCTAAACGAGCGCGTGCCTCTGACAGCATCTCCTTTTCTAAAAAAAAAAAAAAAAAAAAAAAAAAAAAGACAAAGTCAGAATATTTTCAAAGCTTCTTAAAATAAACCTTAATAGGTTGTTGAAAAGATGATTACCATCTTCGTCCATATCGACAGGATCAGGTCTCGCAGGCTTTGTCTCTGGGTCTGGATCAATCTCTCCAGGCCTCAACCTCCGGACATCATCTGCACTAGGCCCAGAGTCGCCTCCTTGTACACCTGTTAATCCCAGTTCTGACTCTGCCTGCTGTTCTGCATCGTCCAAGAGTTTTTGGTATCGTTCAAGACATTGGGATGCTGTTCGTCCAACAATGGGTGCGATTGTTCTCCATTGTGTTGGCATTAATTTTGCAAGATGCAGCAAGCGTTCATCTTCTTCCTTTGACCATTCAGTCTAGTTGAGGAAAGAAAAAAAAAAAAAAAAAAAAAAAAAAAAAAAAAGACGCATGTTACTTTTATAAGATAAAAAAAATAATAATAATAATCGTTCCACATATTTGGTTGTATTAAATAGCTTACCTTACGGATGCTGGGGTCAAGCCATTCCATCCATCTTGCTTTGCATTGACTAGCAGTCTTTCGGACCAGCAAAGACGAAATTCGAGACCATTGATTCTTTCCATACTTGCTGACAGCAGCCTAGATAAAACATTTGAAATCAATGTTAGTAATAGTAAAGTAGCCAAAGGGGAGTAATGAGTAAGAAACAGGGCCCACTACTTGGAAGAAAGAATAAAAGATCCTGAGTATTTTTTTACCTTGAGGATCTCGTCCTCGGTGTTCTTCCAAACACCTCCTTTGATGATAATACGCATGACGAGGAAGAAGGGTAAAAGAGAAGAATCTGATGGTAATTACAAATAAATAATGCAACAATGGAGGTGAATAGACA